TAGGTCTCAGAGATCATGTGGTACAGAATCACAGTCATTGACCATGTATGTGAATGTGTAGATCACAGATTCAAGCTAGGGAGCACCCACCATTAAAGAAAAAAAAAAACACTGTTTAAAAAATGGCGACCCGTCATGGGATGTGTGCTGTTTGGCTGTTCAAGTACTCTGGTTGGAGGGAGTGTGGTTAAAGATTAAACTGAAAACGAAATAAAGCATGCCAATTTGGTTGAAAGCAAATGTTTTACTCATTTTGCTTTTTTATATCCTTGCATCAATCAAAGCAGTCATTGTATTTTTTGCAATTTTAGCAAAAATGTAATTGCAGATTCAAATGCTCTATCAAATTACTATGGGTACTTACCGTACACGCATGTACAAGCCTTGGACACAGCATTCAGAAGCAGTAGCGCACTGATAGCCCCTTGCACATTGTCAGCGCACTGATAGCCCCTTGCACATTGTCAGATAATCTTGAGTATTAGTCCTAGACTTCATTTCGCTATGAAGAACAAAAGAGTTTGATGTGTCGTCTGGATCAGGCAATGCATAGACATGAAAGAGTATGCCATATAAGAATGATTAAATTTTAGGGCACATGATTTGTATATGCCAGCTCAGAATGTACTATTTGACTCCAAGCATTCTATTTTATGTTATTAAATACTAAATATTGCAAGTTAAATGTAGCCTGTCAGATTTGTCTTACATAATTTAGGATTACACTTTTAATGAGGCCTAATAGCTACCCAGGAGAATCAAATCTAAGAGAAAAAACCTCAATCATACCCTTGTAAGTGATAGTTTGACAGGGTCCCAAGTGGGCTCTGGTCTGTTTTAATTTTCCATGTATAATTGATCAGAGTCTCTTGGAACTGATACTCCTAATTAATAGCCTAACTTTCTGTTCTTCTCTATTAAGGCTTTTACTTTGCAATTGCACTGTGCTTTGGCGAACATGTATTATGTAGTATAGGTGTAAATAATATGATGTATTTTCTACATATCTTTTAAAAGAACATATTTATAAAAGTATCACAAGCTTCTGTACAGCTAAAATGTAAATAATAATCTCCCACATGTATCTGTATTTCTTTTGAAGGATCTTTGAATAATCATATTTCTTAATTGTTCATCAAGGGACACTGGATCAGTTGAATTCAGGAGCATCGGGTTATACTAAACTGTTAGGAGGAATTTGACACTGGTGGTCAAAAAGTCAAGACAGTGTTTTTTTTGTGTGTATGTATATTTTTTCAATCAAGATTCTTCATTAGCTGCTAAGCTATGCAGCTATCCCAATTGGCTGATCCTCACACCGCCTTAGAGGCCATACCCAAAACCTACTAGACTAAGGGCAGGTTCTGGACAGATCTGGAACGCACTGCGTTGCGTTTTTGCCGCGTTTTTGATGGATTTTGTGACGCGTTCGCTTTTAGGTCCTGCTGGGGGACCTCTGCAAGACCTACAGATAGCCAGGAAAAGAGCAGCACAATGCTTGCACATAAGAGACATGAACTTACTACAGTTGTTCTTTTCAGAGCTGCTCAAATGATCATAGCCAAGGACAAACCCGGGCAGCAATGCCTCACCACTTGTCCATCTTCCTATTATTGTTCTTATATTGCCCAATGCCTCAGGTCTTACAGCTCTGGGCAGGCTTCCATAAGTTCTACAAAGAATTCTGTGTCCACTTCAGCCATCATGGTTCCTATCTTCACAAATCTCCACAGAAGAAGGAAGTCCAGGGGTGATGAGATCATCCAAACCAGCCAAAAATAAATAAATGTTTTTTTCCCCTATTGCATTCCGTTGCGTTTTGGCGCGTTTTTGATGCGTTTGTGCGCGTTCCGGTGACGCACACTATTTTGCTGGTCTGGTCCGGAACTGACTGCAATGGTGTGAACTGATGCACAGAAGAGCATAGGGATACATTAGGATGCATTTTGGGTCCGAAAACAATCTGGTCTGGTCTGGAGGTGATCTGGAGGTAGTGTGAATGGGCCCACCAAAGGTGGCCATACACCTTACAACCATTGTACAACTTCTGTTGTCCAGACATCTCACCCTCACCCAATTTTCTTAAGGTGCCCATACACTGTACGATTATCGTACGAGAATCGCAGGAAATCCCGAGATCGTATGATCGCAAAGTATATGGAAGGCGTGCGATCGTTTCTACTGTACGGTTGCACGTCTTCTGTCGAACAAGCAGGCTGGAATCGTACGATTCTCGGCGGGTTAGTGGCCTGCTTGTTCGACAACTGCCAAACGGGCCGGTGTGCGCATGCGCACACTGCCCGTTTAGCATTGCAGTCATCGGAACCCCACCCCACAAGGGGTGACATTCAAGTCACAAATATTCCCCTCCCCCCATGCTGCTTTAAGGACTTACCTTAAATCAGGGGTTTCAAACTCAATTTAATCGTGGGCCGCATCGTGCATTCAGCTCCACTGTGTCTCTCTGCACCCTGTCGATGATCTGTACTGCGCATGCGCCCGCCCCCATCATCCTGCTTGGCCGCTCGAGAATCTTCAGATCTTCGAATGGGAGCGAGCGGCAGAGACACAGGTAAGTAATTACCTTTTTGGTAACTTTTTTAATTTTTTTTTTTATTTGCTTTTGCATATAACTACTGCTTGCTAGCAGTAAATGTATGCAAAAAAACCCCCAGAGAATTTAATTATTATTTTTGTATAATCATTATTATTTTGAGTAAAAACATACCTTTTAATTGCCACGGATCGAAACTGCTTTCTTCTGTGATGCAAGACTAAGCATGCTTGATAACAAGGCCCATGGGATACAAATGAGCATTGTATGTTTCACATGGAAACTGCAGGGTCTGTTGTTTTCAGTCATACAGACCCTATCTGGAAGGCTTGTAGTGGGATCAGTGATGAGGCACAGTAAAACCTCACCAGGAAATAGAGCCTGCATATGTTTTCATCATGTCTGCCTCATATACTGTACATATACCATTGCAAACTATAGAAACAAGGAACTCTTTTTATCAAGCACACATTGATAACATTATTCACACAGCTGCTAAAATGTTAGTCATCTTTACTCTTCTTACATGAGCACAGCGTAATGGGAATGATCTGAAATTCTCCAGCAGAGCAGATTTGTTTCTCACACAGAATCATTCTTCTACGTGTCTCTATCTTGATCATGAACACGATTGTGGTGAAATTATTTTGCATCATGTGATAACCCCTCCCCATTACTGCAGAGAAAAATAAATGTAAACCATGCTACATGTGAATATAACACGTTTCACTTGGTAAACATTTTGGTGTGGTGTGCATTCCATACACCATATCATCAAGTCATCCAGTCATACTTTGTCACATGCCTGAATAGTTCTCAGTAGTATTTAATGGTCTTTGCGCTGCATGGCTCATGGCATACATTTTTGTAGTAACATAGTTTGCAATACTTGAAGTGAATCTAAACCCAAAACAAAAATGTAATATATTGCAGCTTACCAGTGCTTGGACGTGTTGGCTGCATTCGTTTTCACTTTTTAGGCTAAGAACATTTTCAGCAAGTACAGAAAATAACGGTTAGTCCCTCCCGAGACATGCAACATCACTGTCACAGGCTGTGAGTTTCAAAGAAAGCTTAAAGAAACTTCTTTATTGTGTAAATTACTTGTCCAGTTAAATTACCTTGTAATGGAGATAAACAAAGGCAGACATGTTGGAATTCCAGCCTGTGTTACAACCATAGCTCCCACATAGATAGAGTGCGGAAGTGAGTGTAGACATGAGGGAACTGGGAGTATGTTATGCACAAGATTACCGGGTTAAATTAAAGACAAAAAAAAACCGAATGCAGTCATGACATCTAAACGCTGGTAGCTGTACAACGTTATCTGACTGCGGAACATTCCTCCTCATCCCAACCATGGTACCATGTTATCTAACTGCAGAGCATTCCATCCCCATCCCAGCCATGATACAATGTTATCTGACTGCAGAGCATTCCTTCTCATCCCAGCCATGGTACAATGCTATCTGGCTGCAGAGCATTCCTCCCCATCCCAGCCACGGTACAATGTTATCTGACTGCAGAGCATTCCTCCCTATCCCAGCCATGGTACAATGTTATCTAACTGCAGAGCATTCCTCCTCATCCCAGCCATGGTACTATTATATCTGACTACAGAGCATTCCTCCCCATCCCAGCCATGGTTCCACGTTATCTGACTGAGCATTACTCCCCAATCCCAGCCATAGTACCATGTTATCTGACTGCAGGGCATTCCATCCCCATCCCAGCTATGGTAGAATGTTATCTGACTGCAGAGCATTCCTTCTCATCCCAGCCATGGTAGAATGTTATCTGGCTGCAGAGCATTCCTCCCCATCCCAGCCATGGTTCCATGTTATCTGACTGCAGAGATTAATTACAAACCCTCTTGGTGCAGCCATGTTTTTGATTTTCATGCCGTATGCCCCTTTTCACATGAGCAGTCCGATCGGATCCGCCTGTCAGTTTTTCAGCCGGACCCAATCGGACGCTCTATGCAAGTCTATGGGCAGGCGTGTGTAAACGGACGGGCGTCCGTTTACACCCGGTCAGCCTAGGTCCGGAAAAACAAATGGATCCGTGCCGGATGGGGGGTAATCTTATGTAAATGGGCACATGTCCATTTACTTCTGATTTCCCATAGACACACATGGGGTCCGATATTTTCAGTTAAAAAAAGTGCACAGACACGGATGTCACAGCGATGACATCCGCTCCGTACTGCTGTGATCAGGAGAGGATCTGTTGAGGGACTGAAAGGGACCTAACTTACATACTGATTCAGCAAAGCCGATTCCTGGTTCAGTAATGTTTTTCTGTCAGTTACTGTGCTCCAGCCTATTCATTGGGCAGTGAAGCAGCATCATCTCATCTGTCCAATCAGCATGATACTAACTGAGAAAGCTGCTATACAAGGGAACAACATTGTGAATGCTGTCTCCTATTTATTTTGTCTTTCTAGATCCCAAAGCAGAAACCCGGCTGTATATTACTGTAAATGATTTTGAATTCCATGTTTACAATCGCTCTGATCTTTATGGACACCTCCAGGAAGTTTTTGGTTTAGATCCAACTATATTCCCTCCCCGGAAAGAGGATGATAAGGTCCGAGAGAATGGAAAAGAAAAAGTGCATGCTGGACTTGCGAGGTATTATAGTGCTTTTTCTTTGCAAAAAGTAATTTTCATTTAAGTGTTAACATTTTACCTGTGAAATGCACAACTTTGCTGCATGTTGCTTTTTATTCTTTAGCCTTATATCATAACTGCATTTCAAAATATGTTTCCTGGCTCTCTTGTATATACCCTGAATACTACAGTACATATTCTCATTTATCTCAGTGTATTTAGAAAAAGGATGAATCTACTAAAATAATTATAGATAAATGTTCTGCCGAACAACAGCAGAAATGGAAGAGCAGGCCCCATATATTGATTAGTCAGCTACTCCAAATGTGCTGAGTGTTGCACCTTCTGATGTCCCTTCAACAGAGTGTAAAGCTAAACTCCAAGTAAACCGAAATGTGAAATAGATGCTGTTTAATATGCCAAATGATTTGTATTTCTGTCCATCTAGTCTTGAGATTCTCTCTACCACAGAGCACAGACCTGTTTGGCTGTCTGGAGAAGGGAACCTGATTGTTCTGTGCTGCAGTTTCACCTTTACTCACAGATTTCCTTCCTTTCCCCACCCTGTGAAAGGAGAAGCAGCACACTGATGAGCTCATCTCTCTGTCACTTTCCTCCTTTCAGCATGCTCCTTGCACTGCAACACATTTGATTGGCTCCTTGTGGTGCTTCTCTGACTCCTTCTCTGAATTCTGCTGCATAGGGACTGCAGGATGCTAATACCAAAAGTCATATGAGTCGTTTTGTTTAACCCTTTCACTGCCAAGGCAACTGGGGGCAGGGGACTTTAACTTTTTTTTTTTTTAAACGTATTTTGTTTTACGTTAATTGTTTTAAAGATTTTTTTTAACTTCATTGCTAGGGGGACTCACAAACCCCATATGTGATAGCATATTAGTGGTGACAGGTTCTCTTTAAGTTGACATTAGGGACCTTAGTGTCTCCTTTTCATTTCAAAGAAGCTATTCAAACACAGCAACACATACGGAAACAAAAATTTTGTTTTTAGTAGAGGAGATCTAGGACCCACTTTTTTTATTGCTACCTGTGTACTTGTTGCAGGTTGTTCTTCAGTTCCTGTTTGGTAAAACTGTTTTCAGTGGGACAGGAAGTGAGGGGAAATCCCTGTAACTGAGCCACAGCAATTGAAACCCAACAGATGTTCTAACTGACTCTATCCAAAAGTAATTTAAAAAGTATTGGCACACACTTCAAGCCTCTTGCCAAGCTGGGAATTGTGTATTTAAATGTATACTTTATAGTCTCTTTAAAGTGGAACTATGGCCTCCCATTAAAAAAGGGATCCAGCACTCAATTTTAAGTGCATATGCACTTACAGTTTTCTCTTGGTCCTGCAAAGTCCCTCAATGTTTGTATAAACGGGCCAGTGAAATCCACCTCATACAGCTGAATTCAGATCAGTTGCCACTCTCTTGTAGGCTGTGCTTGCTTGCATTGCAGTGGAATAAAATAAATGTTGCTGGGGATGGAGCGATCAGTATTGTCACTGCTGATTGACAAGCCTGTAGCTAGTCAGTCCGCACCTCGGTCACTCCTAGTCCTGACCACTGCATACTGGATTTCCTCTGTGGCTCAAACCCTCCCACTGTGAATTGCAGTTTCTGTAAGGGGGAGCATGTGAGACACAAATGAAGGAAGATTTGGCTCAGTCAGGGACAGTAAAGCAAGTTTTTGTTTACTTCATGAGGCTTGTGCGCCATTTAGTAACTGGATTTGGTACTCTAAACTGTATAACTGGAGTTTTTAGTTTTTTATTTAACCCCCTTACAACACTCTAATGCATATATGCGGCAGCACAATGGGTGGCGCATACATGCATTGCTGTGTTTTTCCGGGGGACACACAGTTGGCATACCCAGAACTGTGACCGAGCTATGCTTCCAGTCACCTCTGGCGCCACAGGCCACGTAAAGGGCTGCCTCCTGTTATCGGTAAGGGGTTAATAGTCAAACGTTGACTGTATGAGCCTTATAAATGGATGAGAAATTGTGTCATTCTGTGTTGCAGCACTGCAGCAAGTACAAGGATTGAAAGGAAGAATGGTGAGACAGTATGACACCCTATACTATTGTGCTACTTAGCAAAATTATGTTTAAAGGAGAATTATGAGAAATACACTTATCCCCATAATTAGAGCCAACGGCGTGACACTGAAGCTGTCAAACGTTGGCTCTATAGATAGAGAACTGAGCGATCACATACCGCTGATCGCTGAATTCCTGATCTTCTCCCTGCAGAGAGGAGTGACTGTCAGTCACTCCTCCCTGCAGGGATTTCCCCCTCTCCTCTTCATTCATCCAGCGCTCATTGGAGGGATGGATAGGGGAGTGGGTGGGCACAGATGGCTCTTCCTCTAGTAGACCCAGCTGTCAATGAGGTGGCTGGGTGGATCCCAACAGCAGCGTGGCTCTGTGCTATCAACATATAGCGGGCTATAGGCTGCTATTTGCTGAGTTTTAGGTCACAGAATGACATTATTAAATATCCTCCTGTGACCCTAAAGTTACATTTTAACATTATAAAGAATTCACCAGGAGAAGTAGAGCACCTTCCCTGCATCAGGATGGCAGACCTGGAAACCCCAGCAGAGCCATATTGTCACTGATATCCTTAAGATATAGAAGTAGCTGTGGCTTAATGCACAGACACAAAATAATTGACTTACTGTAACTTTTAAAGGATAGCTAGTATATTTGTTAGTTCCATGTCCCTAATTTCCCTTGTTCTTTCCAGTGCTAAAATGGAACCTCAAGATCCATCCTCATCGTGGAGATCTCTCATACCAGTGATTAAAATGAATATCAGCACAGTAAGTGATATATCATTTTATGAAGACGATTTACCTATTATGTACAGTGAGTACAGCAGCTTGCAGACCTAATAGTAGCTGCAACCCTTGAATCTATTCACTGCTGCCAGCCTTTCAAGTTTTTATGTTAGGAAACCTTCAAGTGTGTAATTCAATGTTAAAGTGACACTAAACTCAGGAGTTAAAGAATAAACATGCATTAAAGTACATTAAGCCTTCATTCACATGAGAAACGGGCGGCCCGTAACACACACAGGGACCATGGGGAACAAAAGTAGCCACCCTCCAGAAGGAAGGACAGAGTCAGCACCAATTCAGGGATGATTTGAGGATCTACAGCACAAATAATACATTCCCGTTAATAGGGCACTTGAATGCATTTTTAAGATTTAACTCCTGAGTTTAGTGTCACTTTAACTAAACAAGTTGCTCTTGTGCACTAAGTGTATAATGCAAGTTAAAGAGCTTTCTATAACAGGTGATTTCATTAAATAACATTGAGCTTTAGTGAAGAGAGATACCTGTATTCTCTTAGTCTTGTTTTAAGCTCAGGTTCTTTTCGATTTTAAAGAGCAGCAATTATAATCTTTAAAAGGGTAACAATTCTTTAGAGGAATGATCAAGAGGTTTTTTTAGTGTTCATGTAAGATGAAACCCTTTACTAGATACATAGCCTATCTTTGGGATCATTAGGGGTTTGTATTTAAAAATGCAGATTGTGTTGCATCTACAAAGCTCTGTGAACTGTAGGCTCAGCACAGCCTCTTAGCGGCTCCATTGTAGCAAAACGCAGTCAATCCTGGAAATCTGCCAACTGTAGCTGTCATTGGAGGTGCATTTCTTGTAACAATGTAATGGTAATAAATGTGACCAAAGGTAAAATGTAGATGACTGATTTGATTGGATAATAAATTGCAGGGACGCTTGGCTTTTGGAAATCATTACCAACCACAAACCTTATGTGTAAATTTTGATGATGCATTCCTCACATACACCACTAAGCCGCCATCAAGCCACCTGGACCAGTTCATGCACATATTGAAAGGCAAACTGGAGAATGTCAGAGTGATGCTAGTGCCCAGTCCAAGATACGTCGGACTTCAGAATGACGAGTAAGCTGTTTTATGTCTATGGCATTTTAAGTCTGTTTTCACATTGATCATGTGTTCTACCTGCATAGTTTATTCTACTTATATCCATTTTTTTACATGACTCTGTGATATGTTCTGGTCAGAAATAAATGGCTATGAAGGTTAATAAAAAAGTAAACAGTTCTTTTTGCTGCTTGCCGTTGGCATGCTTATTATAACTTTTTTGGGATGGCACAGTTATATGGCAGTATATACTGCAGACTAGTATTGCACCTGCAGTTTATGAAAACTAGACTATGATGCCAGTGATAATTAGACGGTAGGAGATGAGAACATGCTACAACTGCCATTAGTCTAAGAAGTGTTTGAAAGCTTTACAACTACTCAGGCTTTAGAAACAGTCATACATTTTTTGTGTTGCATATCTGTTTCATGTAAAGCAGACATCTGTGATATCCCTGCCCTATATGCCATTTTCACAGGATGGTGAACTCCCCCAGCTCTGATCTTTCTACTTTCTCCCTCTATAAGCCAAGTTTGCAACTTCTTTTCTTTCCTTCCCTCAATGATTTCACACTTATATGCCTTTAAAGCTGAACTTCGCCATGCAGCACTAACAAGATACTGGTGACAAAACACAACTGCAGCATAACCTCAGAAAAGGCAATATATTTTTGTTACAGGCATTGGGAACTGTGTTCTTTAACAGTGTGGAAGAAGTATATAAAAAAAAAAGGAGGACCTGTGTGTATTAACTGTCAATGGTGAGAGTGCACAGTGTAGATCCCTTACATTGCCTCACAGTACTCATAAAGAGAATTTATGATGACAGATATGAGAGCTACCCCTGCTTTTTTGTTTTTTCAAAGGTACTATCATTACCATCCTGGTTTCACTGGAATTGAGACTTTACTGGCTGCATGCTTGTCTCAGTTTAGTGACCCAATAGGTAGTGAAACCAGAGGCGGAGGGTGAGAAATCTGTTGCCTGCCACATACAATGCTGTTTTAATACCTCTCTGGGCAGCTTAATAACACCTGCTAGCTCTAATCATGCAAATGCAATCAACACCTGAGACATACACTGAAAATTTCGGTCAATTCTTGAGGAACCGGCCAAAATTTGCCAAGTTTGTGCCTCTGTCGGCTCCCTTTTGGTCGGCATCCCTCGATCAGCTGATTGTAGGAGCTGGTTAGAAAATGAGCTGCCGGCTCTGGTTAGGTATTCTGACAGCGGCCAGCAGCCACTGTCGGAATCGGGGCCCGCCTTTAGGTGCCCTGTGCGAGAAAGCTTTACAGTGCCCCTCAGTGACTACACCCCTCAGTAAACACACCCATTTCTCCAATACCCGCACCATTTAAAGCTTCCCATTTTGTTAAGCCCTAAAGAAACATTAAAAAGTATGATAAACATAAAACTTTTATGCAAAGGTATTAAACTTACTATTATTATTAGGTATTAAAAATATAAGTATTCTTATTAAATAAAACAACAGTAGGCAAACAAGGGATAAACAATAAATGTCAAACTACAATAGAGTATATAAAAATAAAGCGTCAGGATGTCATGCAGACCCTTTGTCCGGCGGTGCCGCCCCTCTGCTTCTTGCTTTGTCGCTGCTTAGAGGCATCGGCATCTTTTGCATATGGTGTTGAGGCCTTTAATCGCCGTAGAGCTGCAGGTGATATACATGGCTTTATTTGATAGGCAGCCTGTTGCTTACTGACAGCTTGTCGGTCTGTTGGGTGGATCCCATTGAATCTCTCTCACCTCCATGGGGATTGGGGGCTTTAATGCTGCATGTGGGGGATGCTTATGTTTTTGTGCAGTGTTGGAGCAGGGAGTGGAGGGGCGGCACTGTCGGCCCTCAGACCAGAACCAATACACCGCAAAACCCCCTCCGGAACCAATGCATGGCGGACCAGAACCAATGCATGACAGACCTTACATCAGAACCAATGCATGGCAGACCGCAGACCAGAACCAATGCACGGCAAATGGGTGTTCCATAAAATCAAACTTGCAGCTGTGTGTACCTGGGAGGAAAGGGACAGGTCAGGACAGTAAAACCATTGCTTACCCTTGATGTTGACCTCCAGCCTCCTGCTTCACCACCTTGATAGTACTTTGGAGTTTCAAGATAAAGTCCAGGACCCCTGCAGCCCCGCACTTCCAGGATTGACAACTATGTGCAACGACCCCCACAGCAGATCCACCGGTGCACTGGCTCCAGCGCTCATGGAGCACAGTGAGAGGGTTAACATGAGTGGGAAACGGCCCTGAGCGGGATTTCAAATATGTGAGGGGGGAAAACAATGGGAATGGTCAGTCCGTCCCGGTGGCCTTGTGGGAAATCCGGCCCTGGCACCCAGGGACAGATTGACTTCTCAGAAACTCACTTGCAAACACTTTAGGGATATACAAAACAGGGCGTCGTTCGCTCTGGCCCTGCTCAACTCCCCTCAGCCCCTTCTTCCCCGAAACCTACATTGCCTAGCGGGAAATCCAGCCCTGCTGGCGCCCTGTTGCTGTGGCGTCCTGTGCGACCGCACAGCATGCACACCCCAAAGGCCAGCCCGGGTCAGAATACAAAGCAAACAGCGGGGATTCCTCGATCGACACACTCCTATCATTGATGGAGGAATCTGCTCTTTATTGCGGTCAGCCCGCAGGTTGAACAAGAAAAATAGAGCAGTGTATGGCCAGCCTTACCTCCATGAGGTCTCTGACCCCATGCTGATTATGATTAACAGATTATGTTGATTTGGAGCAAAATTCACCATATTTAATCCTAGATAATTTTTTGTACAAGTCATTATGAATTGAGAAAGCTATTCTTCTGACCAGCGAAAACGTCTTCAAGAAAAACACAGCAATCCAGTTGCATTGATGTATCTTCTACATATAGTGAAACCAGGTTCACAATATCCACTGAAGCCTGTACATTTATAATTCAACAATGCTCCCATATTTTCACCATCACTGGTTCCCTTTAAATGTAATCTTTCAGGAATACAGAAAATTGTGCCAAAAGCAATAGGTCATATTTTCAGATCTAAGCAGCTCTGTAGTTGAAACATTGTTTTTATATAGGCTAGTAAATTCCCTTTTTTCTTTTTTCTAGCAGTATACGTTTGTTTTTTGGTAAAACATGCTTCACTAGGTCTGTAAGAAGTTTGCAGCATATTACAGCAGAATAATCTGACTGCAAGCCTTGTGCACCTGACTAAGCCTTTACACTTGCTGTTACTGTGTTTGCATTACAGGCAGTCCCTGGGTTACAAACAAGATAGGGACTGTAGGTTTGTTCTTAAGTTGAATTTGTATGTAAGTTGGAACAGTAAATATTTTAAGTCGAGCCAAAAAATGTTTTGTTTTGGATAGCATAGGGAAGGGTTAACCCCCTGTAAAGTTTGTGCGTGCCCCTATTCAAAAGATTTCACCTCACTTTCTGTCCCTGTGACAATTGGATTTTGAAAATTTTGAGTTGTTGTAGAAACAAGGATTGGTGATAAAGCTTCAGTGGAGACACCTTTTCCCCATGATAACTCTTACAGGAGTGAGTTTCCCTTCCTAGGGGTAGATTTCCTTTCACTTCCTGTTGTCTCAAGGACAAGAACTACGGATACATCTTTCTAATGAGGATACAGACAGCAGTAAAAACCTCACAGTGACCTATAAGAAGAAGTGGGCACCCTTCATCTGTATGTCTCACAAGAGCCAACTTCCTGTAATGTACGTACAGTAATACGAACCAGACCCAAAAAGGCAGGCACTCCTCGTCAGCATGAGCGTGGTAGCATTACAACTACCCCTGCTGTACAGTAATAGCCTACGTTTGTAAGTAGGAGTCGTATGTAATGCGGATGTTTTAACTCGGGGACTGTCTGTATATGTTTCTTGTGCAAATGTTAGCTTTCCTTGTTTGCTTTTCCTGTTTAAACCTAACTACAATGTTCAAAGCCAATTCAAATGTATTCTATCAAATTACCATATAAAGAAGTAAAGTACTTATTCAAGTCCCCATGCTATGATGGGGCAAGAGGTATGAGACAATGAACCCTGAACTGCAGTAAGTAGAAATAGAAAATGATGGCACTGAAGAAGAGTATTACATACAGAGATTTATGTTTTTCATGTGATGTTTGTTAGACTTGGTAAGAAAATTCCCTTTGTAGAAGTAGAATTTTTTTAGCCTGCATTTTTTGTGATTATTTTAAAACATGCTTTGATAGGTAAGTGCAAAAATTGAGGCATTATTCTCAAAAATTGAGGCGTTCTTTCTGCACAGCACATTGCGTAAATCGCTTCTAGATCTTGCACTCTTGAGACACACATTAACTTTACATAATACGGTTACCCATCATGTTTCTGTTATCACAATTCTGTCTTAAGTGCTGATGTATGGAAATAACTGCATGTGCATTGAAGAATAAAATCATTCTAGAGGTATCTATGACAGTGTAGTGTCTGTGTTGATAAGTTATATGTAATGCGATACGACACATGCGTAGCTTCTTAATACTAACACAGTTATGGAATATATAGGAAATGAAGTAAAGTGTGTAAGAATATATGCCATCCATTATCATTTGAGCCTATTTAATGTTGTAATAAGCTGTTTTCCCTTAGCACTTAAGTACCCTGGAAAAGGCCAAACAAGCATGACAAATAAAGCTAAAATTTAGGGCATTTGAACGTAGAGAAAATGTTTTCAAACTAGGTCTTTTCAAGACCCAGGAGGTATGCGAGATAACTTGTAAAATTCCTTTCAGTGTGAATTTAATCATAGCTGTGATAGTGAAAAGGATCACGAACATTTTTCTTGCAAGATTACATCAACATTTTTCTTCTCCAGCCTCAACATCCCAATATCAGTAGTTTATCTGGCAATATATATCACAGGGCATTCTATAAGAATTCTTCCATTAAAGCTAAACTGTAGCATCCACAAAAAAATTAATCGCTCAGATCAGGGAGCTGGAAATATACATCTTGCAAAGTCTTACTTTTTGGGGGAGGGCTGGCAAACCATTTGCGGCTGAAGTGCAAAAGTCCATGGCCTTACTGAAGGCTACAGAGAAGGCCACTGCTCTTTGTGTGGAAGTAGCAGTCTCTCTGCAGTGGTCCGATGCGCTTCCCACGGAGCTACAGTAGTCTTTTCAGCATAGCTCACGCTCTCTGCTGATTGCCTAGCTCTGACCAAGTGAGAAGGCGTGTTGGACTACTACAACACACACAGGGACCATGGGGAACAAAAGTAGCCACCCTCCAGAAGGAAGGACAGTGTCAGCACCAGTTCAGAGATGATTTGAGGATCTACAGCTCAAATAATAAATTTCCATTAATAGGGTACTTGAATGCATTTTTAAGATTTAACTCCTGAGTTTAGTGTCACTTTAACTAAACAAGTTTCTCTTGTGTACTAAGTGTACAACGCAAGTTGAAGATTTGAATTGAGGTTTTACAGCTCGGTGATGCACAAATAAATTAAATTTTTGTTAATAGTTAAGGTACTAGAATGCATTTTTAGGATTTAACTCCTGAGTTTAGTCTCACTTTAACCCTTGCAGTGTGGGGGTAGCCCCACTGTATGGGTTAAAAATTATTTCCGCCCAGAGTTTTTCTTTAAAATATAAAGTATTCAAAAATAAGTATTTCTTGGAAACAATATAAGACAAAGCAATTCAAGGCTAATGTAGGAGTGGTTAACAAATGCTGTAAGTTGACCTGTAATCTGCAAAATGGAAATAATTAAGATGTAGATGTATTTAAAAACAAGGTATAAAGTGAGATAGAGGAACTGAAACAAAAAAGGGAGTGAACCTATAAAGAAAAGGGAATCAAAGATCTGGAGAGTAAAAAAGAAATAAGGGAAGGGGGATCATTGGATAAAAGTGGATATCATTGGATATTGGGTAAAAGTGAGATGAATAGACATTTAGCTGATGGGAATAGATATAAAAAGCTGAAGGATCTCACAGTGCAATTTAAAAAAAAAGAGTTAATAAAAACCCCATATAGATAGAGGTAAGAAAATGTTTTTGTCTTGGAAAACAATATCAACAATCCTTAAAAATCAATGTGGCTTACCAAGAGATGTTGAGGCTGTAAGGGGGTTAATAACATCATGGGGAGAAAAACCTCTCGATCGGCTACAACGTAGAAATAATTTGTTATAAAACATTTTATATCATGTGACTCAACACATGTAGTATACACAGTGCCCTTGCAGCCTAACAGTATGTGGGCCACACAAAATGAAGTTTGAAGAAAAGACTAGTGGAACATAATACACATACACACACGTGGATAAGTATCTGCTAGTATTTCTCAGCATTGAGGACACCATTGATCCTGACCAAATCTCCAACTCCATTTTCAGAAATGCAGCCCCAGACTTCAAGGAACCTCCACCAATCTTCATTGTTGTCTGAAGACACTCATTATTGTACCGCTCTCCAGCCCTTCGGCAAACAAACTGCCATCTGCTGCAGTCAAATATTTCAAATTTTAACTCATCAGTCCAGAGCGCCTGCTGCCATTTTTCGGCACCGCAGTTCCTATGTTTTTGTGCATAGTTGAGTCGCTTAGCCTTGTTTCCACGTCAGAGGTATGGCTTTTTGGCCGCAATTCTTCCATGAAGACCACTTCTGGCCAGACTTCCTGGGACAGATTTCCACCAGTTTGGTGCTGATGGCACTGCTGGACATCTTCTTATGTCAAAGGGAAGTAAGCATTATGTGTCTTACATCTACTGCATTAAGTTTCCTTGGCCGACCACTGCGTCTACAGTCCTTAACGTTGCCCATTTCTTTGTGCTTCTTCAAAAGAGCTTGAACAGCACATCTTAAAACCCCAGCCTGCTTTGAAATCTTTGCCTGGGAGAGACCTTGCTGATACAGTATAACTAACCTGTGTCTTGTTGCTGTGCTCAGTCTTGCCATGGTGTATGACCTGTGACATAAAACTGTCTTCCACGACCTCATATTAGTAGCAGAGTTTGGCTGTTCCTCACCCAGCTGTTGTTTCAGTTAATGACTATGTTTCAACCTACCAATGAAACTGATGATCATTAGCACCTGCTTGGTATAACTGGTTAATCAGACACCTGACTCTAATCCTGCTAAACCCCTGACTTTGTGCTAGTATGTAAATGTAGGAATTGATGCTGGTTTGAGGGCCAGTTCACACCACAAACTCCACGTTCCAGTGCGGTCGCCCTCTGGAACGCAAGCCGGCTGGCTCCCTGGGAGGGGGCGTGGTGGTGCATTGAAGTCAATGGCACCGCAGCCACGCCCCCCTCCCGAAGTGCGATCGCCTGCCCCCGAAACGCAGGCACATAAGTGTCTGCATTCCGGTCCAGTGCGATCTGCAAAAACCTACAAGCACTCTTTTTGCGCAACACTAATTTCTGTCTACGTAGTGTTGGCATAAATGAGTCACTACTTAAACTAAATATTTTACTCCCAGGAGTGCTTTTTTTCTTAGCTTAAATGGGCTTGAAACCAAGAGGATCTGTTATCAAAATAGGAAAATATATAATTAGAAGATTCTGCCACGGATATATATGAGCATTTTTACCTTTTCATGAAAGAAAAGTAATGAAAAGGGTGAGTGAGTTTTCAATTTGAGGTGAAGGCATGATGTGAACACCAGAATCAGATTTAGTAAACACGAAGATGCTTTTTTAAGAAGGACTTTTGTAGATCGGGACATTACTACCATCTGTGGTATATGTAATATTGTATTATTTCTGTCACCAAGGGCCTAGTCCCAACACGTTGAAAAGGCAATTTGCCTTCTTCACAGTTATGTCAGCTCACCCCACTGTGCAGCAGTAGTGTGCACTAAAAAAAAAAAAAGAAAAGCATGCAGTACTTTCTTCCACCACAGTATTTTGCCTCACAGTACACCAATTCGCACTGTTGCTGCGGTGAATAGAACTGAATGAAATATTACTTTGTAACATTTCAATAAAGTTAAAAAAAAATAGTTGCATAGCAATGCAGTTTGACACTGCTACTTACACAGCAGACTCCAGCAGCTTCTTTTTATTGCTGGTGTGAATGAGCCCTAAGGCGGCACATGTTCTGTTAGAAATGTGATGGCTATATATTATTTTATGTTTAAAATACTATTACATTACAGATATAACACCAACATTTTTTTCTCCTGATTAGTCATGTTTTTGTAAATTCAGGTAGGAGGGGGTGCACAAGCATACACTATCATTGTCTGTAATAAAAACAGTCTCTGAAAATATCCTGCATATTCAATTCCTATTTTTACCAAAACCAGTTTGCTTGGGGCATCTGCAGTAGTCTGTTTGTTCTCGTAGACTGCAGTGTTGTTGGCCAATCCGACCAAACTCTGCCAAGTCGGGCTACAACCAATTTGTGAGTATGGATTCCTTTAGAAAATCAAGGGAAACTGTTATTTTCAGAGCTAAATAGTGGAACATAGGTAGTAGACTCTGGCAAAGGTGAACTCTTTGTTTTCTGTCCTTATTCCTCCTTCCTATTAGCTTTATTTTTGTCTACATTTAGTAAATATTCGAATCAGAGCCAAGACTCCAGGATAAAACATTTCAGAAGACAGGAGGGGTATTACTTTTTCTCTTGGAATGGCCCTCTCTCCACATTAAAGCTGTGCCAATGCGGCTTAATTAAAATTATGGACAACAAAGGAAGACTAAACTTGAAGGATCCCAATTTGTTATACTTATTTTTAGTCTCAATGTGAATGATTCTAGCTAGAGATGTTATTCTCCTTGGCCTAAACCTGCTTCTATTTGACAGTCTTATGTTTACTTCATATTGTGCAAATATTTGTTTTAATATCCCTGGAAAATATATGATGTTCAATTTGTTGTTTTCTATTCTAAGGCCTCCAAGACTCATGGGAGAAGGATTTGTGGTCATGCAGTCTAATGATGTTGACATCTACTACTACATGGATGAGCCAGGTAATCTGAAGCTAGAGGATAGAAATAGCTAGCTGATGCAAGTAATTGGCTCCACATTTAATTCATTTCAAGGTTGGATGTAAAGTTCCACTTTTTCTATCTTGTCTTATACGTTCCACTGATATCTGTGATGAGCATCATCTTGACAGTCTTGACCCTTGTGCACTGTTTGCAGTGATTTCCACTTAACCTATGAAGGGCTTGACAAGTTTTGTGAAGTTTGCTGTCCGCTATCTCTTGTTCCGGTTTATGATTGCTTTAATGCTGTGTTTTCCTCTATTAATGAAATATTTCTTAGTGCACAATATTGCATTTTTTCCCATCAGAAGTAAGTGCATTAGTGGTGATATTTTAGCATCATGCTAAGCAATCAAACATGTTGCTAAGCATGATGCCTGCATTTACTAGGACTGTGGAGTTAACCAGTAGACTGTTGAATGTAGCACAAGAGAGTAAAGACGAAAGCTGCGTCTGACAGTGCCTTGAAAGAGACTATATGGATCTGCTCTGGAAGGCTTTTTGCTTTCTATGCCCACCTCTATTTGGTACTGTTGGATTCAATCAAAATGTGGAAACAGCAACCTCTTTGCTACAGCTCTACTTTAAACATCCAGCACTTTTCTAGGTAATACATTTTTTGTCTATGTTTTCAAGGCCACTTTTTTTTACTTTTGTGATTTATGTAAATGATTATATTTGGTATCTTAAGTACCTGTATTTCCTCATGTTACATGACAAACATCTTCTTTTGCAAATTGTAACGGACGTGTGATCCTGTTGGGATTGTGCAATCTATGACACTGTTATAGAATGGTTTTACATTTTTCTCAAGGACAGAAAAGAAGAATGGCTACAAAAGAGCCTGGGACTTTTTAGATGCTACAAAAAGTACAATTACCAAATACTGATAAAAAAACATATTTATTTATGACAAAGGTAAAACATGATTAAAAGACAGTGTGGCCATGATGCACTAATAACACATAGCAGATATGGAATGAACAGCCATATACAAATCTGTAGGCAGTATTCACAGATTTGGTTTGATAACAGGTTCTCAGTAGGTTCAACGCGTGTCGCAGAAAATAGCTTCTTTAGGAACCTTTCATGACACGGCCAGTGGGCTCCAGGTAGGGGAAGAGGGCAAAGGTTGGAAGACAGTACCATCCCTGTGGGGGCTTTCTGGGGAGACCAAGGATGGGCTCCATGCACGCCACAGTCAAACCGCATCACTAAGGTCCAAATAACTAGGGAGAGGAGAAGCAGCCTCCATATAAAACTCCCAAAGGAAGATCAAGGAGTTGTCCTCATATATATTCAGTGTATATATTCCAATGCAAGGGAATGAAAGTAACAATCCACACATTGGTTATCTTAATGGAAGAATCCCCGGCACTACGCCACACAGGGAGTACACCCCTGTATGCCTTTTCCAGGTATCCCTAGGTTGGAGTGACATTTTTTTCATAATATTAAAAATTGCATTTGTAGAAACAGGAAAAAGCTGAGCTCTGGAATTGTGTCTTCTGGGAATTAGAATATTAGCTATCTACATGGAAAGATGTTCTTGGAAGTTTGCTTTTATTGTATGGGTGGCCTAAGAAATTTGCTTTATTGCTTCTAATACTTGCTTGATTAGTAGAAACAAAATTGTGTAGATATTTAGTATAGTAAATGATTCTTAAAGTAGTCATTGCAGCAAAATGTATAATTTTATTGCTTTGTTTTATTTAAAGGACTTGTTCCAGAAGACTCAGGGGAAAATGTTGAAGAAGAAAGCAACTCGGAAGATGCAAAGCTGCAAGACTTGCCACCTTGCTGGGGTTTAGATATTGTCTGTGGAAAAGGAACAGATTTTAACTATGGGCCATGGGCGGATAGGCAGAGGTATGCATGAATTCTGTTTCTTCTGAACTAAGAAATTACCTGAAGGATATGACTATTTCTAAATGCAGATTAACATTTTAAAAGAGCTCCACAAAACGTTCTGCATTTAAAAAGTGAGTATATAAATGTACACCCTACTTTAATAGGAGCTTCTATGTGTAAACTACAATATATTGTATTATGTACAGTATATATGTGTACATGCAGATGTACTGCACAAGCACACATTTTCCAGAGTGTCAGGCAAATGGTTTTATTCTTATTGTTAAGAACGTACATAAAAGTTTTGCATTTATTTGGGTATGGTCGTTTTTTGTGATTTCGCCGGTGCTTGACATGTTTGGTGTCTTTTTACCCGACATGACCCCATCTTTTATATTTAAAAAAAAGATTGGGTAATAATAATTGTATTATAACATAATGTATAAAAATAACTTTTTTTTCCCCAAAAATTTTCAGTAATTTTTCCTTAATATAGTAAAAAATAAAAACCCGCAGTGGTGATTAAATACCACCAAAAGAAAGCTATATCTGTCCCCAAAAAATGGTATAAAGTTAATTTCAGTACAGCGTTGCATGACGGAATAAATGTCAGTCAAAGTACCGCAGCGCTGAACACTGAAAAATGGCCTGGCCAGGAAGGGGGTTTAACACCCTGGTCAGCAAGTGGTTAAGTATAAATATCCTGTCATTCTTTTTTACAACAGTTGCACCCTGTAATGGTAAATTACAGATTCTGCTTAGCTTTTTGCACTGTTAATGATTTATTCCTGCTGTATACCTAATAATTTGCATCTTCTGGCAGGGAGTGCTTGTGGAAATTTTTCTTGCCACCAGATTATCAGGTTTTGAAAGTTTCTGAGATTGCACAGCCTGGCAAACCTCGACAGATCCAGGCATTTGAGCTGAGAATGAACATTATTGCAAATGCTACAATAGATCTTCTTTTCACCAAAAACAAAGTGAGTATGCACAATGAATCCATCAAATTGTGTACAAGGAAAACATACTCTTATCTTGAAACGTGTGTGTGGTGAAATCACTGAATTGTATTATTGAGATGTCTCTAGAAAGCTTGTGTAGGCATGTGTGATGCTAGCCTCTTACTCTAACTGACTGTATATCCCAAAGGGCTTTATGTCAGTGAATCCAACTGTCACATAGTAATTAGGTAACACAATGGCCTTTCTGTGCTTCAGGTCCCAATGGTATGTACAGACTAGCTGTGTGAAATCACTGAACCATACAAGAAGCTCTCAGCATGTCTTCACCTTCTGCTGCAACAGTACAAGGATATTATACATTTGTATCCACACAACATTCAAAAGTGTTTAAGTTTAAATGCATTAGGCATATTATTAACTTTAGGATATATATGCTACTATAGAAAGGTTGCAAGGTTGCACGTGCTAATTGCTGCATGTTACATTAAATTCATTAGTCTGACTACGCCTCTGCCATGTAAAGGTAGTTGATGTGCTTACATTCCCACATACTATACTTACATTACTTATGTTATTGTATTGCTTCCATGTTCCTCTAACATCCCGCAGTTATGAAACACTGCAGTGGGCAACTATCATTCATCTTTCTTCTGCTCCTATTTGCTCACATACACATTTTCTCCTCCCAGCTTTGCTTTCCCCCTCTATCCCCTTTCTTAAAGTTTTCTTGCTGTAGCTTGGATTTATCACTAATCTAAATAACACAGGGCTAAAGAAATATTGACATATAGATGCACATTGTGCTGCCATATGGGAAATTTTTTTGTCAGTAGAGGTTGCAATAGCTAACATGCACTTTCTTCTACAGGAAACAAATGCCGTGCATGTGAATGTGTGGGCAGGATCCTATTTGGAAGTAAACATTCCCATGACTGTCACAGAAAATGGTAGGATATTTACTGAGCATTTTGTTAATGTACTGTAAGCTTCATAACAAGCATGCACGCATTTCCTGGAATAGTCTTCCCTAAAGCATGATGGACAGAATATAATTTTCAGATAATGTTTTTTCATAATACAAAATGTTTAGTCATGTAATATTTAATGAGAAAGTGTTCATTTTTCCATATCCTATTTCTTTGCAAAAACAAGTAGTTGTGACTTTAATTTATACTGTAATTTCTCCTTAATACTGGGATTTTTTTTTAATTTTCGGTTTCAAAATTTAATTTTGGTGCACCTCTAGTCAAAATAATTTATTCAACAAACAAGTTGTCAGAGCTGTTTCCTAATGTATTATAGATTTTTTTGAACCTATGCTTGGATACCATATAACTTTTCCTTGTCAGTTAGAGGAAGAATCAGGACAGCTGTTTGATACAGTAGTATACATTCTTTAAATAAAAGATACTTTGGTTACATTGTTTATCAGATATCATCCTTTTTGAAGGTTCCCCATCATTTTGCATGATAGAGCAGAGAAAGTAAAAAAATAACTAAATCTGGGTTGGCTTTTATTACTGTCTGTGGGAAGATTTTACCTCACTTTCTGCCAATGTGACAACAGGATCAAAAATAGTAGTAATGGGTGGCAGTGGAGCAAGAAGAAATAGGCACAAACAAAAACATGACTGAGGTTATAACCCTCTCAACCAACTCCTCTAAGAGTTATTTGCCACCACTTTCTGTCCCTGTGACACCTTGTCAATGGATATCTTCCATGTGTGGACAGGAATAAAAGTTTCACTAAGAACCACAATGAAAATGTTTTGTTTGGAGATGGAACTTGGCTAATATTGTAATTTTCATTCTTTTCATCTGTATATTTTTTTCTTGTTATATAACATGAATTGTTTCATTTGTTTGTGTTTAGGTTATTCTCCAACAATTAAAGGGCAGTTATTACATGTTGATACCACAACTAGTATGCAGTTCAGGTCTCTTCTAGAAGCTGAAATGCTTGCAGTAAGTTTGTATTAGCTTTAATTATTATTAATAATGTATTTTTTTACCCTGCATTTATTTCCTCACTTATGAACATGGGCTAAGCTAAGAAAAACTAAGAAACTCATCTAAGTGTTTTCTGAAGTAATCAATGCTATGTTATCAAAACTTGGTTATCAAAACTAACTGCGGAAGGGAATCTCACATTTTTACTACTCTGATAGAAACAAAACTAATTCTTACACAGTCTGAGATTAAACCACATCTCATCCAACTTCTTGTTGTGTCCATGTGTCATCTTCTTAGTATAAAAGTTTACCCCCTATTCTGCAGTTCCCATTGATGAATTTTTATTGGTAAATTGCAGTCATATCCCTTCTTAGTATAATATATTATTAAAGTCGTTATATAATTATGTATAGATTCCTATTTGGAAAAAAAAATGTTTCAGGCACACACTGAGAAGGTAATGCATTTTCCTAATTCTACACATGCTCTTTAAGTCTTTGACTTTGGGTTATATGCTACCTAAAGCTGAATGTACTCTGGCAAAGGAAAAAAGCTGCAGGGACAGCCTCCATATAACTCCTCCCTCTCGCATCAAGCTTCCTTTTTTTGCTGGTGTCCTTAGATGATGAATGTGCGCTTTCATTTTTACATGCAGTTATTTCTTCTAAATTCTTCTAGCAAGTTTCTGTTTTCCTAGCTTCTTTATAGCGACTGTGGCTACTGCCTCTCAGCAGCTCTCCAGACCCATCTACTCCATGGTACAGCCCTAGGGGAGAGAACCTGGACCCCTCCTGGAAGCAGTTGCGTATACAGCCGGTGATGTTGCTTCAGTCACTGGATCCTGCGTTGATCCTTGGCACATGAAGCAATGCTGTATGTCAGCCGCAGGGTGATATACTGGTCAGGGCTGTGGTCCGTCACCAGGGTGCTTGCCCTGCTCCTGACCTTGTTTTGTTCCCAGAGAATCCACATGGCATATCTAGACAAACTTCTACTAAAAGGTCAGTCGGCCCAGGCCCTTTTGATGAACGTAATGTGGACAATGCAGACTCTACAGAGGTTCAGTTGGGTCATCAATCTTTAGAAATCCTTCCTGGAACCGACTGGTTGGAGAACTTGGGTCTGGTGTTGAACATGGCCCTGTCCAGTTTTTTATTTTTACCTACAAGTAATGTAGGTTTCTCTGCTCACAGTTTCAGACCCTTTGGTCCAAGAGCTGACCTTCCATTTTCTTCTGCATGAGGGTTCTGGGTCTACTGGTGGCCTACTTCGAGGCAGTTTGGTATGCCCAGTTTCTCTTCAGACTGTTGCTACTCCGTATTCTAACTGTGTGGGACAAGCAGTCTAGTCTCTGTCCCTGTATGGTCTCATGCTTGTGTCCAGCAAAGCAGTCATTCCCTGGCATGCTGGATAGCCAACCTAGCTCTGGAGTCAGGAAAATCCTACCTTTCAGTAACTTGGAAGATCCTCACAATGAATGCCATCCTCTCGGGCTGTGGAAGAGTTCTGCATACCGTCTTGATAGATGGGATTTGGCCAGCAGAGGAAATGAGGCCGATTCAGCTGTCCCCTCATCCTTGGAGAAGGCATCTGACCGGGATTATGTTTGACAATGCCACGGCTTGGGCTTACATCATTCTCCAAGAAGAAATAAGGTCATGCGGCTTAAAGAGAATCAATTGAATGTTGAAATGGGACCCATCGCACACCTGACCGGACAAAACCCTTAGGTATCCGGTGGGTGCCAAAGTGACAGCAGATGCCTCCGCAAATCAACGTAAATGAAGAAAAAGTTACTCGCACTCCAGCTTGATTTCAGTCAATATTTATTGACCTCTGTAGTGTCACATCATAGGGATGTTTTGGAACCGCTTGGTCCCTTCTCCAGGCAAAGAGTCTCTTCATTATAAAAAATCAGACCTCATCGTGGCTTGAGTAGAGCTTCATGTTCCAGCCCTGTCTTCCGTGCACATTCCAGGCAAGGAGAATTGGCAGATGGCTTTCCTCAGTTATCAATGTCTGAGAGACTGTGTCCTGTACTGTTGGATTAGGATTTTTGACTTACCTGTGAAATCCTTTTCTTGAAGTACAGTACAGGGCCCAGGACCCTCCTCTCTGTTCTTATGATCCCCCTACTGCTTGCTACAGCTGGGAGATGAAGTGGTTATATGGGGACTGTCCCTGCGCAGTGTGGGTGAAGGAATTTGTTATATCTTTTTTATTTAGCCCACAGGTGGAAAAAAATTGAAACAATGTACACCCTAGTTTAGGCTTCATTCACGCTTGCACTCCTGTGTTTAGCTTTTCTAAATGCAAGGAAGGTTTTCTGAGTAGCATAAACAATGCCTCCTGGATCACATTTCCTGCTTTTAAATGTTCCTTCTTTAAAGTAGGTTTAGGCACTTTTATGTACGTTCACATGCACATTCAGAAGTTCTCTCTGGATCCTAGATAAACCAGACTTTTATTTGCCTTAAATGCAGGTAAACTGACCAGGGCTGAACGCAATAATCATGTGTGAATGTACCCATTAGGAAATCATTAGATGCATATACTATATACCGTATATACTCGAGTATAAGCCGAGATTTTCAGCCCATTTTTTTGGCTGAAAAGTGCCCCCCTCGGCTTATACTCGAGCCAGCGCGTCTTCTTACTTATTTTCTTTTAAATAAATATTAATGTAATTTTATTGGTATCTATCTACCATTAGCTGCCTCATTTCCCACCCTCGGCTTATATTCGGGTCAATACTGTTTCCCAGGTTTTTTTTGGTAAAATTAGGTACCTTGGCTTATATTCGGGACGGCTTATACTCGAGTATATACGGTATGCATTTAGAAACGCTTTCCAAATGCATATTTACACACCATATCGCATGTGTTCAACTGTCTTGTGTGAACGTGGTCTAAAAATATAAGGAGACTGTGTCCAGTACTGTATTCCAAGAAAATATTTTTACAGGTAGGTCAAAATTCCTATTTTAGCTGAGCCTGTGGCTAGACAATGAAATGTATCTGCTGGCATTATGTGTGTAGTAGGAAGAATGTGAATGTCCCAGTGATATAAAATAAATATATAAAAACGTTTAACACACTGGACTTGAGATTTGTACATGTAAAAATTCAATATTAAAAAGTGAATGTTACAAGTACAAAATTCAAGAAACTAAAATTTGTTTTGGGCCTAGTTGTCTCAACCCAAAGGCAGTTTTTGTTAAACCAGTCTAGGTTCACTATGTTTTGATTCCTGTGCAAATGTTAGTAAATCCTACAAATATTAAAGAATTAGTCAACACATCGTTGACATATATTAGGCTTTAGTGGGTCCTAAAGAGTTAAATAAAATGAGTCCCACCATTGACCTAGCTAGTTGTTTTTTCTATTCTTTATGTCTATTTAATATAGTGTATTCCTTCTTTCCCCCCTAGTTTCATATAAATGCCAGCTACCCTCGGGTGTGGAATATGCCTCAAACGTGGCACTGTGAGCTTGAAGTGTACAAGGCAACATACCACTTTATATTTGCTCAAAAAGGCTTTTTCACTGGTAAGTAACATGATTTGGTATAGCATTAACATAGTCACTGACAATTTTTTTAAGATAGCATGTACTTATGATTCTAGTAACATTGCTAAATTTGTATTAACCCTTGCTGTGCATGGCAAGGGTTGTGTTTGTTTTTGTCTAGGTTCTCTTGTCAGACTGAAAGTTATTGAATTCGGCAAAAATAATTTCATTGGGCACTGTCATGCCTATATTTGTTTTTGTAGAACTGTGTCTAGAAAACATCTACCATATAGGTTGCCTTTTCAGCAACTGCCTATTTAAATGACATATTTGTTTCTTACTTTCTGAACAGAGAGTTATAGACTGGTTATAGCTTATGTTTCTGGTTCTACTTTAGATCTAATACAAGACTGGTCTAGTGACAATGCACCAGATTTATTTTCCTTTGTCCCATATACTTGGAACCTAAAGATAATGTTTCATCAGTTTGAGATGATCTGGGCAGCAAATCAACACAATTGGATTGATTGCTCAACCAAGCAACAAGAAAATGGTAATGTATCAGTTAATTTTTTTTCTCCATTTTTCATAATAGCCTTAATTTAATAATAATTTAGCAGCTGTACTGACATATCTTTGGATAGTTTGGCCTATAAAAATCTAACTTTGCCTTTTTTACATTGATGATTAACAGAAATGTACCTTTTTAATGTTAGAGTGAAAAAAGATCCTGACAAAGAGACTCAAATTAATTTCAATTAAAAAATGCAAAATTACTGTGTGTGTGTGTGTGTGTAATGTGCCAAGCTAATATATAGTGAAATAAATATGAAAAACAATAGTCCCAAGATTAGACAATAGCAAACAATAAAGTGCAGCAAAATTCAAAGGTGCACTAAGTACACATATAATGTCATCCACATGTGAAAGTCTATCTCCACAAAATCATAAGGAAAAAATAAAGTGCAGTAAACACACTTATAGTGTTATCCACATGCTAAAGTCTTTTTCCACAATATCGAGAAACCACCAATCTGAAGTTTCTTTGAATCCTTCACCGTGTAAACCCAGTGATCACACAAGTGCAGAGGGGTGCTCACCTGATAATATGAATCCACTAAGTAGGTTTCACTACACAGTTCCCTTCTCAGAAAGGGGAGGGAAACCCTTTTAGGCCCCATTCACACTGAGCGATTTATCGCAGCGATATCGCTCATATTTCCGCGCGATATCGCTCTATGTAGCTTCTCCAATCCATTTCAGCTGAGCTGTTCACATCTCGTCGCTCAATATCGCTTGTAGCTCGTCGCTGGTAGCTTGTCGCTCCTACATGACCCTTTTTTAGAGCGATTTTGAGCGATATTGCTCCTGATTGCATACAGCCCAATAGGAAAAAGTAACGCAATGTCGCGCGACATCGCTCGTCGCGCAATATCGCTCAAAGTCGGGCGATTTTCATGTCGCTCAGTGTGAATGGGGCCTTAAGCAGGACAAATTAAATCCTCTTGAACCAACGCAGAAATCACCATACCCAGAAAGAGATAAACGGAGACCACATCCAGAGAAAGGAATCTTTATTATTAAAAAGGGTACTCACATAAAACCATCAAAAAATGGGCATGTAGCATCAAGCACTCTCTCGCAGGGGGAAACCTCACAGTGACATAAGAGAGGAGATATGGTAACAACATTCCCGTCCTTCCGGCAGATTCAGCTGTAGCTGTAATGATGTCAAAAGCTCCGTCTTACGCGCATGGCTTCGTCAGAGACACACCTCAATCATTACCGGTACAGCCAGTTCTTTTACCAAGTCACATGCGTTAAATAGACATCACCTGTATGTAGCTAAGGGGTTTCAAATGATTGTTGTAAATATGCACAATTATCTGCAAGGTCTAACCTTTGGTAAACAGTACCCTAGCCTAGCATATCTCACACAATCCTCAATGCTTTCCACGACCTTCCTAGCAACTCTGTGAAAAGGTTACTAAAATGACCAAATCAGGGGATGGTTTCAATAAAATTATCGAATGCCTGAATATCCTTTGGAATACAGTTAAATCAGTCATTACGGAATGGTAAAAGTATGCAGAACTATAAATCTGAGAAGAACAAGCCATCCACCAAGTGAGTGATAATTCAAGGTAGAAACTGATGGGAGTGGTCACTAGTAAGGCTCCATTCATACATAGCGATAGCGCTCGGAAAACATTAACATACACACAGATCCCACACGTTTGTGGCTATTACTATATCCGGAACCCGTGGAATCCGCCCAGAAAATTACGCTAGGACTTTTTTGCGGGACGCAGGTTTTTGTACAGTGCGGACACCGCCCTAGTGTGAACAATTCACATTGGAATGCATTGTTTTTAATGTTTAGAGCATGTACCAATATGCACGGAAAACCGCTCATGTGTGAATGGAGCCTGCCCCACAGAATTAGAATGGAGAGACTCTGCACTCAGTAAGTATGGCCCAGGTGCTTCACCAGTCACATTTCTATAGGAGAGGGACAAAGTAAATCACTTTAAAATAAAACTCCTGCCTACAGTTTGCCAGAAGAGAACCAGGGAGACTCTGAAGGTAGCTGGGGAAGGCTCTATGGTCTGATGATACCAAAATTAAGCGGTTTGGCCTCCCATCATAAACACATCATCCCCCACCATGGCATATGGTGGAGGCAGCATGTTTAGGGATGTTTCTCTGCAGTAGGTCTAGAAGGTTTGTGGAGTCTACCAGAATAAATGCAGCAATATAGCAGGAAATTCTGGAGGAAAACCTAATGCAGCCTGAGCCTAGGAAGAAGATTTAGCTTCACCCAGACAATGACCACAAAAATATATGCAAAGCTACACAAAATGGCTTAAAAATAACAATTGTATTGTCCTTGAAGGGCCAAGTTGGAGTCCTGGTCTTAGTCCAATAGATCATTTGTGATCATTTGTGTCTGTAGGTTGTTCACTCACGATCCTCATGCAACCTGACCGAACTGGAGCAGTTTCGCAAATGGGAATTGGGGAATATTGTAGTTTCTTGAAATGCAAAGCTGATAAAAAAAACTGTCCACACAGGCTCAAGGCAGCCAAAATTCAGACCTGAAGTGGTGTATATTTATGCAGTCAGTTATTTTGTGTGTTTTATCATTGTAATTATTTAAATCACTTTGCAAGAATCGGTTTTCGCTTTGACGTTGAAGAGTATATCAGTTCAACAAAAACAAAATTCCCTGTGATGGGTATAGTAAAACAATAAAACTTTCAAGGGATTAAATATAATATTTTTATAGGCTCCCCAGTAGTAAATGTAGGTTGTTAGTTTTTATGGAAACCCAAAAAATAAATTTAATGTTCTCATTAAGTAATTAATGCTCGGCAAGAGCTGCTATCTTACTGTAAAGTTCTGCACCGCCAAAGAAACTGTACATATATTTTCGGTTCTTTTTAAGATTTGTTTTTGTCCATGTTAAATCGATAACAAACAACGGTAGCCATTATAGTACACACTGAATGTATTATTTCCAAAGCTTTTATGTTTTTTCTTAAGCACTGAAAACCTTTGTATAGATTTGATTTCCTGTTTTGTTCTTTTAGTGTATCTTGCCGCCTGTGGAGAAACATTAAACATTGATTTTGCACTGCCATTTACGGATTTTGTACCAACTACATGTAATACCAGGTTTTCCCTTAGAGTAAGTGTAATTTTCTTTATTTTAATGTTCCTAGTTGTGCCGAAACATCCTTTGGTCTTGTCTTCATTATTGGGCTTCCAATCAGAAGAAGACAGTATAATTGCTGTTTTATTAGAACCATACACTTCTATACCAATTAGGTTTTTATTGTCTTATTTGACACACTGGACATGTGTTTTATATGTACCAATGAGATTATTATTTTCACTCTCTTAATTCCAGACTAATATTACCACACTGAGTCTTTCTTTTAGACTCCATGCTGTTAGTGTGGGCATCGCTTCATATGTCATTTGAAGCAGAAATCCTTGCTCTTTTTCAACACAAAGCTTTTCGTGACTTAACAAGGTTGTGGGTGACAAATGAGGGTCCCTGTGGTGTTAGAAATACTCTGATTTGCTATTCCTTTAGGTTTCAGCATATTTCAATAATGCGTTTTCCCAAAGTAGATATAGTTTGAAGGCTGGTTTCATATCTTTAATCATATTGGTCATGAACTAGCACTCTTTTTGTACTCATTGGGGGGAATTTATCAAAACTGGCGCAGACAAAATCTGGAGCAGCTGTGCCTGGCAACCAATCGGCTTCTCTCTTCAGTTTGTTCAGTTAAGATTTGAAAATGAAAGAGAGAAGCTGATTGGATACCATGCACAGCTGCTCCAGTTTTTGTCTGCTCCAGTTGTGATAAATTCCCCTCATTGTGTTATAATTTTATATGTAAATTCCAGAAGGCATCTCTTGTTTAGTTTTGCATTAGTGTGGACCTAATTCACAGAGACAGTAGGCACATCTTTAAAATGTATCTAACTTCAAAATAAAAATGTAGTATATTGCAGCTTACCACTCCTTAGATGTGGTGGCTGCATTAGTTTTCCTTTTTAAGCTTTGTAACTCTTTGTTTCCTTGTTAGTTCTGCCAGTAACACATTTTCTGCTTTAGGGTGCCAATGCTTAATCATTCTACTGTATTATTAAAACAAAGACAGGACTACAAAAACCTTTCCCTCTCCTGTTGTACTTAACAAAGAGGGGTAGGGTTCTCTGGTCATTAGATACAGTATAACTAGCAACAATGTGACCGCAAAGAATGCAGCACAGGAATTTATCAGCTGACAAGATCAACATTTTTTTTGTTCTGCACTTTTCAAACAAATATTACAAAACCTCTTAAATGGTATGTTTAACAGACAGAAAAGGACTAAATAAGGGAAATTCATTGCAAGTGTTTACATGCACATTAATCATAATAGGCTCTTGGGTGCAGATGATCACTTGCCAGTGGCTACCAGGTGGTGCTTATATTTTTGTGACTCTTGTGATTTACATAAAGCTTAACAATTCTCATAGTATGCTGTTTTTAAATTTTTTAATATTCATTTAAATTTTTTCTTGTCTGTTCTCATTTTCTTTCTCGATGCATCCTTTAAATGAATATCATTGTAGGCTGTCTACTTTGCCTTTGTGTGAATTGCAGAATTTACAAATATTGTGTCATTTTAGGCAGGAGATGTGGACCTTCATTTGTTCATACCTGACTGCCATCCAAGTAAATATTCATTGCTTACATTGGCAAAAGATTGCCACCCAAACAAGACAAGTCCTGACTCCTGCAGTTCTACAGAGAATCAGAGTGGCCTGAAACACTGCAAACTGAAATGGAGAAATGTAGCACAAGTAGAGTAAGTATCCAACTACTGTGTCTTCAGCTGGATGGAAAGACAGTGGTAATGTTTAACAGGCTACAAAACAGTAGTCTTATGTATATTAACCATGAATTTTCACAGTGTAACTTTGTCACTTTAAGCCTGTCATGAAAAGTGTATTATCTGAGCGCTGGACCGGCTTCAGGACTCCAGCAGAGATCTATTAAAGTGAAAAGGGAGTTATTGCCAAAAGTCATGTGACCAGCATTTCTCCAATCATGGAGTTCTTTCTGCTGTGTTAAAGTGCAGAATACTTTTTGAGGCACTGCATTGCTGTGTTTTATAAATGTGCTGCTTTATAGACCAGCCTCTTAGTGTGCACGGTATGTTTATTCTGGGACTATAAACTTGGTACAACCAAGCCCAAAGTGGTGTGTATATATAATAGTCACGGGGCTCGATTTGGAATCCATACCTAAGCCTGCTTATTTCTGCTGCACAGGGTGGGACAAGGCTGCAATTTTTTATGCTTTAATACTAGGTTTGTGAATCCTACTGTTACTTGGTTATCTATGATATTGTGTTCTTCTACATTAAGGGCCGGTTGGGTGGAGTGCTGGACTGTCCCATCTGTAATGCTTGCCATCGATTATACATGGCATCCAATTTATCCACAAAAGGCTGATGAACAACTGAAGCAGTCATGTAAGTTCAATGTTAACTGTGTGAAATCATGCAATTTGTTTTATGTTTGCTATCGCACACTATTTTCCATTTACCTTTCTAAATCTTAAAATGCAAACTTTTCCCTTCCATTACCAGTATCAGAAATAGAGGAATCAATGCTTTCGATGCTGAGGCCTAGCCAGAGAACATCAGAGAGGGTCACTTCTCCCACTACTTCTAGCAGACCAGCAATAGATCCTTCAGAACTGCCACCGGATAAGCTGCATGTGGAGCTGGAGCTTTCCCCGGACTCGCATGTTATGTTCTATGGACCCCTCCTGAGGGCCTTTCTGTCAATAAAGGTACAACTTCATATTGTTTTTTCTAAAGTGTTGATTGAAAGGAAATTTCTGCTGAAAAAAAATCTATTGCAGCTTTACTATTTTTATCTAGAAAAATGGCTCGCCTGGCTGCCATAATCTGCGATCATTAGCTCTTTCTAAAACATTGCCCTAAAACAAGCATGCAGATTAGGGCTCTACTCTGACTTCATTTGCTGCATACTTGTTTCAGGACAAGAGTGTATTGAAGTCAAAGGATCAGCATTGCTGCCAAATAAGTTCCTTTTTTTCAGAAGGAGGCCAGCAATGGCAGCCCACCGGGTTTCTCTCTGATTTTACTGTAAGTTATTTTCCAGTCTTTAATGAGCACTAAATGCAGCTTTTCCTCAAATGGCCTTCACCCCCATACTTTTCTCAGACTTCCATTATATTTGCTTGCTATAAATATTAAAGATTATATGCATATAGATTTTAATTGATAGAAGTGCTTGTTTCCTCCACATTCACCCTTGTTCTTACATTGCTGGAAGCAGGCGCTTCACCTCCTTACACAGCTCTGCTGCCAAAGTGCCAGGTTTCATCCTTGACTCGGACCTCACCTTTCTTCCCCACGTCCAATCACTATCCAAATCCTACTGCCTTCACCTTCGCAACGTATCCAAAATACGCCCCTTCCTCACCAATGAAACCGCTAAATTACTCATCCACTCGTCTTGAGTGATATCTCGTCTTGACTTTTGCAGCTCCCTCCTCATTGGCCTTCCACTACACAGGATATCCCCCATTCAGTCTATCATGAATGCAGCTGCTAGACTCATTCACCTAACCAACCGCTCAGTGTCTGCAACCCCCCTCTGCCGATCCCTGCACTGACTTCCAATAGCCCAAAGGATAAAATTCAAAATATTAACAATGACTTACAAAGCCATCCACAACTCTGGCCCCAGCTATATCTCAAACCTTGTCTCAAAGTATCACCCTAACTGTCCCCTCCGCTCTTCAAAAGACCTTCTGCTTTCCAGCTCCCTCATCAACTCCCCCCATGCTCGCCTCCAGGACTTCACTAGAGTCTCTCCCATCCTATGGAACTCTTTACCCCAACCTGTCCATCTGTCTCCCACTCTGACTGCCTTTAGGCGATCCCTTAAGACTCATCACGTTCTCAGACAATTCATTACCCAACCACAGCTACCTCCTAATGTATCACTTCCCCTCCCTTTTAGATTGTAAGCCCTCAGGGGCAGGGCCCTCCTTACCATCTTGTCTTGCATTGTATTGTGATTGTAATGTCTTCCTTATATTGTAAAGCTCTGCGCAAACTGTTGGCGCTATATAAATCCTGTATAATAATAATTTTCCTGAATTATGATCATCTTCTTAGTATAATATTTTGGGGGCATCACCTAGCAGCAAAGCATTTCTGACATCACCGAAAGTGGAGAATGATATATTGGCCCAGATATATGGCAAATATTATGATTATTATACAGGATTTATTTAGCGCCAACAGTTTGCGCAGCGCTTTACAATATAAGGAAGACATTACAATCACAATACTAGAGGTGCACCGAAATGGAAATTTTAGAACCGAACCGAAACCGAAATAAAAAAATTGTCAGGCCGAAACCGATACCGAAAATGTTTTGATTTTTTCACATTTTTAAAATATTTTATTTTTATTTATTTTTATAAATGTTTTTATATTTATTTATTTTTATTCATTTTTTATTAAATTTTTTTTTTTACATTACTTTTAGGGGCTTTGGGAAATATTGGGGGTCTAAACAGACCCCTGATATTTCCCTTTTAAAATAGAAAAAGAGATTGAGAACACAAAGTCCTCAATCTCTTTTTCTGTGTCCCCTGTTATCAATGAACAGGAATCTTCTATGAGTGTTCCTGTTAATTGATAACATGAGAACATTGTGTGTTTACTATAACCACAATCTTGAATGAACAGAAGGTGATGTAGATCACTTCCCATTCATTCATAATTGAGGATATAGTCAAGATACTATGTCCTCAATTATGTACAAACACTCAGCGATCGCTGAGTGTGTGTACCTTGCTCTCCTCTCTGACACGCTGTCACAGGAGGCTGATTGAGACGTGTAGGGAGGAAAGCCCAGCTTCCTGTGACAGCGCTGTCTCCACCCCCACACCGCTCTGCCGGACTGTGATAGGTGGCTGAGCGGTGTGGGAGGAGACGCCGGCTCGGCCGGCTATCACAGTTTCTCTCCTCCCGGCTGGGACACATAGCAGCGTCCAGCAGGGAGGAAAGAAATCAGGGATGCGCCGATGTATCGGCAGGAAAATGGCACTTTCGGCATTATGCCAAAAGTGCCATTTTTGGCCGATATGTCTCGGCGGCCAATATATCGGTGCATCCCTACACAATACAAATCAAGACAAGATGGTAAGGAGGGCCCCGCCAATGGTAAAAAGAGCAAATAAAGATATATGTTTTTGTGTGTGCCATAAACTGTACACAGTACACATATAAAGTAATGTCTGATAAAGAAAACCTTTGACCAGATTGGTTCTTTAAAGTTTATGTAGAGACAAATAAAGCAAAAAACATATGCTCTGCAATGCATGCACATTTCCCCCTTGAATGTCCCTGCAAGTGCACAAAATATCAGGTGATCAGCCAGAAATGCACTCAGCTCTTAAATCTTGTTGGGGCCAACAACACACAACATTTTTGAATGGTATCAGCACTACACAGTTTTCTTTTGCTAAACTACTCAAACCCTCCCACTCTCTGAATCACTACAACATAGATACTAATCAGTCTGTAGTCCCAAGATAAGAATTAGGAGGGCTAATTACACTTTTTGAGATATTGCATTAAGTGCATTAAGTGTGCAGATGATGTAGGACAACTCTAAATTTCTAACATGATCAATTGGTGTTTTTTGCACCTTTAGAACATATAAAACAAAACACTTTCAATGGTATATTTAACAGCCCACCAGAGAGCAAATAAGAGAAATGAATTGTTAGAGTTTACATGCACTCTAACACTGTGGAATGGTTACTTGGAAGCCATTATCATGTCATAGTACATATGCTAAACTAGATGTACTGGGTTGTCCATTTCATTTGGCATCTAACTATAAAAGCATTTGGATTAACTGTTAAGTGTGTACATCATATGTTCATTTACAGAGAGCCAAAGGAAAGATTTAATTTCCTATAATGTGGAAGATACTTAGTGAATTCAATATAAAATTCATGCTTTTAGCATGTCATTACAAAGAAAACCTGGTTCTCGTAGTCCTTTCTTGTATTTCAAATTGGATAATTAGGTGTAAGCTTTTAGCACGTTGTCTCTAACTGTATCCAGCGGAAGACCATACACTTGACATAATTGCATGCCACACCACTTGTCTTCTTTGTTATCCGCTATGGAACCGACAATGCGAAATACAGATCCATCACATTTGTAGTAAGTGCTGTATATGCATGTCTGCTGTGGTGCTAGGTGAATGATGCTTTCTTGTAGAATCTCAAAGATAAGCACTGCTGTGTGTTTTTTAGATGACATCCATCACTGATGGTTTATCGCTGTCAAATGCTGTATGCATATTTTATCTTTTAAATGTTTTAGAGGCTTGTGAAAGTTAAATGAGGAAGGGCACTTCTTTTTGATCCGTCGTCGATTTTCTGTTTTTTACTTTGCGAGTCCCATCTTCAGGGAAGTTTATGGCTTCTCCTTTTTATCCCAGTCATGTTATACTAATTAAAACACTGTTCATGTGTGTCCTCAAATCCTTTTTTGTAGAACTCTGCAGGGAACCATTGCTCTATTTTATATGCTGCTCGATTTCTGAATAGGGCTTTTAGAGTGGAATTGGAACCAGTGGGCTTGGAGCTGAAAGCTTTATTAGAATCTGGTCTGTTGCTTTTTACAGTGTTCAGCTGTGGGACCGTTCTTTTTTAAATGACTTTGTTTTCCCATCGACTTCTGTTCTATTTCCAAACTACAGCTGTTCACAATATTTTGCAAAGCTTGTTCAGTCTAAAATAGCTCACCTCCACAGGCCAATATCAGATTGATCTTTTGAAAACCTATGGCGCTATTCTAGAATAAGTTCCTAATTAATTCTTTGTGGAAGGCAGGCTAACACTGACTCATGTGAAATCTTTCAATATGTCCTCTTGAGATGAGGGATCAAGACCAATGTTTTCATAGTGATCTTCAGGTAATCCAATAATATAGGCTTTTTTTTTTTAATACATGGAAACTGACTATAGGGTTTGTCAAATAAGAATGAGCATCTTCTTGGTGTCTCCCTGTAATTTACTAAGCTCTAGGTGGCAAAAACAGCTTTGTGCAGATGCAAAATAAAAAACAAATATAAACCTGTCACCCTAAGCATCTTAAACTGATGTCCAACAAATGTGATCGATGCAAAGCCCGTAGTCGCCGGCCCTTACGGTGGCAATACTTGTACATAGAGGAGAATCTAATGCTTAGCCTAAGAAGGCTTGTTTCTAACCTAAAGTGTATTTACACTTTTGCAGCCGAATTGGGATAACACCTACTTCATCACTGTTGCATGTTCTCATTTACATTGCATAACTTAATTGAAAATCGTCGCTTACATTTTAACTGCTTTTTACTTAAATATCCTACCTAGCCGCCTTATGTAATGTTAAGGTGGGAGCTCTGGGAATGTGTTTACTGTAATAAGCCCTGACTACTGTGCTGGCAGATTGCATTATCAGTTGCGAAGTAGATTTGAACACTGCCTGTCCTAACAAAAGGGTAGAAGTATTGTATGCTAATGTGAGGAAGCTCAGAGTATCCCATATCCTTCTACGGGGGGAGGACTCCCTTTTAAACTGTTCAGAATAGCTTGCAGTCTGCACAAAGACCTGCTAAAAAAAATAAACAACTAAAAGGTATGACATATTTTTTACAATTATTTTTAGGCATGCTATGTGAATGGGAATACATAACAAACATTCAGTGGGGTTTGCTCAAATTTGACTGCAAAAATGGAAATAGACTTCCACTTTATTATTGTACAGTACTGCGAGTACAGCATCAACATCCTGTTTGGTCAATCCAAGCTTAATAGACTTCAGACAAGGCATGTATCACTAAATATCCCACCGGAGTCCTGTAAGGTTTTGTTTTTACAAAGTGTTTCTGTCTATGTCCACATGTTTACTTGTTTATTGATTCTTTGCGTAACAGCTAATGATGCATCACTTCACAAACCACACAGTTGCAACCTACATTTAACCATTGGACGCAACTTATAACCTGAGTTCTAATGTCTTTGTGCTGGTGAAAAAGTTAATCCACATCAATTACTCAGACACCCTCGAAATCTAAGGTGGTGTTCAGTGGATGATAAACAACCTTTTCTCTGCTCAAATTTGCATTGTAGGTGGATTGTGTAACATTTGCCGAGATATTACCTCAATTCAGCTTTAAAAGTTTAAAGGGTCTATTATTTCGATTTGCCTTTTAACTTTGTGGGCAAATAATTTAAAGCAGCATAGTTTAGTATTTCATTTACTTAACTTTGTACTGGGGCAGGGAGGCTGTATTGTGTTAAAGTGACAATAAAGCCTAAAATGTTTTCCACCAATGTAAGTCCTTTGTGATGTAAGGACTGACCTTAAATGATGCCTCTTGATCCGATCATCTTCTTCTTGCCAGTAGTTTTCAGGAGTTCCTCCAGCGCTGGTGTCGGGCTCTGGTCCAGCGCTAACTCCTGTCTCCTCCTGTCCCACGGACTCTGTGCGGGTGCACGCTGCCTGCGTTGACTTGCCTTGTTTCTCTCCTCTTCTCCCGTCCAAAGATCTGCGCATGCACTGGCCGCAAGATCCTTTGCGTCTGCCTGATAATTTTCAGATCTTCGGGCGGGAGCGCGCAGCGTAGGCACAGCTAAGTTTGAACCCTTTTTGTTAACTTTTTAAAAAAAATGTTTTTGCATATCTCTACTGCTTGCTAGAAGTAGATATATACGCAAGGCTTTAATAATTCCTTTAAATTGGACCTCTAATAGCTTAAAGATGAACTTTGGGAAAGTTAAAAACTTACCCTTGCAGCGGGTTACGCCTGTACTGCAATGGCTAATTGCTCATTTTGTCTAGGAAACTGAAATCAAGTAGATTTACTTACCTGATCCTCGTTCCTGCCAGGCTGTTTAGACTGGTCCTTGCAGCTTCTACTCCCAGCCTTTTCACACAGCAGCAGGCTCCCACAAAGCAGAGAGAGGAAGTGTGAGAGGGAGAGCCATTGGCATCAGACAGCTTATATATAAAAAGGCTTGTGGACAGACCAAGAAGTCAGGCCTGACTACCAAATAAGATGTGGACCTAGGACTGGAGACTTCATCCCACCAAAAGCTCTACAAAGCTCCCAGGCTCCAGAACAGGACAAAATGTTTGTTTTCTCCATAAGTCATAAACCAGCAGCAATGATCTTTTCAAGGTTTCCTTTTTTGGGGGGTTGTCCATGGCTACTTTTAGATTTCAAATCAAATTGTTCTAATCATTGTTGATATGGTAATCATTGTTTGCATACTAACTAGGTGTTTTTCTATCAACAAATTCCTACTCTTCCCTGTTTCAGGAAAACTATTTTGGAGAGGACGACATGTACACAGACTTTGAGGACAGCACCTCCAGTCCTGTACTATCAATGTCCACATCGTCTAGCTCTGGCTGGACCGCAGTTGGAATGGAGAATGAAAAGAGAGATAATGACCTAGCCACCAAATCCGTTCATCCACTCAGCCTGAGGCCATGGGACATCACTGTACTTCTCAATGTGTTTAAAGTGCATGCCAAGCTGCCTGTGGTAAGTAGAATGCCATACGCTTTTACATTATCCGATTAAAGGCGAAGCCAATGAACAATTGGTATTTCAGTTGGGAGAGCATCCTAGTAGCTTAAACTCATTGGTCTCTTTCCCCATATGTAAAAAGCGACATGACACGATTGATTCTTTTCATAATTGGCTGATGTCATGCATTTTAAAAATGTTTTACTATACATGTTTTACATACACGTTTGTCGTTTCCCTTCCCTTTCCCTGTCTTGGTCATTAACCATTTAAAAATGTCTTGAAGTTATATTAGTATCTTAGTTCACTTTGTGTTGTACACTAGCAGGATCAACCTTAACCACTCAACTTCAATTATTAGCACAGAAAATAAGGTTTGAGATAAGGAGAATGCTTATAGTTGGTGAACCGTGTGCTTTTGTGGTCTTATACTGGACAAATATGGTTTGGAATGTGTACATTTGTGCAGTTTGTCCTGTAATCTGTGTACTCATTTTACATATCTCTTTTCACTTAGCACTGCGGTAATGATGGACCAGAATGTCCAACTGCTTTTGTGGAGAGACTCTGCTTTGAGATGAAGAAAACGTACGGAGAGACTTTTCTCCAGCTTGTACTGTCACCTTTGTACATATTTGTGAATGACAACTGCCAGGTATTTTAGGCCTGTTTGCAAAAATCTTCTTTTCTGATCTGGTGAAAGTGCAGAACTACTTGTAAAAAAATTGGAATGTACTATTTTTTTGCAGCCCACAAGAGCATTTATTGCAGGAGAGCAGCATCAGGGAGTGATTGCAGTATATTTTGTAGCTTATAAGTTAGAATGCTTGAGTGTGTGTGTGTGTGTGTGTGTGTGTGTGTGTGTGTTAAATGTGGTCATTAGTTGTATATAGACTGCATTATATGAAACTATTGTGTCATCCTAAATCTCTAAAGGTGGCCATACGCGGTGCAAATTTCAGCCGGCATTCCTCGATCAGCTGATCAAAGGAGTCGGTTAGAAAACCTTCATACGAACAGAGCCGTCAGCCAACGCACTGCTGGCTCTGTTGGGGTATTCTGGCGGCGGCCGTTGTCAGAATACAGTGAAGACAACGGGAGATTCCTCAATCAACGATGGTAAGCTTTGATCGAGGAATCTGTTCTATTTTTTTAATAGAACAGTTTATTGCCAGCTTCATTCTGTAATTCTGAAGTCACTTGAGGTATTTATGTAAAACTGACTCTACATTAGTAGAATTTTATTTTTTTTTTAGATGTGTTTTCGGTTCATTTGTTCAATTTTCCAATACTTAATGGTTACATCAGTCCGCTTCAGTCAAACAGAGCTGATCTGTCTCAAATTGCGGACCTGACAGATCCTTCAAACTGCATGTCAGCTTGGGTTTTACGTGTTTCTGGGGACACGCCCCCTTCATCAGAACCTCTCCCCCTGAGTGTCAGATATCTCGAATAGTGTCCAATCAGGGCGAACCAGTGACCAGTCACATGAATCAGCCGACCAATAAGAGTATTCCCTAAGATGTCACATGGCCGCCATCTAATATACACTGAGCGACCTGTCCTGAGTCTGCTGTCAAAGCAGCAAGAGCAGACAGGCAGTCTAAGGGCCCCGCCCCTCAACATATGTCCTCAATCGCTGTTACAGTAATCCAGATGGCTGTTGGAACAAAGCTCAGAAATGAGAACCTGGTATCTATGCATCTTAAGCATAGGGGAGAGGGCTGCTAGGTTCTGATGAAGGAGGCGTGTCCCCAGAAACACGTAAACAGACCAGTACAGCAATTAAAACCTGGCAGAAGAATGCCATCAATTACTGTATCAATATATTTTGTCGCAATGCATGAATGACATGAATAATCTTTGAATCCATGGCAATTTATCTCAGTAATACTGTGCATGTTAGATCAGCAATCAAGGTTTTTATTCCTGCGCTCATTTGAATAATTCATGCACACGTGCAATACATTGAATCACGAGGGCTACCCAACATTGGTATTAATGTGTTTATGGTTTTAACAATTTTTACATTTTGTTGTAGAATGGTATATTTTCCTATTGAGGACGGTCATTATCCTAGTGAACTGTTTGCGCCATAACAATTAAGGAAAGGAAGTGTATGTTAATAAGAAATGTTGGTGATAAATGATAACATCAGAGGCTCTAGAAGGTGCTCCATGTGCCCATATTCCATATACATTATTTGATCCTGGTTACCAATTGAAATTATAATTTTTATCCTATTGAAATATCCTACCCAAAGTGCATTGCAACTTAAAAAGAATATCCCCCTTTAGGCTGCTCAGCTCTGCCTTATTTTCTCTGATGTTTTTGTCTAAAACAGCATGGGAAATGTCTGCGGTGTCAGACTGAAAGGCCATAAATCATGGGCACAGCTAAAGACATGGTCCCACATGCTGAATACATCTTTGTGGTATCTGACCAACCAGAAATCCTAGTTTTTAATTAACATATTACCATACAATAAACATATTACCATACAATAAATGCTTACATAACTCCTGATATTCTGTATATTTTTTGGTACAGTTCAAGGCTCACAGTTCATTATCAGTGGTCTTATGCAAGTGATCTTTTTACAACTGATATTCAATGGGGAAGGTCTAGGATGTCCTAGAACTCTTGCCCGCCTCCTTTTGTCCAGGTTGCCTAAGTAATTATCTACTAATGAGTGATTGGGCCACCTCAGTGTTTTGGCTTACACCTTTTGACCTTTTTCATTTTAAATCACCATTGAGTATTGTTATAGGTCACATTTGAGGCATATACCATTTGTTATGTTCAGACCTTAAAATTAAAAATGTTAGTTGTAAACTATCTATGCCCTAATTTGAATAAAAACTTATTAAACATGAAATTAAAAATGTTAAAAGATAAGTGCACTTTTAGAGAAATTGCACTTATACATTTTGCCCCCTCCTCCCCTGACCTAATAGAACCCATTATCCTCACTTGCAGATGCTTACCTACCAAGATCTGGAGCTTGGGGCCTCAAATATTTGTTTACATCCCTCACCCAAGTCCTCTCTGTGGTCGCTGTGCCTGTGCAATAAAGCCCTGGGAGCAAATTCCTGGGAAACTCGGGAAGGCAAGTTCCATAGACTTCTTGTTGACTGAAACTCTTTGGATCATGGGCAGAGATGAAAACATGGCCCCCCATGCTGCTCACACCTCTGTGGTGTCTGACCATCCACAAATACAATCCTAGTTTTATAATATTATTGGGATAACCTACTTTATATTTGTTACCTGTTCCCATTCACATTGCAGAGTATCACATAGCATAAACAATATTTACATTTTGCTGCTTACTTATTTGCTTAAAAATCCTATAAAATCTTACATAGCTGGGGAGTCATGTTTACCATAATTTACTCTGTCTGTACTGTGCTGACAGATCTTCTTATCAGAGATGTGCACACTGTCTGTCCTAACAAAGGGTTAAAAATATCTAAGTCTTGGTGGTACATTGCATGCGAGTGGAAATAAAGAGAGGGCGAGTGGAAATTCAGTCAGGCACGCGGTCACGGATCGCGTACCTGACTATAATATTTCAGCACATTATTCGTTATTTAAAAAAAGTGTTCTTTGTCTTCTTTTGTAAGCCAAGGACAGAACATTGCACATGTGTGTTTAACTCATACATGCTTTCAATATTTGTGTTCTTCTCATGTTTTTTGTTATATTATATGCAGAGGCCTGCCGTGGATGGGATGCTTAGAGAAGGGCACATTAGCCTCTCTGGATTACAGCTACGTGCACATGCAATGTTTTCTCCAGAAGGCTTGCCTCTAGGCACAGATACAATGGAGTATGCATGGTTAATAGACGTGCAGGCGGGTGCTCTTACTGCCATGGTCACTGCACCACAGGTGAGAAATCAGTATATCCTTTGATGTATACCTTATAGAACATCAGTCTTGTTGGTCCAATTCAGCAGAGCCTATGTTTCCCAGCGCAGCATCTATGTGAATGCTTCTTTTTAGTAGTCATAATATTAAACATTCTTCTCTGTGACTGCGTTTTAAATTTGCTATTTAGAATAGTTTTTGATCTGGCGGACTGTGGTATCCAAGTCCAAGGACACTGCACTGAGCCCATGTATTTTTTGAGATATTTGGCGCAGTGCACCTTTGCTAATATCAAGTAGCATACAGCAGGTGCCAGGCCTTGCTTTTACCCTGTGTGTATGGACCCCAAATGACAAAAACAGTAAACCAATAAAGCTGTTGGAGATTTTTCTCCAATCTTAAATGACCAAACATTCCCCTCTCCAAGCTAAGGATGAACAGTACCAATTTCCTGCCTTACTGAACTCCTCAGGCTGTCATGGGAAATAAGATTGGCAGTCCTGCAGTGAAACCTGTATATCTATGGAGCTGTACATAATATTAAAGATGCAAATGGGTCTTAAACTTATTTGGAAATAATAATTATCTTATTCACACAGAGTAAAACTTTTCACTTTGCATTAGAAAGTGTCATTGCTTTATAGGCAGGACTTTCCTCAGGTATTCTACTATTAATGTGTTTTTAATGGATAATGTGCCTTACCTGATCATGTAGACTGATGGAAATTATGTGCCTTGAGTCCACTAAGTAATTCCCATTTCCTGTCTGAGGTTTTAATGGTTCTAGCCTTGTAGATAGAATATTAAATATTTTGTGAGCAGCTTCTGAACTGTGCTGGCAAACATATCACAGCAGGGCACCCTCTCAGCATATAGGCTAAAGATCATAATTGATCTTTGAGGGAGTGAAGGAGAAATGTAGCCCCTTTTTTCTTTTTATTGCATAAAGCTATGCAGCAGGGGGCCACTGAACATGCTTAAAAAAAAAACCCACTAAGGTAAATTTACTATTAATTGGATTTACTAAATATGTAACTTTCAGAGCGCATAGTCTTGAATAACACATTGTATAAGCTGGCAGTATGTACCCAATTCTAAAAAAATAATGTGACTAAACAGGGAGTTAGATTATGTAGCAGCAAGGTTAAAATATTTTAATTGTCAAGCTGCGCCCATATGTTCCTAGATTGTATTATTGTCACTGCTGATTACATTGCCTTAACATTTACCGTGTAAGTAACCTGTTGTCTTGCAGGTGGTGGGTCTGCTGGATTGGGGGCAGACCTTTGTGTACCATGTGGTGTGTAATGAGTTCCAGATGGAGAGGCCAAAGTCCGTGGTGATCTGCCAGCATGGCATCAATCAGAGGTTTTGTGACGCTAAGGTTGGTATTGCAATTTTCATCTTCTATTAGAGATATATCAGCTGATCAGAATTCCAGAATATCAGTAATGATAGATGTTTGCTCATATGTTTTTAGAGCACTGATATCTTTGTATTTTTTTTTTAAAGTAACCTGATAGATTTATCCTGCCCCCCGCTTTCTCCCTTTTTGTCTCCTTTCTTATGTTTTGTTCAGCCTAATTCCTTTGTTTTCTCTTCCCCTCATTCAGATCTTGTGTTCTTCTCACATTCATCTCAGAATGTGTGACTTTGAAACAGAAACGTTGCCTTTTTTTGCCTGTCCTTGTGCAGGCAAAATGTAATCTTTTTAAAGGACAGGATCAGGAGAAGAAACTTAAATGAGACATTACTATCTTTTTCTTTCATTTCCTTTTCTTTACTTCTCCACAGCATTATTTTTCAGATTGTCGTCCACCCCCCGGTCTTACAAACCTGAACCACAAAATTAGTCAAAATCACAGCAAAAAGCAGGTGAAAGAGAATGCTTTATTAATGGCTATGGTGTCTTTTGTGCTGCTGTATTTACTTTCATTTAGGTGTCTGCTGTTGCAAATTGTTGGAATATATTTGCATATTACTATTTTATTATTACTAATCCTCATAAATTGGAAACCTGACATTTAATAATGCATTTAAAGGATCAGGATGGGATTGGTAGTCTATTTTGTAATTAATATTTACTATAATCCACTGTGCATAACGTTTTCCAGGCAACTACAGACATGGACAAATCTGTTGGTACCCTTACAGCGCAGTGAAACAATGCTTCATTCCTATTGAAAGTTGATAAAGCTAAAATCAATTTTCTCTTGTACATCTGCATGCTTTATGTATGGCAGAAGAAAGCAAAGCAAGTATGAAAAGAGATTAATGATTGCTTTTTCTACAAAAGTGGCAAGGACATATTTATTGATGCCCCTAGAAAAAAATTATAAATAATTGGATCATAGTAATATTTCAAATTAATTGATCTGTGTAAATAGTATCACCCATATCTTCAATCTTTAAATAAGTCAGTCAGCCAGTTTAAAGGAAGAAAAGTAGTCACAATGTATATTAGAGGTAAAGGCTATATGACCATCTCTTGGTTGGATGTTCCTGTGATTACAGTTGCAATTGTTATTAACAAGTTTATGGTCCATGGGAATGTTGCCAACCTCCCTGAACATGGCCACAAGAGGAAAATTTACAAATAGACAAAGAGCCATGGAACACTTCCAAAGATATACAAACTGAACTCTAGGGTAAAGGCAAATCAGTGTCTGATTGCAACATCTGATGCTTTTTGAGTGACAGTGGGCTCAAAGGAGGAAGACCCAATAGGATTTCACTGTTGGAAGAAAAACATTAAAAAGCCAGACTGGAATTTGTTAAAATGCATGTTGACAAGCCTCAATGCTTCTGGGATAATGTCCTTTGGACAGATGACATGAGACAAAACTGGAATGTGACTTTTTTGGTAAATCACATCAGTTCTATGTTAATCAGATAAAGCTTTCAAAGAGAAAAGCACCACATCTACTGTGAAACATGGAGGAGGCCCTGTTAAGTTTTGAAGCTGCTTTGTTGTGTCCTGCACGTGGTGCCTTAAATCTGTGCCAATTAAATCTTAAAGACTATCAAGGATATCTGGAGCGAAGTATGCTGCCCAGTGTCAGAAAGCTCTTTCAGTCACAGCTCATGGGTCTTCCAACAGAATAATGTCCCAAAACACACAGCTAAAAGCATTCAGATATGGGTAAGAAAAAAACATTGGACTTTTCCAAAGTAGTCTTCTGTGAGCCCTAATCTGAATACTATTGAACACCTAAGAAGAGTAGGCCAAACTACTGGCACTGGTAGGTTTTAAAAGTCTTATTGAGAGCTACAGAAATTGCTTGTTTGCAGTGATTGCCTCTAATGGTTGTGCAACAAAATATTGGGTTAACGTTCCCAATGGTATTTGACCATGCCATTTTTATTTGTTTTATTTAAAATATTCTGTTGAATCAAACATTTAAAAGCAATCTCTTTTTTTAATTAAATTTAGATTAAACAAAAATTGGATGCCAATTACTTCAATCAGTTGTATTTTTTTTTTAGAGAAATTTGTGGATTCTTCTTTTTTCGTGGAAAGGTACCAACAAGTTTCTTCATATTTGTATAGCAAGAGATTAGCCTGTGACACTGATAACCTAAGAATGTGCAGTAGAATTCTAGCGGTGGAGGCTTATCCATGGAAATAAATGGGGATTCTACTGTGCATGCATGGTCCAGAGAGGAGACTTTTCGTGAGGAGGCTGTGCTTTACCAAGGAAGTGCAAAAATGACGATATCTCACCTTCCTTTACCTTCAACTTTTTTTAAAAAGTACTATCAATTTAAAATATTATCTAATGAGATTAGGTCGGATACAATGTATGCACTTCTAAGTAACAGTGGTAAATTCCTAGTAAATCCAAATGATTTTGTAAACTTTACCTGAGACAAGCATGAAAGCTGGCACTGCTGACCTCATTCTAGTTTCCTAGGTATTCTGCTGACTCCCAGGCTAAAATATTTAAGAGTCACTCACCTGGTACCACAGATGAGGAAAGTCAGTTTTCTTTGTGTCAGTGACTCAAAGTTTTGAAGCCATACATTGGTGACAGTCAGGCAATTAGCATTTTTTTAGAATGATGGCAATGGCAGCATCCATGTTTCTCTCAAGAAAGGTTATTAGCATTGTTGTCCAGTGGGCATTATCTTATAAAGCTAAATGCCCCCTGTCATATTTGTTTTTGTTATTGCTTCTCTGCAGTTAAGCTGCCATCCGGGACCATGTCTGCCAGCAGACGACCTGAAATACCGAATGACACGCCTGTCAGCTGATGGAGCAGATCTCTACATCGCAGAACATGGCTGTGCTACAAACCTGAAAGTGAGTCACTTCACCATTGCTGGAAAAGACCAATAGAGGAATTGTTAATGAAAAAGGCGCAAAGGGAAAATGTTAGTGGTGTTTGTACCATCCAATCAAACTCATTGGAGTCACCTTTTTTCTTTATATAATATTTCATAAATTAGCCCTGTTATCTTACTACTGACCTCAAGGCAAAGCTCTAAATGCAAATAAATTGATGTAAGCGATGTATCTGCTTAATATATTCTATCACCATCCCTGTGCCCCCTCTTATTGCAAACTGCCTTAACACCAACTCATTCAGCCCCTGATGCCTGAAAACTGTTATAAAGGCAGCACTGTACAATGCAGTTGAGTTGTTTTGGCTCACAGCACTGACAAATCCCTCCCAGCCTAATGTTTTGGTGTGCAATGAATTATGTGTTTTTGTATAATATAAGGTATAGTTCAATCATTAATACTTTAAAGCAAACCTGCAGGTAGTATGCCAACTGCCATTGGTGAACTTTCCTTTTAAAAGTTGACTCTCTGAAGTGGTCCCCACTGAGTGTCAGCTAGAGCTCTGCAATCAACAAAGCTCATGTTCCCTTCTGATTGCACAGCTAAAGCTCCTAATAAGCGTGGATGGGGCATGTGTTAGGGTGGCCATACATCTTAAAACCATTGCACGACTTTCGTTGTGCGATGGTTGTAAGGTGATTAAAATTCCGTACGAACTGCCCATCTTGGACAGGCAGATCGTACTTGCAATCATCGCAAGTCCTCCCCGCTGAGGGGAGAGCTTACAGATGATTGCAATGGTGAGCGGGCAGTGTGCGTCTGCGCACCTCGGCCCGTGCGGCTTTCGTCTTGCGATCGCGCTACCAACCCGCCGAAAATCGTAGATTTCCGGCGGGTTTTCTAGCGTGCTCGTAAGACGAAAGTCGTGCGACCTTGCAGTATATGAGGTCGCACAATGCCCATACCCCTGCCGATTATCGTGCGATAATCGGCAGGTGTATGGCCAGCTTTAGACCGCTGCAGGGAGTTTGCTGGTTACACAGAAAGCATGTGTATTTCCACTTTTGCAGCCAATTTGGGATTACATCTATATTATATTTATTACATGTTCTCATTCACATAGCATAATAAAAAAATGCTCCTTACATGCTTTCTCATATTACTAGTTTTCATTAAACTGAATTCTCCTCCGAAATGTAAGGAGGCTGTGATGTTTATCATAGTTAATCCTGTCTGTGCTGGCAGATCTCATTATCAGTTCTAAACTAGACTTAAACCCTGTCCTAACAAAGGGTTAAATATATAGAAGCATTGTATGTCAATGAGAGAAAAGCCCTGAGTGTTCTTAGTCCTTCTATGGGCATGCAATCCATAACTAAAAGGTAAAAAATATGTTTGTAAAAAGGACTTTTAGGTATGTTGTGTGTATAGTAACACATAAACATAGGGTGGGTTTTTTCAGTTTAAGGCCTCAGTCACACAAGAAAAGGCCGGCATGTACAGATCCTTGCTGCGTGCACGGCTGTATCGGGCAGCTCCGGGAAGGACAGGTGCTGTGTGTGATTAGTACACAACCCCCATCCTTCTCTATGGGACTACGCGGCCGTACGCTCACCTGCCCTGCAAGTGCGTGCGGGGGAGCGTACTCGTACGCTGACAGAATGGATCCTGTCTGCGTCTGAGCCAGGAAACACGCACTCGTACGGACCTGCACTTGAGGTGAGCGTAGGGGGGCGTACGGCCGCGTAGTCCTATAGGGAAGGACGGGAATGCGTACTAATCACACGCCTCTCCTTCTCTATGGGAGTACACCACCCTACGATCCATCTTGTCAGCGTATGAGTACGGACACCCGCACAGACGTGCAGAGCAGGTGAGCGTAGGGCGGAGTACCAATAATAAATATAGAAAATGAACTGCGCCAATAAGCAAGCTTACAGCTACAAGGCACTGGAATGTACACCCACTGTGAGTGTGTACACGTGAAAAATTCATAACTAAATGTGCGGGAGCTACAACAATGATCAGATATAAAGAGTATAAAAAAACAGTGACTCAAAAAAATGTCCGTGAAAAAAATCAATCAGGTGTAAAGTCTTGAAATCTTCATAAATCTGCAAAAATGTCCAAATATAGCAATAGTGATGAATATTTCTTGTTTCTTCACCAAATACACCACACCAGATATAGGGGTGCTCACCTTATTGATAGACCTCAGCAAGAGGTCAAACCAGGGGAGGGGGCCCTCAGCTCCAATCGCTCACAGATGTCCTCCAATGGTGTAATCAGACCAGCAAACAGATCTGTGCAACACTTCTTAAATAGGAAAGCAATAGCGTCCAATCTTTATCGATCTATAGGCCTCCTCAGTATAAGGTGTCAATGCCAGGATCGTGTTGACCGAGGGCGGAGTACCGCTGCGTACTCCCATAGAGTTGGACAGGGGCTCTGTACTAATCACACGCAGCACCTGTCCTTCCCGGGAGCTGCCTGATACGACGTGCACTCAGCACGGAGTTGTACGTGCCAGCGTTTTCTCGCGTGAATGAGGCATATGCCTACATGCTGGGGGCAGGTTTTCTGGGAGTTGACATCAGAAACATGAACCCAGTACTCCATTTTGATGATAGTGTGAAAAAGGTCTTTGTAACGGTAGACATTTTGTCTATTATACACAAGTGTTCAATTATATGTTTGCTCTGCTTTTCAGTGAGTAGCACTGGTAAGCATGCAGGCTTTGCTATTTAGACATCAGTTTTCCCATCAATGTCTGTCCCAAAGAGTACATGAGACCTAGATGTAGAGTAGCATGTTTAGGGTCCTTAATCATAGCAGCCCTTAAACTGTAATTACATATGTTAGGTGTGTGACAACAAATAGATACATTTGGTCAAAAATGCAGCTTCAGTGTCATTACCTTCATTCATATTTCCAGCAATATACTTTGAGAATGATCTGTAATACAATAACACCACCACACCTTGTTGTAAAAAGCTCTTGTCATATTGTTCTCGTTGTAAATGTCTTTTGTACAGCTTTGCAGTTGCATGTGGATTTTACGTATATGATAGTTTATATATTTTTTATGGTGTTTTATATTCTAGATGGGTGCTATTAGACTTGCAAATTGTAACCTCCATAATCAAGCTGTTGGTGAAGGCATCAGTGCTGCAATTCAAAATGTGCAGCTAAAGCAGTATATTGAACAGCTGGACAGCAGCAGAATAGGGCTGCAGCCTACAGTCTTGCGTAGAGCTTACTGGTTGGAGACGGGCTCTGTCATTTTAGGACTCATTACTTCAGATATCGCCCTAGCTGCTGATCATTCCTCTAAACATGAGGTCCAAAGACACTTTCTAGAAACTCATGACAGCAGGACTAAAAGGTGAGTGACTGGAGCTGTGGGGCAGCTTCTTTGCCAACTCTTATGACTGATTTCTATATTTTTAATGAAGCTGGTGAATTCCAGAGAACAAAACACCCCAAGTGAGGTTTGTCTGTGGAAAGAAAAATTCATTTGTTCAACGATTTAGTCTGCATAATTGTAAAGAACTAGTCATTTACGCTTTGTGAAACTCAGAATCTTTGTGTATACATGTTAACAATTACATTTTATCTCTAAAAATTACTTCAGTGCAACATTACACTGGCCATAGACAGGGCACAGATGGGCCTCCGTAAAGCAGGCGCTGACACTCTTTCCATGTAAATTGCCTAACAGGCTTAGTACACATATGGTTAATTCCTTGATTCTCTCCTGTCATTGAAAAAAGGAAAGCATCAGCCTCAACAACACCAAAAACACTAGATATTGCTCCGTCACAGTGGCCTGTCAAATGGGGCTGTTTGTGGCCACCTATGGAAATATTGCCTTACATAAATAACATGTTGTTAGTGGTTTTCAACTTTTAACAGTTTTAGGTGGCTATGTATTATATAGGTGATTTGCAAATATGCCATTTAAGTCACTTGGAACGTTATTAAAAAGAGTACCTCAGTAAAGGTACTTTAGTACCTTTGTTTAACCCTTTCGCTATCAGGGCTTTTTTTGCACACGTTTAATTCCACATATTAGACCTGAAAATTGCTTAACCCGCCCCCCCAGAATTATGCGTTTCATAAAAGCAGAAACCCTGTACAATAAACTTGAGGCCGTTACAAATTTTTGTCACATGATATTAGTGCAACTCTTTATCAAGCCCAAAATTTTGGTAAAAAATGTATCTAAAGTTATTTTAGTGCAGAAAATCCCAATGTTATTGTAAAATATAAAAGATGAAGTTGTGCTGAGTTCTTAGAGGCAGAACCAGCTGTACCCGCCCCCTCCCCCGTCCATTCCCCGGATCAGAGGGGGGAATCCAGCCCCTCCCCTGTCACGGCAGAGAGCCGTGACAGGATCGAGAGGTGAGCGAACGCCGGTATGTGTTCGCTCACCTCCCGATCTACTGAGCCGACCTGTGACAGTCTCATTGTCACAGGTCGGCTAGAACTATGAGGTGAGTGAAAAGCACTCACCTCATAGTTCTCCTTTAAAAACAAGTAGGTTGCCATTACTATCAGCGCTAGTTGCCTGCCATGCCAAACCTCTTGCTTCAGTACTTTGTCACTGTCATGGAAGTAGTCAGCAGATAAGGTCTTCTGACTTCATTCTTCTCTGCTTTGCAAACTTCCAAGTCAATGATTCAAAGCATAAATGCCAGTCATTTAGAATAGTTGCTATGCAAGTAGCATTTTAGCATGAGTCCAGAAAAGCCAACCTTCACACTTTTCTAGTCATAGGTTTACATAAAAGAACCCCCACCCAAAACAAACAGTTGTACGTTTTATTTAATGGAGTTGCTTTCACAGGACAGGTACTAGGGCTGCTTCAGGTTGGTCCACTTGGACACATTTGCTTTCATTTTCAGCCAACAAAATTGCTCTCAGCTTTTCAGATTTCAGTTCATTGTGGGTGCTAATGATTGTGGGTTTCTTGCCTTTGTCAGGCTATTTACAGACATTCTCTGTGTTTTGTAGATTGTGGTTCCTGTGGCCTGATGATGCTGTGAAAAATAAGAGGAGCCGGAATAAGTGTGGTTGCCTGGGAGGCTGCAGGTTTTTTGGTGGTATTGCCACAGGGGTTGACTTTTTCCGGCTGGAGGAGCTGACACCTTCGAGCAGCTCAGCATTCTCAAACACCAGCTCAGAGTCTGATATGTTTTATGGACAGTCTTTGTTACATCCTAATGAATGGATTATAAGTAAGGAGGTGCCAAAAGCAGGAGAAGGTAGGCTGTTGTCATTTTAGGTTCATTGTATTGTGAAAAAGTTCCAATTCTTTCTTTAATATATAAATCTTCAATACAGTGACTTAAAGCAGAACTTAAAAGAGAACTATGGCCCAACCTTTTTTTGACATAGTTCTCTTTAGGGTCACAGGAGGGCATGTACTAATGTCCTCCTGTGACCCAAAACTCAGCATATAGTGGTCTATTGACCGCTATATGCTGACAGCGCAGAGCCGTACTTCAGCTGGGATGGATCCCGTCAATATTGTTGATACTACATCATATACGCAATTACAGACCATATAAGTGAGGCTTTGAGCAAGTATTTTCTATAATGACCCTGAAGAAGGGAATAAAATCTGCAAAACATGTTGATCTTCGAAGAGAATAATATTTTATATGCTGAATACTGTAATTGTCTAAAAAAAATGACTTGTTTATATTGTATATTTATATGTTTTTATTATCTTTTTAATATCTTGTAATAATATTTTGTACTTATAAAATGTGTTCATTTTTATACAGACACATCTTTTTGTGCAATTAATCTTTCTTGGATGATATACTCAAAGTCCCCTGTTTCTTCTCGATCGTTATATAATTTTTGGGGACGATAGCACCTTAAGATTGTAAAATTGATCTTTCTTGGTTAAAAGAGTCTGTTTATCAGTATTAGTGTGAGGTGGCGAGGGTGGTACCATCTGAGAAAAGTGAAGTAGTCATCCCCTCAGTGTTTTGTATTCTTTGCCTGGATCCAAGTAGTTAATAGGGCAGTTGTATCCTACCATAATCCTCCCTCTCATCTGCTCTTTCATCATCCTCTTGTCACTTGTTTTAAAAAAAAATGCTGCTATCTACCAAATGAGAAGGCAGAGCATGAGGGAGAACTGGAGGGAGCCACACTGCTGTATAGTGATGGTCACTGACTCATATTAGGAGGGAGGTGTGGAAAGTCTATGCCTCTGGGCTGTTCAGCCAGTAGAGCTGAAGCCAAGAGGTCAAGGGGAGGCAGGGGTCCTGAACTGTTTGCATTAAAGTAGAACTTTACCTCTGCTTTAACTAGGGATGCACCGATACCGATACAAGCATCGGTATCGGCCGCGATACCGAGTATTTGCATGAGTAATTTAACCTTACTTTGTAATATTTCCCTTTCAGTTCCTGGTAGTGTCAAAGCGTGTCACTCCCTCCTGTTTCGCAGACATTCCTAATGGCCCATCACTATAATGGGCTGTCTCACGGGCCATTTTGAATATGTAGGTGACAGGATGGGATGGGCAAGCTTTCATACTACCAAGAGGTGCCAGAGCTTTTCCTGTCAAAGTGGCCCAGCGTTTGAGAGTTATGGCAGAGACTGCTAAAGGTATGTGCACCAACCTCTAGGTGTCTGCACCATTTCCTAAAATGTAGGACATTTTAGCTTTCAACTGTATTTTGCGAAAACCAATTATAACATTCACCAATAAGGCATTTTTCTTTTTTAAGGGAAGGCCAATAGTTGTAGAAGAAAGGATTGGGACTCCAGGTCTGTAGTCATAGAGATTGAAAGAAAAGCACAGCATCTGAGCCTACAAGTGCCACTACGCTCTCACAGTTCATCTTCTTCCGATGAGAACAGCAGTTGCAGTGCTGCTCTACCATTGCTTGCTGATGAAAAAGATAGCCCTTCTTCTGCTGCTGAAGAATCTTTGGGGCACATGGACTTTCCACCCCGAGCCAAGTCACAAGAATCCCATACAAGGTGACTATCGTTAATCTTTCTCTTTATAAGGATTCATATAAACAAATCCAACTTCAGACTAAGAACCTTGGTTTTACTACATGTTTGTGTTTTCAAACAACTAATACTAGAAGTAAAGCCATGGCATATCGCAACAATTACCAGTGTAACCTATCTCAGCTTTAACCATCATTGAACAACTGCTAGTTTACTGTTTTGCTTTTGCTAAACTGATGACAAATCACAACATTTATACCAGATAGTTGACTTGTGAGCCTTTTTTTAGCATATTTTCTTGTTACTGGAAGGGAATGACTGCTAATTTTCTTATTTAAATATGTTATGTTCTTTCCTCCTTGCTTAAGATGTTGTATGTATCCAAAATGCAAAAACAGTAAAAGAAGACATGGGGAAACTTTATTCTTTTTATTTGTTAACTGCAAAATCGCAGATCGATTTTATAAAAACTGGTGCAATCTGGTCTTATCTTTATATTGTGGCAAGGAATCTGGTAGGATTTTGTAACAGCTTTCAGAAAATAGTCGAAAAGGTGTTTTTATTCTGTCATTTTATATATGATACAGGGAGAAACATGGTGACATCACATGGAAAATAATATCAGCTTAGTTCCATTTATACCTTTTTTTTCTTTTTAGCGTTCCAGTGGAAGCTTCAGGAAGTGGTCCAGTTTCACCAAACTCTCAGGACCGGTCCGCAGTCCATTCTCCACTTCGCTCTCCTCTGAAGCGTCAGGCATCTGTATGCTCCACACGGCTAGGTAGTACAAAGAGTCTTTCAGCTGCATTTTATGGGGACAAACCATTAGGACCTGTCGGAGTTCAGTTCAGTACTGATGTCTCACGCAGTGATGAGAATGTCTTGGACTCCCCAAAGCAGAGGAGGAGCTTTGGCTCCTTTCCATATACTCCATCTGCAGATTCCAACTCTTTCCATCAGTACCGTTCAATGGACTCTAGTATGTCAATGGCAGACAGTGAAGCTTATTTTTCTGCTGCTGAGGAATTTGAACCTATAAGCAGTGATGAAGGTCCTGGCACATATCCAGGTAGAAAAAGAAGAAAAAAGCAAACTCAAAAAATTGACTATAGCAGGGGATCTATTTACCACAGTGTAGAGGGTCCTTTAACTGGTACTACGCAGGTAGATGCAAGATTAGATCCAAGGACATTACCACTCCGAACTCATGCCTCTCAAGCTTCATTTGTCTCTGCTCTAGCTGGGGAGGAGGAAGCACTGGAACATGTATATGCAATGGAAGCCGAAAAACCTGTGGATAATGAACAGACTACTCAGCAGCCAATTATGTCCTGCTATCAGAACTATCTGAGCCAGTTGCAGGTGTTTAACTGGTCTGTAAAACACCCAACAAATAAAAGGACTTCAAAATCTTCCCTACATAGGCCATTAGACCTTGACACTCCAACAAGCGAAGAAAGTTCAACTTCCTATGAACAGCTTTGTGTTCCAACTTTTAAGGTAAACATATTATTAAATAATAAAAAAAGACATGTGAGATTTCTTTTACTTAAGAATAATTCAGTTAAAATTAGATACAATTTTTTTTAATGTATTGTTTGTGTGCTACTTGTAACTGCGTAAAGGTATAAAATAAGTTCAGTTTATTATGTGCCGACATTATATAGGTTGTAGATAAGTGGCTGACTGGTAATCACAAAATAGTGATGCTGGTTTAATATTTGATCAATCCTTATTTTTTTTGCTGCCAAATTGAATGTTTTTTCATATGGAATATTTGACAGTTCTAATTCTAGCTCCTTATGTACTAGTGATGGGTTTTTTTTTTTTCCTTGAGTCTTCATTTGTTTTTATTTTTTATGTTCTGTATGTTCTTAATGATTTCCCTTTTTCATCTTCGTAAAATACTAATTGGCTGTTCTATTCCCATATATCCCCCTGCAGTTTATTTGATTTAACATGCTTTGTATATAGACTACTATAGTCTGCTCCTTCCTAGTCATATCTTTGTTGGGCATTTGTAAAAACGACAATGACTTTGTAATAGTCCGTTCTATTTTTTTTTCCGTTAGGTGGTGAGACAAGGACTGTCTGCCAATGCCTTGCTTGACCGAGGGATGCAGCTCATGGGTTCTTCCTCCAGGTGAGATGTGTATATATATCTACATTATTTAACAGTTTGAAAAACGTATGTGTATTCATCTATATTTAAAGAGGTTGGAACAGTTTCTGTTTTTAAAACAATACTGTAGAAAATCTTGCCAGGTGGTTAAAAGGGCATGCATACTAAGAAGAACTGAAGAAAAAGACTAAAATAAGCATACCCCCACCCTTGCAGTCACAGTTTGACTGCCGAAGGAGCCAATGGCTCCTCTGCTCTCAGTATCCTCCTCCACACCCAGGACGTTCGGGGAACCCGGTCGCGGCATAGGATACAAGCGGCTTCAGATAAGTGGGAGGGACAGGGGTTTTACAAAAGTACTGAGTGTTTTTTGCCTTAATGCAGACAATGCATTAAGGTAAAAAAACACCAAGTCTGTAGTACTGCTTTAAATCCTGGAAAAATGTTTTTTGCTGAAGCTCCATGTTTCACCACGCAGACTTGAAGTTAGAAGTTAGATTTTTAAATGTTATACATGTTGCATACTTAGATTGTTTTCTATTTTGTTTGCTGCTTTGTTTAAAATAAATACCACACTTAATCAGTGCAATAATAATTATATTGATTTAAATGGTCATATTATTGTTTGCATGAATAGAACAACGTAGCAATCATTTGTTTAAGATAACAAAGAAAGAACAAGACAATTTACTTTGCTTGGCAATGCTATTGTTAGGGCTCATGTAGAAAGAAGTCCTGCTACTACACATGCATTCTGAGGCAAAAAGCAGTGTTTGAGAAGAAGAGGCTTCATTTGACCTGCTTTGTTTACAATTCAAACACACCTTAATAGGAGATCCGAAAGAAATGAAATGTAAAGCACGTTAAACACATCCTCTGAAATGTCATCTAAACTACTCTGATGAAGTCGATGGGAATCTGCTCTTGACATGCATTTCACACACACACCCGAAAAGAACATCCGTCGATACGAACTCTAATGTAGTGGGAGGCTATAATAGGCTATAATGTTTTGTGATGTGTTCCTGGGAAAGGTCATCTATAATTTTTGTGTCCCAGTTTTATCAGGTGTTGACTTCAGTTTTCTCTGCCTGGACACTTGACCCACTCAAGACTTGGTAGTTCTCTTTTACCTTTTTCAGTTGTCTTAAAAATGTTAAAGTGTTTGTTGGTTCTCGTTTTAATATTCAGTACCCCGTACACTCCCCTGGAGAAAAAGGCGATGGACAACACAGATGAGGAGACACTAACTGAAGAATGGACTCTAGATCAACCAGTATCCCATACTCGTACAACAGCAATTGTAGAAGTAAAGGGTACAGTGGACATTGTTCTTAGCCCGTTAATTGCAGAAGCATTGGACAGGTATGACTATAATTTTTTGTTTTATTGTATCACATGTATAGCGCTGTGCATATGACATTTCTATGTCAGATACTGTATATCGAGATAGCTGTGCTTTTTAGTAAATATTCTGCTTTAAAAAGTAGATAATTACTTACTGAAAAACCTTTCTGACAGTATATTTACACACTCCTATTTATATACACATTACTAATTTATTTTTGTATTCATTGAAATTAGAATCTTTAGATTGGGAATTTTGCTACTATTTTCTCTCAGTGGTGCCACGCTTTCTTTTTTTTTTTGATTTGTTAAATCCAAATTACAACGCATTGTATTGGATTCCTATGCGAAACTTTATAAATGGGACTACTGATGTTCCACAACATGCTTCCATAGTAAGTGAGACAATTGGGTCTGACTTGTGGCTTTGTTGCCCTGAATGGCAGTTAGAACACTGCTATTCTCACTTGTACTTCTTACAAATACTTTATTAAAGCTTAAGTTTATTAGGCTAATATTTTTCCTTTCCTCCTTCCCCTCACCTCATCAATATGCTAATTAAGCTGCCGTCACAGCACGGCACTGCCCCTCTTCCAGTCAGGGAAAAACCTTGTATTCATTAACAAAAATACTAGGCGTTTGCTGAATGGCCAGTGTGCCGAGCAAGTGACCCCCTGTCTTTTCACAGTAGAGGCGAAGTTGCTCAGCACAGCAGCTGTAAAGGACCAGGAAGATCTCTTTAACCACTTAAAGTCCGGGGTGTTAAAGCCCCTTCCTGTCCAGGCCATTTTTCGTTATTCAGCGCTGTGGTACTTTGAATGACATTTATTCTGCCATGCAACGCTGTACTGAAATGAATTTTATACAATTTTTTAGGGACAGATAGAGCTTTCTTTTGGTGGAATTTAATCACCACGGCGGGTTTTATTTTTTACTATAGTAAGGAAAAATTACCGGAAAAAAAAACCTGTTTCCCCTATATTAAATTATAAAACATTTATTATTACCCACTTTTTTGGTACAATATAAAAGACGGGGCCACACCGGGTAAAAAGACACCAAACATGTCAAGCCTTAAAATTGCGCGCGCCCGCAAAACCTCATAAAACTACAATACCCAAAATTGGCCATAGGCGACGCTTTAAAAGCTTTTACCGCTCATCAGTTTAGTGTTATCAGTGATTGATGGCCCTAAAATTATTGCTATCACTCCGACGTTCGCGGCGATATGTAACCTGTGTAACAAAATTGTCGTTTTCGCGTGCTGGCGCATCTGATGCATATTTACGTTTATATGTGCGTAAACGTGGGGGAATTTTTTTTACTTAATTATTTTTTTTACACTTAATGTTATTGCTATCACATAGGGGGATAAAAATCCCCCTATATAATAGCAAAGGCACACTGACAGGTCCTCTTTGTGGAGACATTAGTGGTCTCTAAGACCCCTAATGTCACCTGGGGACCCCCAAAGAAGCTGCTGAAGCAAAGATCTGAGGAATGACAGGTGAATGCGGAAGTAATGTATTACACATCACTTCCGCATTCAGACGTCGGAGGGAGATCAGCAGGGAGGAAGATGCTGTTCTCCCTCTTATCTTCCTCCTGACACCCTCCCGAGCTGGTACCGCACCGCAGATGGGGCAGCCGATCCCGGGATTGAAGGTGGCAGCGGCGGAACAGCGGCAGTAGACGGGGCACACAAGCAGCACATACAAGCGATCGGACGGCTATAGAGCCACCGATCGCTTGTATGTGAAAAAGCCGGTAACGGCTGTTTACAATGGACAGTGTTTTTCTTCCCGTGCACGCACGCTAGGCCTAAGTGTCTAAATGTACACGTTAGTCATTGTTTAAATAGTGCTAGTTCACTTTTGTGCGATGCGTGACTTGCAGCTTTGGATGCATCACTACAAGTTAAAGCAGCTATTACTGTCAATGGCAGCTCAGAAAAATGCATGATTGTTGATAATTTTTTAAGTACAAAAAGTAAGGAAAAGCCATTTTGTTACTCAGTCTACCTTTCTTATTTAAAAACAGGGAGAGAAAAAACTTGTGGCTCACATATCTCCCTTTTATTTTGCAGTTTTTGGCTGAATTTTACTGTATCAAAATAGTTTTATATACAAACAAACCCTAGACATGAAGCTGCCTGCATTACCCTTACAAATAGGATAATGGCAGCTATAACAAGTATCTTTGTGTATTTGCTTTCCTTATATTTTGTTCTTGTACCACAAGGCCAGTTATTATGTGTCCATTTATAATCCAATTTTCTTTTTTTGGCAGGTACATAGAAGCCATGGTTCATTTCACCAGCACAAGACATCCTGCTGCAATTGTTGATGATCTGCACACAAAGGTGCTAAAAGAAGCCGTTCAGAACAGCAAAACTACTTTCTCTGAAAATGTACGAGATTTATTTTTTTCCTCACATTACTGTAATAACATTTTTTAACTTATGCTTTATTTCCAGAATATGTATGCTATATAGCGAAATGCCTAACTGAGTGTGGTGCTCAAGACCTTGCTGAGAATAGAAGTAGAAAGGAAAGACAATATAGTATATGTAAATCTCTAAGCATCATTTTGGTATGATCATGAAGAATGGAGCTATAATCTTTGATAGCTGTGTATAATTTATGTGCTGGTTCTGGAAAACATATTGGTGCTCTCATAAAAACTGTTGCAGTGAAAGCAATATATTGTCTTCTCTTTAGGAGCTCCAGGGTACTATTTACTGAATGATGCCATGCAGTGGTACATTTAATGGTCTTGATCGATTATGGAAGTAACCATCTGTATTACTTTTCTTCTTTTTTTTTTCCAGCTCTCTTCAAAGCCAGATAATAAATTGGCCAAACCCGAGACTCAGGTTAAAGGAGGCACAAATCAAACACAAACTAAATCTGTGCTAACCCAGGATAATGTGAAAATTAAGGGGCTGCAAGCCAATGTCTCAATTCCCAAGGTGATGGTTTATTTCAGAGCTTTTACAGATGCAACCAAATATTCTTATGGCAACTTCACACAAAGTTGATATTTAAGATTTGCAGGTTGGCTGCCTTCCTATATCTCTCAGGGGCTCTAGCGATTCCCTACCAAAACTTTTGTTTCTGCCCAACTTTTGCAAATCCAAATAATGGCTTCACTCTTCCCTAATGGCATCCATCTGTAAGAGATACAACTTATTATGGCCTTTGGGTGGAATGGAGGTGGGGCAAAGCTAACTTAAACGCAATTTATTTCTTTTTTATTACACATCTTGCTATTCAGTTATATGTCTGTCATATTTGTTCTGTTAATCAATTTGTCTTATTTTAGGTTAATCTCTGTTTGTTGCAAGCATCAATAGAAGAGTCCTCTAATACAGCAACAAATAAAAGTGTCACTCATGTTTCTTTAGTTGCTCTTTGCTTTGACAGAATTGCTACACAAGTCCGTATGAACAGGTAAAGAATTGTCATTGCTCTTCAAAGTTGTACGGTAGTTATCAGAATTTGAAATAGATCATGCTTACAGGCAGAGGCGTTTTACATGTTATTTGTCAAATCAGATCGTTAATTATTTAAATGGACAGTGTGGCTGCTATAGATTAAAGCAAGACTGTAACAATTCTTTTCTCAGACACTTTCATAAATGAAGCAGTGTGTCATTCCAATTATTATTCCTGTTACAGAGACTGTGTTTATTGAAACACATAGTTAATGCATAAATTGTTGTGCCTTTTCTACAGCTGGCATACAAATTGTCTCCCTTTAGCAGTAGCCTATTGTTTTAAATGAAGAAATGTACGTTGCTGTCGAGTTTGAATCACATTGAAATATAGACTATCTTCTTCATTTATCCTCTGCCATTGATCTTTGTTTAACACGTTGTCATATTTGAGCAGTGGGCTGCATTCTAAGTGCTTTCTTCTTTCTGTTGTAGGGGCGTGGTAGAAGAAGCCCCAAACAACCCAGAAACTGGTCGTCCAACTGTGAACTTTGAGAAATATGCCAGTGCCACTAAGATGCAACCGCAGTCTTCAGGATCCCTTAGGTCCAATGCTGGGGCTGAAAAAGGAAAAGAAATAGCTGCCAAGTTGAATGTTCATCGAGTACATGGTCAGCTCCGGGGTCTTGATACTTCAGGTAAACACACAGGGGTGCTTAGTGAATGGGGATTCTTGCTTCCGCAATTGAATGAATGAAGTCAGCAGAGCTTCACCTAATTTATTAAGCAAAGTGATTCCCTTACAGTGTGAGCATTCTCTACTGCTTTAGTAAATCAAACCTATTGACTTTCATGAACCCCACCCCCACCAAAGTCTTCTACTCATCTGGTCACACTGTCAGCTGCTACTTCTGTGCATGTATGTAAAAATACCATTCATTCCTTTGAAGAGAGTCTATTATGTATGCAAAAAAATGATGACCTGGAGCAGAAAGCCTCTGATACTCCTGGAAGTGTCAGAGGTAGAAAGAATAGAAGAGCTTAATTCATAAGGATGGGAAAACCATATAGGCAGAATAAAAACCACGTCAGTAGCTGCTCAGCACCTACAGGGAAGGTTTGTCTTTCTTTGTACAGAGTAGTGACTGTCATTTTAAAGCAAGAAATTTAAGCATTGTTTATGTATTGGTTTTTCTCTCCATTTTAGATTTTGTTTGCTTCAGAAGAATTCATTTTTACATTTTCCTTAATTGGGTATATGAGCTTATATTTGTCATCCACTAATTTTTGCAAATTAGTATGTGATTTATATATGATTATATGTTTATGCAAGTTGGTTACAGGAGTTTACAAAGAGGCCATAGTAATATTATTACCTTTTGGAAATAGGATAGGAATCACATTTGAAAAAAAATATGCCTGATTTGCATTCTGCAAAGGGCTATTTGTATGTAAATTGGCCACAGAATGCAGCCCTACGGGTGCATCAGGAAAAGGAAAAAAAACACTTTCTATAAATACAAATGAATTCTACTTAGCAAGTCATAGCTGAATGGGTCTAAAGCAGGGAATGAAAGCTATTTTACCATGATCCATTTGGAGATTGCTCTTAATTACCCCTAGGTAAGAAGTTTTGTTGGTCACCAAAATTTGAGGGTGCCCATGGATGGAAGCATTTTAAGGACATTGTGTTCTGGATCACATGTTGCCTGTTTACCCATTGCAAGGAAATGTTTAAAGTGATAATTGGTTATACGCATTGATTTCCACACACAGTATACTGGTTTTCCAGTAAACTAATGAAGATTACTATTTCCTTTAGCTGTTGTACATTTATTTAATAAACATGCATATCTTTTGCTTATCACCCAAACACATATACCATGGTATAGTTTCCTTTCTGTTAGTTTATAGTTTTATGCAAATCAGAAAAGTTTAATATTGGTTAAATGAGTTATTTAAATGCTCAGTTCCAGTTTATATGTTTTACAGTGTGTAACTGTAGATTTATTCCCAAACATAATACACAAAATAAGTATTATTGTGGCTGCAGCTTTGCAGTTAAGTATTTTATGACCTTGTTATTATGTTTCTTTCTCTTGTTTGATCAGATGTGGGAACCTGTGCAATCACTACTATTCCCTTTGAGAAATCAAAGGTTCTTTTCACGTTGGAAGAATTAGATGATTTTACATTTGTGGATGAAACTGAGCAGCCTCCAGCTACTGATGTAACACGCATTGGTCCAAGCCAAGAAAAATGGGGTTGGATAATGTTTGAATGTGGAATTGAAAACCTGGTCATTAAAGGTAATTTCATTTTGTCACCATCTGTAATGAAACATAATTGCGGGATTATGGACTGAAATGCAGTTAAGACCCTAAAGGCAGAGTACACCTTTATAATGTAGTGTGCGGGGGGGGGGAAGGATGCTGCCAATGATGAATTGTTTAAAAAAGTGCAGTTCCTATAGCTGTTATCCTTATCCCACGGACATGTGCATAAAAGGTTTCCTGTCTGCTGAAATACATATAATTGTTCCAGGTAAGTGTCAGGTTTATATTTTTTTCTCCCCTATTCTAGTTCCTTTGTGACAAAGTTGCATTGTTCCAGATTAAAAGGAATACATAATAACAAACTCAGTGGAATCAGTATAGCTAACTGTATTAAAAAAAAAGAATAACCAAATAAAGAGTCCAGACACCTACCTGAAACATGTTCACAGAGACACAATTAGTAGTGTACTGACACTATTAGAAAAGTCACAATCAAAACTACTGATAACTGGAAACGTGTTTGCAGGAACACAGTCAGAATTGTATCTGCATGTTTGCAGATACACAATTAGTACTGCACTGACACCACCAGAAACATGTCCACAGAGACACAAAACCGTACTGACAGCACAAAAACATATGCGCAGAGACATAGTACTGTACCGACAACTAGAAATGTTCACAGAGACCAAATCAGAACTGTGCTGACATCCAAAAACATGTTTGCAGAGACACAATTAATACCGTACTGACACCAGCAGAAACATGTCCGCAGAGACACAAAACTATACTGACTCCAGCAGAAACATATTCACAGTGAAACAATCAGTAACATACTGACAACACCAGAAACATGTCCACAGAGACACAATCAGTACTATACTGACACTATCTGAAACATTTACACAATGTGTGGCGCACTCTGGGTGGTATTATATCTAGTTTTCAATGAGCGCTGCAGTGAACACACAGATGGTGCTACCATTGGGAATCTTCAAAGACAAAAGCATTACTGGCACATCAGAGCACTCAAGTCAGAGCAATTTATTAGTCGCAACATAAAAAAAAAATTTGTTTCATAGGCGGGCCCCTTCATCAGACAGACAATGATAGCACCCTTACAAACACCATATATTTATATTGTAAACCAGGGCCAATGGGAGAGACACCAATCTCACTTTCAACAGTACCCAACCCCAGTTTGCAGTAAACAATCAATTATCTCACTATACAGATGATCGCCCAAGTGCCCTGATGATCCACTGTCCCTTTATAAAGTATACTTTATAAAGGGACCAAATAAATTCTCAAAACCATACAGAAAGTTCTTGTGATCACCGCTACAAGTAAACATAAACAGACACCATCTGCGCCTTTATCATGACAGCAGGAAGTTTGTGGCTCATCAAAACAAGCCTAAAACATGTCTGCAGAAACACCGTCAGTAACATACTGACACAGCTAGAAACGACAAAATTAGTACCCAACTGACATACATTTAGAAAAAAAAAAAAAAAGCAGTAGGATTAACTAAGTTACCCTCAAAATGAATACTGGCACTGCCAAATTGGTATGAAAGTATGCTCCACTGAAAGGTTATGTGTGTAGTGTCAAACAACATGAAGCCATGCTTATAATAATGCAAATACACCTGTTAACAGATAATAATGCACAACTACTACACCTAGGTTAGGGGAATTTTAAATAATAACAAAAAATGTTTAAAGTCCCCCGCCGCCGCCACTTGCTCTAGTGGAGCAAGCGGTGCGTAAACACACGCTGCTTGCTCCACTAGAATCGGAAGGGTGCTGCAGTAGTCAATGGATGGCAACCATTGCATGCATAGATAGAAACAGGGACACCGGCACTCCAAATGCAGTTCAAATGCGTCTATTTATTGACGTAGATGCAGCATATAACACTGGTGCAACGTTTCGGGGTCACGCAAGATCCCCTTAGGCAAAACGTGATAAGGTGCAGACAAACACACACATATATATACAAAGCAAAACGTGATAGGCCAATCCCAGAGTTCCCTGAGACCCTGTTACATCACTGTGATGTCATACTCCCGCCAGAATTTAAATTTGTATTGTATTGAAACAGGCATAGGTCACAATGTACTGCAATTTTATATTTGTAAAACAGATAGTAATATGGGGAATAAAGTGTTACCATTAGTGGATGCTTTAGATAAACACCAGCCGACAGGGATTCTTGTTTCTAGGGGCGAAACCACTGCAGAGACAGTAGAGCCAGCTGTCAGTCACGCCCACCTGGGTCTTATGAGGTCTCTCTTTTGGGCTTTGGTTATTCTGGTGGCTCTTGGGCTGTTAGCAGTCCTCCAGTTCTGTTTCATTGGGCATGTGGGAGGTGGTTGTTCTGCTGTCCACCCCTCAATGGAAGGGAAAGAAAATAAGATTGTTGTGCTTGCCAAGATATCCCTTTCTTGGTACTGCTTTGCCACAATACTCAAAATTGAATCCAGGTGTTTTATATTTACCTTTAGGAGAAAGGGGAAATGGTATCTACAAGCTTTTAATGGGGACAGATCAATGATCGGACGGTTTGTCAAAAGGAGATCCCTGCTGCTGCCATACATATGAGAGTGTCATCCAGTCCAGTTAAAAAACATGCAGACTGGGAAATGCTCATATTTGTGGTCATCTTTAAGAAAAATATTCTGTTAGTACATCTATCCTGTTTAGGGCCATGTACCCTCCCCAGCAACCCTTTCAAGTGTCATACTTACCTGTAGCCCCATGAAGGCCTTTCTACAGAAATTCAAGGATATTCAGTGTTCATGTGTGGGAAGTGCACAGTGTTACTTGATTTTTAAGAAATTGTGCAGCACAAAGATTTGTAGGGACAGCTATGTAACACTTTAAAAGGATAATACTTGAAAGGGGTGTTGAGTAAGCATGCCTGACCCTAAACAGGATAAGTATACTAAAAGTACACTTGTCCTTCACGGATAAATTATATTGGTATGTGTGATTATCCTATTTTTTTCCTGGAGGTATAATAATACATTTTGTTTCCTGCACAAAGGTGGGCGGCAGTCTGGCGCTATATTGTACAACTCTTTTGGCATGATGGGCAAGTCAGGTACTACTGATCGAAGTGGAATGCAAAAATCGAATGACTCTTCCGATTCCCCAACTGGAAGTGGCTATAGTACCGATGTATCGGATGATAATATCCCATGCGATGGCGTGAGTCCTTCTTCAGACATTAATGGAAATTCAGTATCTGATGAACAGGTAAAGCCTCGTAAATCTCTTGTTTCTTTATGATTGGTTTATGCTTCATGCTAATGCACTATTTTGTTTTCTTGTAAGATTAATTTTCTCTTCCCTTATTGATATAATTATTTCATTATTCATTTATGTTACCAGCTTTGAAGTGTATTTCCCCTTTGTAGCCAAATTGGGATAAAACCTATGATATATTTGTTATATGTTTCAATTAACATTGCATAACTAAAAAAAAACTTAAATACGCTGCTTTTTTTTAAGTGCATTTTACTTGCTTAACAATCTGGTCTTACTTTTGTGTGAAGCATCATTCCCCCCACTGCAGCTGGTGTACCGTCCGTACACTGTACGAAAAAGTGGAATCTGGCACACATACTTTTAAATAACATTCACAAATAGCAAGTAGCAAGTGCGGGGTAATTTCATTTTCTTACATTTGGTGAGAAAGTGAAATTGCTCTTTAAGAAGTGGGCTGTGAGAAATTTTGTTTACTCTAATTACCACTGTCTGTACTGTGCTGGAGATTTTGTTATTAGTTGTAAACTAGATTTGAACACTGTCTTAACAAAGGGTTAAAGCATAATGAAAGGAAGCTCAGTCTGTCCCTCTGTTTAACTTTCAAACTGCTCAGAGTTGCTTGGAATCTGCACAAAGGCCTTCATCAAACACATTTTTGAAAATTATTTTTGGGTTTGCTGTGTAAATGGGAACACATAACAGACATGCAGTGGAGGTTTCTCAAATTTGACTGCAAAAGTGGAAATATACTTTTAAGTATGTTTTCTAAAAACATATAAAACTATTTAAATTTGTTTTAGAGTAAATGCTACCTAATAGAATGATTATTGTGATGCTTAATCTTTTGGCTGCTACGGACATAAGTGCTACGTAGGGAGCTGTAATCACACTTCTGGCTGTGTTCACACTCCCACATCCAAAAGCCTTTGGCTTTCATGTAGAAGTTATTTGCATGACTCATCCCTTACATCCCTCGTTTCCCCCCTGTAGGGTCACTGCATGGTTGTTGTTACATATAAATAAAATAAAACAGGGTTGTAATGTATACGGTCAGCATATGAACTGCTTGGAACTTCTCGGCTTTGTTGGAATGTCTTTAAAAACCTATTGCTTTTAAATGGGTTTCTAAAGCTAAACTGTGCCTAAAAGACGCAACCTGCGATTGCAACAGACCAGTTCATGAATGTGGTGTCTATCGAAAGAGAATCAGCTTTTCTTTTTTTAAACTCTCTTTATTGCATGTTAAACTTTAGACATATCCATATAATTCAACAACCACATAAATTCATATGAAACATTTCAAAAGGATAGTCTAACCATACAAATTGTTCCCCATCCATGCTATACTCTATAGACTCTTATGATATCAAAATATATTGTTTACATACTTCAAAATTGATGCATATAGTCAGTATACTATGAACCACATAAGTCCAAACCACTAAACCCCTATATACTCATCAGACTTCATCCAGGCTTCCCAAATCTTAATATGTTTGTCCGGACAGCCCCTGGGCTGAAAGATCAATTTGTCATATGAGATAATTTGATTTACATTCTGTTCCCAGTGGGTCATTTCTGGTGTTTCTGATTGCATCCACTTAAGAACTATACATTTGCAGACCATAAATACATTTTCGGATAGAGCTATCCTCTGACATTTCATCCACTCTTCTTCATCCAACACTCCAAACAGACACACTAAAATCGTATATGGCACTGGTCTTGAGAGTGTACTGGACTCTTGAGAGTGTGACACGACTGAGCCGCCCATTGAACCCAACTGTGGCACACTTTGTCTAATCATATGCGTTTCTTGCAGACAAGTGATACTAACTTTATATTTATGTATCATATAAAATACTTGAGTAGGTTTCACCCCCCTAATCCCCCACCATCAATCAAGGAGCATCATACTATTCAACAGTAATACAGTTTTTGCAGCTGCCATTCACCCTATTTATTAGTGTTTAAAGTGCAAAAAGGGTTTCTACCCACCCGGTAATCATCTAAGTTGTCATTTAAAGACGTAAAGCTTAAATTTTATCTCCTAATCAGGTGTCTCATACTAAATAAACTTCCACTGTGTTTTCATATATGTACTTTTCTAAACACCACTCCCCGTTTAGAGTTTAAAGTGCGTCGGTAATTTCCACCCACCCGTTGGTCATCTAAAACACCATTTAGAAACAAAATTTTAAAACTCCTAGTCAGGTGTCTCATAATAAACAAATTTCTGCTGCCTTTAAAAATAAAATATATACTTCTCTATATACCATTCCCCATATATACGTGTTTAAAGTGCAAAAACAATTTCCACCCAGCCATCAATCATCTAAAACACCATTTAGAGATTTAAAACATGCTTTCAGACTCCTAATCACATCACCTATTAATCAAACTTCCACTGTGTTTTAAGTACATATCCCCCTGTGTTTTAAGTGTATATCCCCCTTGCAAAATGATCAAATTCATTATGAACTTGGACTTCAACCATTTTAAATATAAAATTCACTAGAGTTAACTACCCTTTTGACAGAAATGTATTAAAAAAAATATCTAGGAAGCTCAACCAAAATTAACCACATCTGCTAACAACCCCTACATCCTACATCAGTTGTTCAAACATCTTTCAGACCCAGATCAGCGGCCTGGGTTATGTCCTGTTTAACCAGCCTAGGGCTTCTTCTGGAGTTGTAAAAAACAGGGCCTTGCCCTCAAACTGTACTCTGTCTCACCGGGTATGTCATAGAATACACCAGTTCTTTATCCCAAAGTTAACGGGAAGCTCTTTGCTTCTGCAGTACCAGTGAAAAGTCAGGAAATATCTAAACCGTGACATTCTCTAATCTAATAGTCCCGTTTTGTGTGGCTTTGCGTAAAACTAAATCCCGATCTTTACAATTCAGGAAGTGCGCCAGAAATGGTCTTGGTTGCGCCCCTGGTGGTGCTAATTTTGCAGGCACTCTTTTTGCTCTCTCAATAGCAAAAGAGAATGAAAAAAATGCATCAGGGAATATGTCCCGCAGTCAATTCTCCACAAACTCAGCAGGATTGTCCCCCTCTGCTTTTTCCAAGAAGCCAAAAATTTGCAGATTGTTGCGTCACATCGTTCGCTTTTTGATGCCAAAGGTTTTTCCATAGCTGTCAATTGCCAAGGAAGAGGAAATACTGTGTCTTCTATTACAGAAATCCTCCACCCCCGACGCTCTATCCCGAATACTTTGCATATCTGGCCTGAGGAAGCCAATATCCACTTTCACCTCCACTATTTTGTTTGTCAGTGAGATATTGCATGCGTTAATGGCGGCCAACACTTGCGTGTTAATCTGTTCCAGTGTAAGTCTCTGGATCTTATCTAGTTTGTCTGGCTGTCCGCTTTGTTACTTTGGTGTGTCGGAGGCCACCTAAGAGTTACTCCGCAATTGCGGGGGGCGGCAACCTCCCTCCGATTGAGCAAATTCCCACAGGTGTTCCACAGCTGACGAAGAACGATCCTTACTCATGTTGATCCATGACAATAACCCTCTTTACCTGAGGTAGAAATGGTACAGGGATCGGCGTTTTATGTGCAGAATTGAGACGGGTCCTGGAGACCATGCACGAAGCTTGCATTAAACGCGTCCGACCAGGTTGCTCATGGCCACGCCCCCACATTGCCAATCAGCTTTTCTGAGTGCTCATAGCCTCAAAGTTACTTTCTCAATTATAACTGCTGAAAGCGGACTTTCAAAACTGAACACTACTGCCAGTCAGCAGTAGGAGGGCAAGTATAGAGGATTTCCACTTTCTCTCTGAAGTGTAACCCTGCTTTAAATTTACAGGGATGAAATGTATGTTCTTATTTCTCTTTGCAATTATTGAGGTACCAGTGATTCATTGACATTTTGGTTATACTGCCGCCTACAGGAGGATTTGGACACTGACTAAAAAATATCAGTGACCAGCCCGGCCTTACCCTTCCCATTATGCCTCAATTTTTTTGCTAGTGTCTTAGTGGGATGGATGTCTTTTTTTCAACTGAGAAGAGTTTAACTATTTTTAATAGTCATTTTTCCTTTTTTTTTTGTTTGGGTATTATTGTCTTTTCCACATGTATTTTTTCAGAGCAATACAAGAGATTAATTAAAAATATAAAATATACAAAACAATGTCTGGTTACAGGTAATAGCTGTGCAACAAGGACACATTTCCCATGAGTCAGGTAAGAGAAAGATTAAGAAGGTATTCATCAAGTCTATGGTAGTCAGGTACAACAGACGTATCTATAAGATAGTGAGCATAAAACTCATTAAAAGCTGGGATGGGAAGATACAATATTTAGAGGATATAGAACATAAAATGACAACAAATCAAAAAGTTATGCAATATAAGATCTGAAGAACAAAAACAACAATAAAACAACAGTAACAATAATTATTTAGGAAAGCAAATATTTGTTAAATAGTCACCATCAAATAAAGTATCTGTGTAGGACTTTGCTCATTTTGTAGATGGGGGAATCTTTGCCACGATGAAACCAAGAAAAAAAGAAGTTTAAAAGAGTTCAAATTAGGGGTCAACCAATATTCGGGACCAATATTTACAGATTTTGTAATTATCCATCAAAATGACCAATATTACCAATAATAAACAGTATGCAAATTTGCACAGTAGGTGCCGCTCTCTGGCCGTTATCCCTTGATCAGCTGATCGAAGGAGTCGGTCAGAAGCCTACGGCCATTGAGCTGTCCGCCCTGTTAGAGTATTTTGACAGCGGAAGAAAAAAAAAAACCCAGCAGATAGCATGGGAAGCATTAGTGATTCTCCTACCTGTTGATGCTACCTGTTTTTTTGGTGTGCAGACTAAGCATCAAGACCATAGGATAGGCTGCAGAGGAGCTGCTTTTCACATGAGGAGCCGGAACCAGAGGCTCATTTTCACTTTTTCAAGATTATTTTTTCTTCAGCTCATCATCCTGTTATCGTGGGAAAAATCATTTCAGTCTTTAGACACATTTTTTTGTTTTGTTTTCTCTCATCTGGTGGCTCAGAAATACAGCTTTGGAGTTGGTGAAATCCTTCCTTTTGATCTCTTGGAGATCATCACAGCGAATGCTAGCCTCACAGACTTGGAATCTCGACTCCCGCATAACGTTCTGGAGCTTCAAGCATTTTGGTTGTCTCTGAAACTCTAGACATCTCAATGGCAGGGTCCCTTGATCAGAATTCAGTCGGATAAAGCCATGGTAATGGGGTTTATCGATCATTTGGGAGGAGCCAGGCAGACATCCTCAGGAATACTTTCCATGGTGTGAGGAAAGAAACTTTCATCCCAGAAAATATCTTATGGGCCGAATCCTGACCTTTTTACAGTACAGTACATCAGAAGGAGGTTTTCCTCCATTGTCTGCATGTCCTACGAGCCACTATTTCTTGGTGGCTTAGACAAATCATTATTCAAGCTTATGATCAGGTTCTACCCTTTCCTGTCAAGGCACACTCTACTACATCTCTGAGTCCATACTTGGCTTTTAGGCACCAGGCAACCCATATTTGCAAGGCTGCCACCTGGTCCTCTGTTCACACCTTCGCTAGGTTTTACCAGGTGATTCTCCAAATCTCTTCTGATGCCAACTTTGGGTGTGAGGTCCTACCCCTCTGTTTTTATGTTCTTGCTTTCTGCACTTTTTTGTTAAAAACTGAGGCATGCTGGAAGTGGGAGGGGGTTATACCAGGATTTCCACTGTTTATTTGCCACTGTCCACATCCTCCTGTAACTAGCAGTGTAACCTAAATGTCAGTCAATTCTGTGTCCCTCAATGAACATTAACAAAATTATTTTGCTATGAGTACAAAAATATTGTGCACAGTACACATTGCTTGTCAGTCAGCTGGTAATTAGCTAGTCTTACAAGCTAGTTTCTTCTTTGTACATTGTTGCTAACCCTAGCTTGTGCTAGTTGTGTGATGTACTTGGCATATATATGTAAATTGTAAAAAAAATATAGGGTATTTTTATGTCCTTAAGGATGCTGGAGTATGCATTTGATTATTCATTTTTCCATTTTATTTTTAAGGATGAAGGTGTTGAGTCAGATGACTTGAAAAAAGATCTTCCATTAATGCCTCCTCCTCCCGACTCTAGTAGCATGAAGCTTAATATAAAGGAGATCTGGTTTAGCTTTGCAGCACCCACAAATGTACGCTCACCAGCTCTTACCTTTTCCAGGTGTGTGTCACTAAATTAAGCTTTTATGTGTTAAGTGATATTTTAGGGCTAGTTCACACCATAACTGTGCGCGTCTGTGCAGCAGTAGTGCAATGCGTTTTACTGCCATTTTGAATCTTGTTTTATTTTAACCTTATAATGGAATTTCAGGTGCGTTCGCATGCATTTTGTTGCGATCAGGTGCAGCTAAAATGAGACAAGTAGTATTTTTTCTGACTGCATTGGAACAGACTGCACTCGTGTGAACAGGGCACCAGAAATCCCATTGGAAAGCATTGTGACGTGATTTTGATGCAGCTGCCAAACTGAACGAACTGCATCACAACTGCATCTGGTGTGAACTAGCCCTTAATGTTAGAGAGGTTTGTGGTTATTACAGGATCTCTATTTTAATGGTCTAAATGATCTAAAGCTTCTAAATCGTTTGACTTTTTCATTTAGGCAATTGAACCTCCTAAGTACTGCAACTCCAGCGGTCAGTGCATGGCTGGTTCCTATTGATCAGTTAAAATCCTCTCTGAACAAGCTGGATACTGAGGGCACATTAAGAGTCTGTGCTGTTATGGGCTGTATTATGACTGAAGCCTTGGAGGTGAGTGAAGGGTTCATTTGTTTTTCCACTTCTTTTGGAATGTAAGTTGTTTGTTAAGAACTAAATGTAGGTGGATTTTATAAAGCACATTTAATTAAATATAAAACACCTTACAAATATAGTTCCGTTGAAAATATGCTAAAACATATCTTTTTTTTCAGCAGTCTGCATCCATCTTTGAGTCCTGAAAAAGAAAAGGAAAACATTTAACATGGGGTTGGCAGCTGACAAAAAGTCTCTATAGGTTGAGGTTCACACCTCCACGACACCCGGGACGTGCGATCATGTGCTAGTGCACACAGCGGTTGCGGCATGGCCCCATTGATTTCAATAGGGTGACATCCGCGTAGCAACCGCTAACTTCTCGATCCTGTCACGGCTCTCTGCCGTGACAGGGGAGGGGCTGGATTCCCCCCGCTCCGATCCTCCAGCGCTGACTGACGGAACGGACGGGGGAGGGGGCGGGTACAGCTGGCTCTGCCTCTAGATAGGCAGAGCCAGCTGTCACTCACGCAGCTGAGCGGATCCAGACATAATTGTCGGGATCCGCTTCAGCTGCGGCATCTCAGTATACCGCGAGCTGTAGCTCGCAGTATACTGAGCTTAGGGTGACGGGAGGACGCTAGTTTGTGCCCTCCCGTTACCCTAAGGAGAACTATGGCAAAAAGCCCTAACCCCATAGTTCTCCTTTAAGTATTTTTATCCTGGTGTGTTAGTGTTGTGAATTATATGTGTTTATTTTGTCTATTTTCCACTATAGAAATATCTGAAATTCATGTGAATAAGGATGTTTTCATTCTTTTCTTAGTGAGCTACTTGGGGTACAAAAGTTGGGAGGCTGGCTAGTAAACCCCCTAAGAGGGTGCAATTGTTTGCTAAATAACTATGTTAAAATATTTAGCATCGGTGGCCAACACAGTTGAATCCTTTGTGACCAACAACACAGTTATACTAAAATGACTATTGAGGTAAAACTTGTAACAATGTAATCTGGGTAGTAGTAGTTTGGATAAGATCTACATCCTATTATACCTAAAAAGGTGATGTTAAAACTGAGCTTGTGCTTTTAGTAGTGGGGTAAAGTTTACAAGTCTTGGGCTGACTTAGCACTATTAAAAAACTCTGCATATGCATTAACATGCATTAAAACTTGCACGTTAAAACGCATAGTTGTGAATGGTCCCTTAGTGCTGAACATACTGCTGGCACGGAATGAGCCAGAGATGGGCTATGTTGGACAGTGACCGGTAAGGTCTACTTCATTATGCTTTTTTTTTTTTAACTTACCTTTTCTTGCAGAATAAAAGCGTTCATTTCCCTTTGCGGAGTAAGTACAACCGACTTACAAAGCAAGCTCGCTACCTACAAGAAAATCCCTCCTGTCTGCTTTGCAATTTGCTTCATCATTATTTACATCAAGCCAATTATTCCATTATTGAAGATGCCACATTGGTAAGTCTCCTTTGCTTTTTTCATTATTGGAATTGTTGATAACAGTTTGCGGAAGATTCTAGTTTGTTGTAAATTACATTCTTTGGGTGTTTGTGTGCAATTCTGCTAATGTTCTTAACAAGATTATTCTGTTGCCATGAATATGGAACACCATGTCTCAGTGCTATTTACCCAAATCTTCCCATATTGTAGCTGTTGTACACAGGAAGTCCTGGTCTGTCAATAACAAATGGTCTTAAAGAAAACTTTTAGTTTATTTTCAATATGCATTTTGAGTAATAATTTTAACCTCTGTTCCTAGATACATTCTTGACAAAGCTTTAATATGCTTTTGTTTCCCTATTTTGAATCCTGTATTTCTCATATAGCCAGAATCATCAAACTTTTAATACCAATCTACTAAAAGATCAACAATGGGTGTTGTTTGCCATGATGCCAGGTATTTGTCACGTGTTTCTCCCACCAATACGTGGCACAATGCGGATCAGTTTAAAACCACTTGTTATCTACTAGTAGATTGAAATTCACAGGCTGCTGACTTTGGCAATATGCAGTACTAAGGCTCTAAATACAGTAACAGAAAATCATGCTCACTGGCTTGAGCTTGGGTAGCAAGTGGAGGGATAAGAGACACACACTGAAATTCGCTTAAAAGCTCCCAGCAGCCATAGAGTGTGTTTCCTTATTAGAGATATCCCTGCTAAGCTTACTTGCGGAAGGATACGGTATTTGAACACACCTATTGTTTGGCATGCTGTCACTGGCCCATGTGTGATATCTATCTTACCTTCTGCTTGCCATGCACCCGGTCCTCCCATCCTTATCTGATATTTCTTTTACATCTTCTGCCTGTAAACCATGTATGCTGTTTGGCAACCCCATTAATGCCCTTGCCTGTTACCTAGTTTACATCTCCTCTCTTCTTACTTATACTTGTTGATTTGGTTTCTTGTTACTTACACTTGTTTGGTATCATCTGCTTTATATCTCGTTTACTGTGCTAAACATGCAAACCATGTAAGTATACATTCAAACACCCACCCTCATTTAAATGGTACATCAATAATGAAAATTCTTAGTGAAAATACTGATACCGGAAGTCCCATTAAGGAAGCCAGGCTCACCACCTGGCTTCCTGATTAACCGGAAAGCTGGGCAGTGTGCAAAGATTTACCACCCGGCTTCCCGATTAGCAGGGAAGCTGTCCCCATGCTTCTCATCACTAGGTGACGAGAAAGCATAGAGACGGCTTTGTGGCCAATCAGGAAGCCGGGCGCCGTGTAATGACTTGGCGCCAGGCTTCCTGATTGGGCTAGGAAGCCAACTCCATGCTCCCTCGTCCTGAGTGACAGTTAGAGCTGCCTGTGTTGACCTTGCCAGAGGTCACTAGTCTGGGTTCTAAAAATGCCCGAACCAGCCAAAACCTTCCATTTAAAGAACTGTTACAGCTGGTGCGACTGGGATCACCCTGAGATCCACCTGAATGGTTCACTCAGCAATACCCTATTGATGAGGGTTTTCTTAAGAAATGGGCTGACTCTGTTGGCCTTCTCAGCCTCGTAGGTGTATGACATTCCTGATCCCTGAGTCCAGAGTGTCGTAAACCAAGGATTACAATTTAAAGTTTCAAATAAGAAGAAAAATGAAAGCTAATCCTGGCTCATAAAGTTACCGTAGGACATGGAAGCAGTGAAGCACAGTCATTTTATAGTATTAACATGCTGGAGGTAGAACCTCTTTGTGTAATGAGCAAATGCAGCTGCCTAAATGACCCTCTAAAGCACACCCTAAACAATAATGTATCACACTTAAATTAATAGTTACCTGATTGATACCTAACCTTAAAGTGGACCTTTGCCCACATTCACTAAAAATCACATCAGCATGCAGCTCTGAATGCTGATATCAAATCATCTTACATTCATTAAACAATTTTTTTTTAATTTTATATACAGTTACTATTTTTCCATTTATGCTCCTCTCAGGGATTAATGATGTAGCCCATGCTTAAGAGATGCATCCTGGGAAGGTTACATCACTGTGCATCGGTGGGAAATCTCATCTGTAATCTGCAACATCTTGTGAGGAAAGGCCTCTGTTGTCATATTAAAGATAAAGGGGAAGCTCATCTTTAATGCTTTAAAACAAACATGTGCTTTGCCCATGCAGGGCAGAGTAACAAGTTTTTTTTTTTTATACCTCCCTCTCCATCAACATATAGCCACCTTTCTTCACCTCCCCACTGTTCCTCCACTGAACACGAGGAGGTAATTCCTGTGCAAGCTCACAGCTGCTTTAGAGCTTACACAAATGTGAGGACTGTCTCACTGCCCCCATGTGATAGCGCTGGGCCAGCAAACACCAATGCTGTTACTTGAGAGGAAGGGATTGTGTTACTTATTTGCAAGTACCAGGCACTTTCTTTGCTGTATGCAGTTGATATAGTTAGTATGGAAAACAGCATTGACTATTTTATTGAAATAGAAAACACTATTAATGTCTATGTGTTACAGAATGATGGACTCCCTGCTTTGGTCACCTTGAAGAAAGGGCTTGTTGCGCTTGCTAGGCAATGGATGAAGTTTATTGTTGTCACACCTGCTTTTAAAGGTGTTCGCTTGCTCAGGCCAGCTCAACCACTGAAGCCTCAAAATCCAGTCAAGAAAGAGGAAGATGATCTGAATGGGTTGGAGAATGGTGCAGCTCTGCAGAGTGACACCAGTGCGGATGGAGCAGAGTTTGAATTTGATGCAGGTATGCCTTTTCCACATGCTGTTCTGAACATAACCTGTTCATGTTTTTTTCTTCTGAGTTAATGAACTCCTTAATAAAAAGGTCAAATTCTGGTGAAGCTTTACATATCCATATTGGTCACATCCATCTCGTTTCCTTTTAGCGCTGCTCAATTCTTTCTAAAACATACCTGTACCTGGTATCTGAACATCTCTATATTTAATGTTCAGTGGATAGAGAACTTAATTGATTTGTGTCTATAACAAACTGTTAACTGGAGTTCAGCTTTAACAGCTTTTACTGAAAACATGTTGACAAGAGATCTTTGTTTAAGGAACTCTTTTCTATTTTCAATAATCTTTTCTAGCTACTATTAGTGAGCATACCATGCTGCTGGAAGGGGCAAATACAAAGCCTCCACAAACTGGGGTTTCTTCAGGTCCTGTAAGTGGAGCAGAAATTATGAGAAAGCTGTCTAAATCTCATGCTCACACCGACTCTGCTGTAAAGATCAAGGTAAGTTTCTCTGCTTTTTTCTGGCTGTGCATTGTAAGATACTAGAAACCCCATTCAAAAAATCATGTAGTCATAATTTTTTTTGGACATGCCAACATTTTGCACCGGCCAGGTGTCATGTGAGAAATGTCCTTGTGCACCATTAGAAACTGTATGAGTTTGAAATTCTCCCTTATCTGTCTAAAGTCAGGTATACACGCTTCTATTTTCTTGAGCCTTACCATAATTAGAGTGCAGGAGACCACAATGGCTGGCCATATTGTTCTGTTGTTACAAGTTTTCACAATTGAACGCGTGGACCGCCTATTGACGTTCAAGAAATAATTACATATTAAAGCAGTGACAATCAATAAATGGGCTTTAAAACAAGTCTCAGTTGACTGTTTTAGCTACAGGCGCTGTGGAGCAATTCATCTTCCTGTCAGATCAGGACCCCCCCCTGCTTTGTTTACATGAGAGATTGGAAGGCTGCTGCATTGCTAGGAGGTAGAGCTGAGCCAAGAATGACTTTGGACAACTTCAGTGCTTCTGCTAAGGCCACAGCTGGGTCACTTGGAGATTGAGAGTAGGGGGTGGCATGTTTGTTGTTTGAATGCGGGGGCATCCAGGGTGCTCATATGAATAGCTACAAAGTGGTTTTGGAAAGTACTGGAAACATTTGATGTCCACAAGTTATGTGTATTTTTTTTTTCTAATTTTATGTTTATTGGCTTACGTGTACTTTTAATATTATGTGTGGTGTCTCCATGCTAATAGTGACTTCTGCAGCATAACGTTGTGAAAAAGCCACAACTTATATTTCATAATTGTTCATTAGGGACACAGGATCAGAAGGAGTTTTAAGGCCTATGGGTTTTACTGTCACCGACAGGAGAAATGGACACTGGAAACAAAAGGATTAGTCAGCCAGTATAAACCCTCCGCATCAAGCTTCAGTTTCTTGCTAGTGTCCTAGGAATACTATCTCAGAATTCATGTTGACCCTGTGTCCCTTAATAAATGATTAACAAAACAGGATTTTTGACTTACAGTAAATTCCTTTTCTTGGACTTTAGTAGAGAACAATGGTCTTAGCCCTCTGTCTTATGATCATACCTTCTGCTTTTGCAGGAAACTGAAGCATGATGGGAATGGGAGGGATATTTTTGCTGACTAACAGAATGTTATTGCCAGTATCCAATTCTCTGTGGCAGTATAACCCATGTGTCTCACAATTCCTTCTGACCGTATGTCCCTTAACCCCTTCATGACTGAGGCCCTTTTTTCAATTTTTGCACCCATGTTATATTCCACATTTTAGGCCTGAAAATGACGTAAAAAGCAAAAAAAAGATTGTTTGGTTAAAAAAAAAAAAAAATTCCTTGCAATGAAAAATGCTATTTACAGGGATAACTGTTTCATGCATTTTTCTTTCATGTTTACAAAAGTATCCAGGACTTAATGCATATACAATATTTTCACGAAATGCACCTTTTTTTACCATGTGATTGTTTACCTTTGCCTGCAATAAACTCTTCATGTTTTTTTTTTATTAAGGGAATCCACCCATATCACTCTCTGAGTTACACCAGTGGAGACACAGCAAATGACTCTCCGGCACATGTCAGCAGGCCTGGATTGCCCGTTAAGGAAAGTCCACGAAAAGAGAGTCTCCTGAGTTACCTGACAGGGAGCTTCCCAAGCCTACATAATCTGCTGGAGGGAACTCCACAAAAAAGTGCTGCTGTTGCAGTTAAAAGCAGTTCTCTTACCAGGACAGGTACCCATTACTTGTCAGGATGAGCGTTCATTTATTTTGGCCCCATCGTTCATAGAAATTGCTTCAGGAATGCTTTGTTATCAAATTATAAAGTTCTAGCAAACTCAGATATTAAACTGTCATGTCCCACCATTTTGGTTGCTATTTTACTTTATGCAATTAAACAAGGCAAAGCCCAACATTCATTATGGCTGTATGATATTGTGAGAGTATTCACATTTGTAGCTGCAGTTATTTTATGTTCACATTTCAGGCTTGACTTATAAATCCATCTCCGTCATATATCTTAAATGTTAAAGGAAATTCAGAAATATTTCTAATGATCATGTTTGGGTATATACAGTGTGGAAAATAATTATTTGATCCCTTGCAGATATTTTACGTTTGCCCACTTACAAAGAAATGAAAGGTCTATAATTTTTATCATAGGTGTATTTTAAATGATAGAGACAGAATATCAACCAAAAATCCAGAAAAAACACACTATACAAATGTTATAAATTGAGTTGCAGTTCATTAAGTAAAATAAGTATTTGATCCCCAAGCAAAACATGACTTAGTACTTGGTGGAGAAACCCTTGTGGGCAAGCACAGAGGTAAGACGTTTCTTGTAGTTGGTTACCAGGTTTGCACAGATTTCAGGAGGGATTTTGGTCCACTCTTCTTTACAGATCTTCTCTAAATCCTTAAGATTTCTTGGCTGTCGCTTGGCAACTCGAAGTTTCAGCTCCCTCCATACATTTTCTATAGGATTAAGGTCTGGAGACTGGCTAAGCCACTCCATGACCTTAATGTGCTTCTTCTTGAGCCACTGCTTTGTGGCCTTGGTTGTATGTTTTGGGTCATTGTCATGCTGAAAGACCCATCCATGACCCATCTTCCGTGTTCCGGCCAAGGAAAGGAGGTTCTCATCCAAGATTTTACAATACAAGGCCCCATCCATTGGTCCCTCAATGCGGCAAAGTCGGCCTGTAACTTTAGCAGAGAAACAACCCCAAAGCATAATGTTTCCACCTCCGTGCTTGACTGTAGGGATGATGTTCTTAGTCAGCAGTTTCTTTCCTCCAAACACGGCGAGTCAAGTTAATGCCAAAGAGCTCAATTTTGGTCTCATCTGGCTGCAGCACTTTCTTCCAATCCTTGTCTGGATCTTTTAGATGTCCATTGGTAAACTTCCAAAGTAAACGGCCCTTTACATGTGTCTTCTTGAGGAGGGGGACCTTGTAGGCGCTGCAGGATCTCAATCCATGGTGCATTGTGTTACCAATGGTTTGGTGACTGTGGTCCCAACTGCCTTGAGATCATTCACAAGCTCCTCCCGCGTAGTTCTGGGCTGATCCCTCAATTTTCTCATGATCATGCTTACCCCATGGGACGAAACTCCATTTATAACATTTGTATCATGTGGTTTTTTTTCTGGAGTTTTGGTTGATATTCTGTCTCTATCATTTCAAATACACCTATGATAAAAATTATAGACCTTTCATTTCTTTGGAAGTGGGCAAACTTACGAAATCTGCAGGAGTTCAAACAATTATTTTCCACATTGTAGTTAAATGCAAACTGCCTTGCATATGCTGCTGTTTGATAACATTTGCTGATTACGTAATGTACTTTGTTTGCATAGTAATACATTACATCTGTCTTTTCTGCTTCATCTAAACATAACTGTACATTGCATTGTCTTTACTATGTAGTCAATACATAGCTCTTATGACTGTCATTTTCATTCAGAAGTGTATAATGTGTATAATATTGTGTTTCATATACACTAGACGTGTAAAACACATCTAGGAAGCTAACTGATAATGAGGTTTGCACAATAATTTAAATAATCATCTTACATTGTGTAACCATTGGAAGGGTTATTTTAGACCCCAGTCCTAAGAAATGTACTGCTTCCTTCCACTAATTACACAAATATCAGAAGAAACACACTCCTAATCAGATGCATTGTTTTTTACTGAGCATACCTTGATCTTTTGCACCCATGCAGGGCTTTCCTTTAGAGTCTTGTTCTGTATACACTGTGTGCACAATTATTAGGCAAGTGAGTATTTTGACCAAATCACCATTTTTATGCATATTGTCCAACTCCAAGCTGTATAAACTTGAATGCTTTTTGGATTTAAGCATATCAGGTGATGTGTATTTGTGTAAGTAGGGAGGGTTTGGCCTCAGGAGATCAACGCCCTATATCAAGGTGTGCATAATGATTAGTCAGCTTATTTTCCTCAGGCAAAATGGGCCAAAAAAGAGATTTGACTGACTCTGAAAAGTCAAAAATTGTAAAAAGTCTTTCAGTGGGATGCAGCACTCTTGAAATTGCTAAGATATTGGGGCGTGATTACAGAACCATCAAACGTTTTGTTACAAATAGTTAACAGGGTCATAGGACACGTATTGAGAAAGAAAGACGCAAATTAACTGCCAAAGATTTGAGAAGAATCAAACGTGAAGCTACCAGGAACCAATTATCCTCCAGTGCTGCCATATTCCAGAACTGCAACCTACCTGGAGTGCCCAGAAGTACAAGGTGTTCAGTGCTCAGAGACATGGCCAAGGTAAGGAAGGCTGAAACCTGACCACAACTGAACAAGACGCATACATTGAAACGTCAAGACTGGGCAAAGAAAAATATCTGAAGACAGCTTTTTCAAAGGTTTTATGGACTGATGAGATGAGAGTGGCTCTGGACAGACCAGATGGATGGGCCCGTGGCTGGATCAGGAACAGGCACAGAGCTCAACTTTGACTCAGACACCAGCGAAGTGGGGTATTGGTATGGGCTGATATTATTAAAGATGAGCTAATTGGACCGTTTCGGGTTGACGATGGACTCAAAATAAACTACCAAACCTACTGCCAGTTTTTAGAAGGCACTTTCTTCAAGCAGTGGTACAGGTCTGCATCTTTCAAGAAGACCGGGAAATTTATGCAGGACAATGCTCCATTGCATGCACCGAAGTACTCCACTGTGTGGCTAGCCAGTAAAGGCCTTAAAGATGAAAGAATAATGACATGGCCCCCTTCCTCACCTGACCTAAACCCTATTGAGAACTTGAGAACTGGTGGGCTCTTCTTAAACGGGAGATTTATGGTGAAGAAAAACAGTACACCTCTCTGAACAGTGTCTGGGAGGCCGTGGTTGCTGCTGCATAAAAAGTTGATCATCAACAGATCAAGAAACTGACAGACTGAAAGGATGGTAGGCTGATGACTTTTATTGAAAAGAAGGGGGGCTCTATTGGTCACTGATTTTGTTTTTGAAAATGTCAGAAATTTTTATTTGTAAATTTTGAGTAGTTTGTTTATTATATCACTTTTAACAGATGACAATAAACAAGTGTGATGGGAAAATGTTCATTTTCCATTTAGTTGCATAATAATCCTGCACACTAATAGTTTCCCAACAATTGTGCACACATAGATATTCTCCTAAGAAAGCCAAAACCTCACTTTTACTTTCTTAAATATTCAGGTTTGAGGTTTATTAACATTTTGGATTGACTAGAGAGCACTAGTTGTTAAATAATGAAATTATCCTCAAAAATACAACTTGCCGAATAATTGTGCACACAGTATAATACAGAATGTTACAATGCTAAATTAAGCACATGAATCAAGAGAACATGGATGAAACTTAAGTTAAAACATATACATATATACATTTGGAAGAATATCCTTTTTTTAGGTTAAAGTCCTCTGAATCATCTCCTAATTTATTGCTACAGGGAATCCTGTGGGCACAGAAATTTTATCAGAACACCCTTTATTGTCTGAACCATCCTCTGTGAGCTTCTATAACTGGATGTCAAATGCAGTGGGTAATAGAGGCAGTGTGGTACACGAGTCACCCATGATCAAGTCTGGACACAACAGCCTTCCCACAGGTATTGACACTTAGGTTTGTTTAAACATTTTTTAGTTCATGGAGGGACAGAGACCACATAACTGTTTGCATAATCAGGTCTCTTCAGGCTGTTAAAAGTACAAATATATATAAGAAAAGGCATACTAGTGGATTTTACTATTTCAACAAAGATCATACCGGTTAAATGTCATCTAATTATTTCACACTGCCAGTGGCTATACTTCCAGTGTACGTTATTAGTTCTGTTCTTAACAAACTTCCCAAACCAGTACTTTATTCGTGTGTTTTATGTAATGATTGTCACATATATTCATACTTCCATTCATTCCATAAATAACATCAACGTTTTATATTGTCCTCTGTGTTCATCATTGGGAAGGGATTAAAGCGGACCTGTGACTTTTTAAATTCTAAGCTTTTCACATTGGATCTCATTTGTAAAACCTGCGAAAAAGACAAAGCAAAGGAGCTGTTTACACCAACCATCAAGTGTCTGCACTTAGAGAAATGACAGCCAGAAGTAAGCAACTAATTGTAGCATCTATACTTTCCTTTTTCTCCAGTCTTACAGATGAGACCCTTTTGTGCCTAGTACATTATGTGTTACATATTGCCTTGGTGGGAACATAAAAAACTTTTCCACCCTCTGTAAATGCTGGATACTTTTTGAGAGTCATCTTCAGATTACACTGTCTAAAACAAAATGTGTTGTTTCAAGCTGGACTACGTATAACCGTGCCATATAGTTAATGTATAAACATATTTATAGGCCAAATGCCAGCTTCAGAGGGGATTTTCTATTTGCATATAAATGAAGATTTTCTAAGGTCTCTTCTCAGAAGAGGTTGCAAAAGTTGCTCTGAAAGAAACCCCTATCACACAAATATATATATAATGGGGTTGTTTCCAGCAGTAACAATATTTTTACTATCTATATGTATATATATATATATATATATATATCAGTCTAAAATCTGAATTTTGTTGTAAGGCTGGTGTTTTGTATTCTGTATCATTCAACTTTTTTAACCTCTATCTTGACTAAAGCATGTTGGAAAATGACAGATTTATGTGATAATTTGGAACAGAGAAAAATGGTCCACTTATCAGCTAGATATGCAAAATTTAAAACAGTTTTTGAGCATTAGATGGTAATGTTCATAACAGATTTTTCTCTTCTGATAAACTTCAGATAGGGACCTATTGATACATAATGATTTAGCAGTTCAGATGTACTCCAAACTGTGTCTACATGGCTGCCCAAGACAATAAAAAAACAACAACAAAACTGAGCGCTGAGGAGCACATGACCATTAAAAACAGTTTCCTTCCTGAAAGAATTGGGCCTAAATTTGGGAAGGGACCCCATTTTGCTGTGTGGGAAATATGAAGGTGAATCAATGATGTTTTGGTTTCCTGGGAATTCTTTTTAAAATATAACTCCGGGCAAACATTTAAGCACACATTTTCAACACATTTACAGTCGTGTGAAAAAGAAAAGACACCCTCTTTGAATTCTATGGTTTTACATATCAGGGCATAACAAAATCACCTGGTCCTTAGCAGGTCTTAAAATTAGGTAAATACAACCTCAGATGAAAAACAACACATGACATATAACACCATGTCATTATATATTTTACAAACATAAAGCCAAAATGGAGAAGCCATGTGTGAAAAACTAAGTACACCTTATGAATCAATAGCTTGTAGAAACACCTTTAGCAGCAATAACTAGTAATAGTTTTCTGTATGACTTTGTCAGTCTCTCACATCATTGTGGAGGAAATTTGGCCCACTCTTCTTTACATCGTTGCTTAAGTTCATTGAGGTTTGCAGACATTTCAATTGGGTTGAGATCTGGACTTTACTGGGCCATTGCAACACCTTGACTCTTTTCTTTTTCAGACATTCTGTTGTAGACTTGCTGGTGTGCTTGGGATTATTGTCCTGTGCATGACCCAGTTTCGGGCAGGCTTTAGCTGTAGGACAGATGGTCTCACATTTGACTCTAGAATACTTTGGTGCCTTCCTTTTGTCTTTCATGATCAAATTACTTTTTTCTTATCTTTATAACTCTAACCTGCAGTCCTGGGAAGGAAGCTAGCATGCCTGTGTCTCTTATCAACTCCCATTAGATTAATTGGCCATCACACCCCCCACCCCATATCAGTATAAGTTTAGATGCTCTTATGGGGGAAGGCACCGCCAGGGGGGCAGGGCACAGTCTGACATTAAATATCTATGGCAAAGTAAATATCTGATGAAGTAAATCTCTGAAAAATTATTGGGGCACCTTTAAAAAAAAAAAAAAAAGACACCATTAGCAACTACTTTTCACTAGGACTGCAACTAAACTTTCCTACAACCTGCTTTCCTTCTGCTAGTCTGCTTCTAACTCCCTTTCTCCTTCTAACATGATTTCTCTTCCTATCCTTTTCATAATTGTATCCCCATACTGAAACTCTCATTCCTTCACCTCTCTTCCCCCCCACTGCATATACATATGACCCTCCCTGCTGCCCTCACCCTTCTACTGCACCTATCAACTTCTTTCGCAATTCAAGAAATCTCATTCCTATACCTCTGCTCCCAAGAACTGCTCCCCCCTTCTCCCCTGCCCTCTGGAATGCCTGCTCAGTCTGTAACAAGCTAACCTCCATCCATGACCTCTTTATCTCCAACTACTTTAACCTACTTGCTGTTACAGAAACTTGGCTTCAGGATTCTGACTCTGCATCACCAGCTACTCAGCTTAACCTCTTCCTTTGGCCTAACTCAATGGACTAACACTTCTGCTCACTCTAATGGTAACACCCTTGATCTCATATTCTTCCACCTCTGCACTCCTTGCAATCTCACCAACCTTGTCAGTTTCACACTTTCCTTATCGTTAAGCCCTACCACTCCAACCAGCAGACTGTTACCTGTAGAAACCTTCACCACTTTAACCCTTCTCTTCTTTACTCTGCAGCAGACCATCTTTATGACAAAATCACACCCCTATCCTGCCCTGACCTTGCCACTTCACTCTACAATAAGTTACTTTCCCCCTGTATGGACACATTCGCCCCAGTCGCCATTCACAGAATCAGGCCCCATCTACTACAGCCTTAGCAGACAGATGACAATAGAAGACTTGGAAGACATAGTCATGCTCTTGAGCGACTATGACGTAAATACAAATCCCTGCAAGACTTCACCCTATATGAAATCCACCCTCCAAAAATACAGTACCTGCCTCCAAACATACCTATTTCATCACATTCATTAACCCCATTTCATCCAGTCCCCATCAACTCTTTTTTACCCTTAACTCCCTACTTTGTTCCCTGCCGCCTCCTCCAACCAACTCGCTCACTGTCCAGGAGATTGCCAATCACGTCAAAGACAAAATTGATGCAATTGCCATGAGGCTGCCACTGTCCAGAAATCTGCCACTCTGAATACACCTTGTCTACCACCACAATCAATACTCTCTTCATTTGATCCTGCTACCACAGACAAAGTTGCTATTCTTTTTTCCAGCACCCACCTAACTACCTGCCCCGTGGACACCACCCCCTCACAACTACTCTGGTTACCCTCTAGCACTATTCTACAATCTCTTACTCACATCTTCACCCTCTCCCTTTCTACTGGTATCGTCCCTACCCCTCCAAAACAAGCATTGGTGAATCCTATTTAAAAAAAAAGCCCTCAATGGGGCCCACCAGTCTGAATAACTTGAGACTCATCTCCTTGCTCCCATTTTCCTCCAAACTTCTTGAAGGTCTGATCTATAACCGCCTAAGCAGCCACCTAACTGCTAATAACTTCCTCGACCCCTTTTAATTTGGCTTTAGTCGGCAACACTCTACAAACATTTCCCGATCTCTGCAGCTACGGACCGGGAACATGTCTCAGTGCCTGTGATTAGCCCTGCGCGTTGACAGCTTCCTGGCGGGCTCGGCACGAGGTGCTTGCGAACACGCCCGAGCCCATCACTAATCATCACCTCTGTCTTAATAGCAGAGAATTGATCCAGGTACCAGTGAACCTGCAATAGGATGTTGTAAAGCTGTATTTGAAGTAGTAGAACAAACGTCCTGTCTGTGCAGAATGGCAGAAGTGTGTACATAGATCATCAAAATATCAATACAAAGCTTTTGTCGCGTAAAGCAGTTTACAATTTAGTGTTTTATCTGTGTAATTAGTTGTTTTCCTGGAGTTCCACTAATAAGGGAAAGAACCTGCCAACAGAGCTGTTTTGTGGACAGATTCATTTTGTTTACCCTTTTTTATAATCATAAAGTGTTTTATTTTTTTCCAGCAACAACACATAACTTGCCAACAATTCCTTCAGCCTCAGATTTCAACACTGTAATGTCGAGTGAACAGAACACACTGGATGGAACCCCCTCTCAGCACAGCACCAGTCAAGATGATATAGCTGGCATTGAAGAAGGCAACCAGGGATTCCCTGCAGTTCAGCTTGCAGATGCACAGGTTAAAAAAAATACGACTTTTATGACTTGTTAAAAAAACACTTCTTGGATCAGCCCAAGCTAACACTTAAAGGAGAACTATGAGGTGAGTGAAAATCATCCTCATAGTTCGAGCCGACGTGTGACAATGAAACTGTCACACGTCGGCTCAAAAGATCGGAAAGTGAGCGAACACATACCGTCGCTTACTCATTTCTTGATCATTTCCCTGCAGAGAGCGGTGACTGTCACTCACGGCTCCCTGCAGGGATTCCACTCTCCAATTCTCCAGCGCTGACTGGAGGAACGGACGGGGGATGGGGCGGGTACAGCTGGCTCTGCCTCTAGATAGGCAGAGCCAGCTGTCATTCACGTGGCTGGGTGGATCTCGACAGCATTGTCGGGATCTGTCCTCGCTGCGGCGGTCTCAGTATACCGTGAGCTGTAGCACTGTAGCGAGCTCTAAAACACTTACCCCATAGTTCTCTTTTAATTGGGTTTAATCAGATTAATGCTTTTAGAAATTTTAAAGTAGAAACTTACTCCTATGCATTCCTCTGTGGTAAAACAAATTGATATTACAAATAATACAGGGTTTACATTCTCACATTTTCTTTAAGACACTTAACAAGCCAATATTTTCTTTCCTTGATTGGAGAGGATTTTAATTGAAAACTTATTTTATTTTAAAGCTATAGGCAAAACTAGTAAAAATAGCAGTGCTGAAAAATAGAAAGCTTTTTTGAAGTTGCGTTGAAGAAGCACAGTAGGTTTAATTTATTTTTAGTTGGTCTGGTCAACCATGTATGCTTGTATCTTACATAAAAAGCCTGTGGAGCTTTAAGATAGAATTGGACAATAAAGTCAGCTGCAAAATGAAATCTAGCTGCTCTCTCAGTTGTTCACATAACCAAACTTTTAAAACTCTTTTTAAATATAGAGTAGAGCTAACATCTCCAGGCAAATATAGTCTACTAACACGTACTGCACATCTCACTGAACACACGCCGCTGTTGGCACTGGCTGCATCTGATAGTGTCTTCATTCACATAGTGCTCACTGTACATGCGGACAAAGCTGAAAGTTTAAAGCGGACCTTTACCCTCAAAAAACAAATTCTAACAGTGCATCCCTCTATGTGTGATGATTAATAATGTAGACATGTCAGGTGTAAAACATACACCTGACATGTCTACATTAAGCAGAGCATTTACTTCCTGCTTTGAAAGGGCACAATTACTTCAGTTTGGCAAAGCAATGCACACTGGGACTGCCTTGTCATCAGCAGAGCATTACTGGGAAATCTCATCTGTAATCTCACGAGATCTCAGGGAAAGGCATTTTCCTCCCCTAAAATGATGTGCATGGTCACATGTCCTAGTCACATGTGCCCAAAATCAAGAAAGTAATAGGAGAGGTCATAATCTACCCTTAGTAAACATGGCCACAGACTGGGAAAGAAAAGAGAAACAAGTTATACAATAAGAATACAAAGCCGGCAATTATCTAGAAGTATGTGTTTGTAGATTGTCATTACTAAACATTTCTAAAGGTGTGTTTATTGTTATTTTAAAGATATGGGTAAAGGTCCACATTAAGAAGAGAAAAGAGTATTGAATAGTAGGGTACTCTTTGTTATATAATAAAGTTGCAATGTTGATACATTAAGGGGAGCTTAGAAACAATGCACCCTCTAAATCAGGGGTGTCAAACTCAATTTAATAGTGGGCCGCATCAACATTATGGTTGCCCTCAAAGGTATCTGTAAGACTATATAAATGTATCTAATCTTTATCAAAACTGCCTCTGCATGCGATTATCACTGGTTTTAGTAATAACTTAATACCTAGATCTGAAAGTAGAAGTCTAGGAAATGGCCTGGTAGGACAGGCTGAATGTCCATCAGTCTAAACACACCTAATTGGGGCAGGTGAGACCGGCAGTGTGACCTGACCTGCCGTGCTGAATAATGATTAGCGGGTAGTAAATGCTCAAGGTTGATCATTACAACAGCTCTGTGTATCACTTTCTGTTTTTCAGCAGAATCAACCTTATTTATTTTTGTGAAATATTGATATTTGCCTTGATATTTATATTGATGTAACTGTGATATATTTTCTGTTCTAGGTGGTGTTCAAACCTCTACTGAGTTATACAGGTATTCAATCACAAGATGTTGTTCCACTAAGCTACAGGATGTACTTTGGGGAACACCTGTCCTTCTCTGGCACTTTGGACTGTCTTAGAGCTGACATAGTTGATTCTGATACATCAAAAGAAAGGAGGAGTAAAAGAGCCAGAAGGTTTGCTTCTTATTTAATATGCTGTCATTCTCTTGGTCATTTTATTTCTATAATCAAAGTTGAAATATATATTCTTTCATTATTATCTTTAGGCAAGGAGCTATCAATCTACCTCCACTTGAATTCAAACCAGCTCTGATGTTAGAAACCTTCAGTATAAATGCAGTGATAATGGAAAAGTCTATGTCCACTCCCCAGAACCCCGCCAGTGCACTCTCTTTTCATGACCTCAGCAAAAGATACTATAATACTTTCCACTGTAACTTCACCATATCCTGCCAGTCCATTAGTCAGCATGTAGATATGGCCTTGGTACGGCTTATACATCAGTTTAGTACAATGATTGATGACATCAAGGCAACACAGACTGATATCAAACTCAGCAGATACACAGCTGGGTCAGCATCTCCCACACCTACCTTCAAGACAAGGAAACATCGAGATTTCCGTTCCTCTGACTTCAGTCGCAGCTCTCGGGGCAGTCTAAATGGAGGCACCAGAGTGAATAATTTAAAGAACAAAAGAGCCAGCAATGACAACAACAAGAAAGAGTCTCGAAACAAGAACTCCTTGGGAAGATCAGAACGGAGAACTTCCAAGGTTTCTCGAAAGGGCTCTAAAGATGCAGTAGATCATATGACAATCCATATGGATGACTCAGATTCCATAACTGTTTCTGAACAAAGTGAGCCATCTGCAGAGTGCTGGCAGAACATGTACAAACTGCTTAACTTCTACTCTCTTATATCTGACCCCACTGGATTTTTGGAAAAGTCATCTGAACCTCTTGGTCCTTCAGGTATAAATCAACAGACACCCTACAAGTTATTTTTCTTTTTTTTATATATATCATAACTGAGCACCTTGGATGGCATTATCTTATTTTAGGTTTTATCAAAATATATCTGAAGTACTCCCCAATCTCTGTTTTAAACAAGATATGAAAGCCAATGACTTAGTGCTGGTTTTAATTTTCAGAAGCATGTTGCCAGGTTATAATTATAATAAAAAAATAGCCTAGGATTGGTTCAAAAGTAACTAAGGCTTCTCTCCAAAAATAAGCCTTATAAAAAAATATATATGAAAAAACTCCGACACAATCGGATATATATTTATGTTCTTAGTGCAATCATAATTAGCACACTGGCAAGCAGGAAGCCTAGAGGCAAGAAAAATATTTATAGCCCCTCCCAAAATGAGAATCCCTAAATAAAAAGGAGTGATCTCACAATAGGGAACATTTGTACACTTGGATACATAGTCAATAAAGTGTATGTGTAGTTGTAAGATGCTATAAGTGTATGTAAAGCCAAAACATTTTTTTTTCTCTATGAAGAATTCTGAAATGTAGGGTTATGCTGCTAGAAGATTTGGACACTAGGTAAAACAATTAAAAGCCTGCCACTTAAGGGACATGACACTTTCCATTCACACCTGCCAGTTTCACATAGTGTCCTTAGGAGAATGAATGTCTCTTTCTCTTCTGCTGTAATTGGTGAGGGTGCTCTCCGCACACCTTTCAGCAGTCCCGGCCAGTAGAAAAGAGGTGCTTGCAGTAACTCCCACGGATGGCACCGTGTAATGCACAAAGTAGAAAAAGTAGGTTACCAGCACTCAAAATAATTTCAAATAGATAAGTCCTTTTTATTGGACATACGTGTCACAATAGTCAAACAGCCAACGTTTCGGGGCCACGCAGGGTCCCTTCCTCAGGGCAAAAGATGTGGTCACAGATTTGTCAACACCTCACATCCCTAGGATTTCATAAATGTTTCTGCGAAAATTCTAGGAAAAAAGGGCCATATCAAATAATGGTTGAAGAGCCGAACCAGTTAGCGAATGAATGGTAAGAGAAAGATTCTCCAATTTTTTTGTCAGTAGGATCCTTAAATGAAGGAGCATCATCAAAAGGAATAGTTAACGCTTTGTTAAGACGAGAAATTGGTTGTTCAACTTCGGGTGGGATAGATGATTTCTTCACAAAATCTTCTGGCAAAGGATACGGAGATTAAAAATGTTTAGAAACCATACATTTTCCCAATCCTTATAAAAAAAACAAAAATAGGATGTAGAGAAAAAACACTGCAAACGCGCTCAGGTTTACGTGAACCAAAGTTAAAAAATGCAGAGTGAGAGATAGCAGTGGAATCCTCTAAATGTAAAGAGGAATGCATAGCCTCAATTAAAAAGGCAACCATACAAACAGACAACTGATAACCAGTTGTAGTCCCCTCCTCATCAGAAGAAAGAGACTCACCTTCAGACATAGAATCTTTTGGAAACTCTATAAGCAGTTCCAGAACTATCTGACATTTCCTCGGAGGCAATAGATGAAGGGGGTATGCAATGTTTTTTTTAAAAAATCTAAACGAGATAAAAACCTTTCATAGTAGAAGAACATTCATTTTTAGTAAGGAAAATGAAGAATCACCTAACAGGGAAGGAGGTGTAGGTGTAGAAACTGACAAGGATTTATTAGATTTAGCGGCAATAAAAATACAATTAGCAGAATCCTTTCCTGAAGGGATCTATTTTTTACATACAGTACAAATAATCAATGAAGAAGACTCCTCAGAAGTTATAGTATCACTAAAGGCTAGTGATGTGAGGTGTTGACAAATAAATGTATTTATTTTAATGCATTTTTTTAGCTCTACTATTTTTCTAAAAAATAATCAAAACTGGGGAAAAAGTTTTCTTTACATTTTTCCTAATGTTTATATTTTGTTTGTACTAATTGAGGAGTTGGGCACACATATGTGATATAAATATATAGCCCTATCTGTGCTCTAAAAAACAATATATAATATGTGTATGTGCATTTAGTAAGAAAGTATATTACTGCCATGGGAGAATCACACAGCAAACTGAAAAAAGCTCAGTCATGAAGGGATTAAACTAGCTTAAACTTCTTCACAGTTTACAATTTGTTTTTTTAGGACGGAGCCCATCAGAGCCAACATGCAGGGTGGTGTTTGAAAATGAACAGGACAGCAATAGCCTGAATAGAAGTCAGAGAAAACGCAGCCTAGTTGCAGCAGAACCTCAGCATGTCACTCTGATAGTGTTTGGAATAGGCATGGTAAATCGCACTCACCTAGAAGCTGACATTGGAGGCTTGACCATGGAGTCTGAACTCAAGAGGATTCATGGCAGCTTTACCCTGAAAGAGAAAATGAAAGGTAATAAAACAAATTATAACCCTGAATGATTTCTACTTTTGTATGGTGAATTGTTTTCTGTCTCTGTTCCTTTTACTTTGAGGGGTATAGTGACACAGCCTGTGAAGGCAGAAAATTATAGGATGACTTTTCATACGGCACTAATGTTATAGCTAATAGTTTCTGACTTTTCTGAATCAGTTTTTAGCTTGATTGTTTATTCTCATAAACTGTTTATGAGATGTGATCCCCTGATGAAACCGTAAAGTAAGAATAACTTGAATCTTTAAGTCTGAGAAAGTATAGAAATCACCAATAAATATTCTCACTACAGGAAAGCAATTCAGTTTTGCAGCTGTTCAGTAACTCTGTTTGGTTTGCCTATATATTTCATTAAACTATTCTCTATTTAAAGAGCACTTCCAGCAAAAAGCTAAAGCCTAATGACAGGTTTTAAGACCCCCTCCCTGACTGAAGGCTCATTGGGCTGTTTGTTGTCCCTTTTCCTATACTATTCTAATGGCTAAATAATGTTAAAATGTATGTAAACCTAACAAAACAACTTATCTGCTACCCTTTTAAGCAATTTTGTCAGCCCTGCCCAGTTCACCTCTGTGAACTATTGAATACCCATCTCTCGCTTCGTGTTATGGAAATGTGGAGAAGGGGAGCCCTAATGTGGCCCTAATACACTTCCTGCCTGTAATGACAATGCTGCTTCTCTATAGATACAGTACAGTGATTAAGCATTGTCAGACACAGTTCAGCAAGTGTTTTTTTGGCAGGCACTTGTTAAAACTAAAATAAACAAATCCCCCAAAAAAGTAAACTAATGCAGCACCACATCTAAGGACTGGCAAGTTGCAATATATTAAATATTTTTGTTGTTGTGTATATATATATATGCCTTAATAACAAGGATCCACTGTGTTTGCAGTACAGTAAGTGAGCTGCAGTTTGCAAGTGAGCCTTTTGATCCTAAATACCACTAATAATTTGTCAAACATTATTCCCCTTCACTGGTTTTATGCTCAGTGGCAATCATAAACACGTGTCACTGTGTCTCAGCCGTTGCAGGGCAGAATGTTTTATCAATAGTCAACATTTGCTTTGACTTGGCCCTTGTTTTTACATTTTTGCATTTTGTTTTTTTGAAGATGTCCTTCATCAGAAAATGACTGAGACTTGTGCCACAGCTCATATAGGAGGTGTTAATATTGTTCTTCTGGAGGGCGTTACACCAAATATACAGTAAGTTGCTTATTGGCCTGTCCTATACACTTTATTTACTATGATCTTTCTATTAATTACACTGGGCAACAATGATTTTGCTTTTTGAACACTTCTGGGTGTATTTTAGAGATTTGGGATGTCTAATCACGAAAGTAAAATAATTTAACCTATCACGTACCATTTTGAAAAAAAAACGTTAACAATTTTCTTGTCACAGTTTAAGTTTACTAACTTCCCGTTGTGTTATATGATGCCTTGTGTAGCTCATACATGTCCAGGCATGGACACAGGTCTGGTTGCATAATGTTTGCATAACTTGAACAGGTTGGGCATGCCTGGGAATGCTTAGGCTTAGTGAATGCTCATGTAAGGGCTGAACGCAGCTTGCAACGTAACAACTAGGCCTAACCCTGTTACAGACTTGCTGTTGTAGTACGATTGGTGACATCAGAAATGTATCGCCAAGTTCGAAACAGAAGTGACACATTCTGTTAAGAAAGCGTATGAACTCTACTTTGGTTGTAAGATTGGTGATCAGGACAAGGCATGGGCTCCTCACATTTGTTGTGCAAGATGTGCTCTGAGCTTGACTGTTACTTTTGTTTGACTGATGTCTCTGGTGCATTCAAATACCCTAACTATTAACAAAATGTTTATCTTATTTGTGTATCACTTGTGGACATCCTCTAATCATCTCTGAATTTGTGCTGACGCTGTCCTTCTTTCTGGATTGTAGCTACTTTTGTTCCCCATAGTCTTTTTTGTGAGTAGCCACTTTTCGGAGCTCGCTCCCGTGATGGACTACAATCTCACGCTTAGTTTACTAATTTGTATTGTGATTGTAGTCCATCACGGGAGCGAGCCTGGAGAGGTGGCTACTTTACAACACATACAGGGACCAATGGGAACAAAAGGAGCCACCCTCCAGAAGAAAGGACAGTGTCAGCATGAATTCAGAGATGATTTGAGGATCTAAAGCCGAGTGATACACAAATAAGATACATTTTTGTTAATAGTTAAGGTACTTAAATGCATTTTTAAGATTTAAAGGAGAATTAAGGGGTAAGGGAAAAACACTCATCCCCATAATTCAAGTCTACCTGTGACACTGAAGCTGTCACAGGTCGGCTCTATTGATCAGGAAGTCAGCAAACACATACCGCCGATTGCTGACTTCTCACTGCATGTATCTACTGCTTGTTAGTAGTAGGATATATGCGTAAAAAAAAAACCAAAAAAAAAAAAAACAAGTGTTGAATTCTTCTTTAACATTATGTGATTACAAGTTAATTTTATATTTCTCAAGATTCCTATGTGATACAGTCATTCTAAAAATTAGATACAGTCATTCTAAAAGTTAATTATATATTCTATCTAAATTACAGGTGTGACTATTTCTTTAAAAATGTCAGCCCATTTTTTTTGTCACCAGTAATTTAGGCCAACCTGAAACAGGTGCAATCCATTATTTTCAGTTAAGGGTAGTTGGAGAATGGACCTTTTCCTTTTTTCAGATTTTCTTTGTGTTTATGTTTTATTCAGGTTTTTTGCCCTTCTGTTTGTCAGTCTCTTACTGTTTTTTGTTACACGTGGCTTTAACATTCCAATTTTCTGCATTAAACTTTTAAAGTTTATTAATAAGCTAGTGCAAAGTAAAATAAGGTGATAATCAATTGTTAATATAAGGTGATAATCAACACCAATTTGCAAAGGGTACAATTATTCTTTTACCCCTTACCCTTACACTGATCTGTGGCTCAAAAGAATACCTCACATCAGCTTTGTTTACAAATGTACAGTATGTAATTTGTTACTGCTGGGGAAGCCTGTGTACCAGGTTCTCAACCTACATTTATAAAAATACAAAGGTATAAACTATTACCGGTATGTAAGAAAACAAATAATTATAATTATAATTTTTAAAGTTTGAACTTTCCTAAAGAAAACAATAATGTTTGGGAAACCCTCACAGCTACAACAATTACAAGATAATTTATATGTTTATTAAAAAATCACTATTGTCCATTGTAGTAATAAACTAAACATAACTCAGTTCAGTAGTGCGTTAACCCGTTGCCTGGTGGAAGCAATGCAATGTTTACAGGCCATTATAATAAGCACGATGTGTGCCAAACTTGAGATGTGGCAGAAAGGAGCCTGGCTCATGGGGAACAATGGCCAGACTCCAACCTCATCTTAGTGTATGTGCCTGGTTCTAGCGGGAGCTGTTAGCTGAGTTATATTTAGTTTATCTGCTTGTACTTTAAACTTGGGGATTTTAGGTAGAGCGCATTTTAAAATAACCTAAACATAATTGACCTGAGTCACTTTGTTAGGTTTTCAGTATGTAGCCTGAAAGCTTTGCAAATATTTTTATGCTTTCTTTGGTTTCTTTTTGTTCCCTTCTTGCTTTCTCTTGAACCTTCATCTTTAGACTGGAGGATTTCCCTACATCTCCAACAAGCACAGCCAAACAAGAGTTTCTGTATGTCCTGAGCATTACATGTATAGTGGTTGTGGTTGTGATTGTGATGTGTTTGTACTAAGTGCTTAAACCTTTTTGGCATCTCTTATTGTTCTGAAGTTTTGTTGATATGGCATGTAATGACCGGCCCATCAAGTAATGTTGCAAAATCACTGGCTAGAATATTTTTATAAAAGTGATATGGTAAGTATTTTACTTCGGTAGAATCCAGCCTACATACAGTTAAAGGAGAATTATGAGGTGAGTGATTTTCACTCAGCCTCATAATCTGAGCCGACCTGTGACAATGAAACTGACACAGGTCAGCTCAGTAGATCGGGAAGTGAGCGAACACATACCGGCGCTCGCTCACTTCTCGATCTATCCGTGCAGAGAGCGGTGACTGTCACTCGCGGCGCCCTGCAGGGATTCCTCCCCCCTTCTCTGTCCGATCCTCCAGCGCTGACTGGCGGAACGGACGGGGAGGGGGCGGGTACAGCTGGCTCTGCCTCTAGATAGGCAGAGCCAGCTGTCACGCACACAGCTGGGTGGATCCAGACAGAATTGTCGGGATCCGTTCCGGCTGCGGCGTCTCAGTATATCGCAAGCTCTAGCTCACGGTTTACTGAGCTTTGGGTGATGGGAGGACGCTAGTTTGTGTCCTCCCGTTACACTTAGGAGAACTATGGGGAAAAGTCCTAACCCCATAGTTCTCCTTTAAGAGAAACACATACTTTGTCAGGTGCGTGTTAAGAAAACCCTATGTGGTATGGTGCTTATTAATCACAGCCCCTGATGTAGAAATGGATGGAGGATTCACCATTTAGATATGATGTTAAAACATCTTACAGTAAAACTCTAGCCTTTTTTGTTTAGCTTTAGCGAAAATGGGGAAAAGTTAGAACCTCTGACACACTTTATCTGTGTCCCTGTTGGTGAGATTTCTGTCACTTCATGCGGCATCATTGGACCAAATTCAGAAACACTCTGTGACACTTAGTATGAAAATGGAGGAAACATAACACCTGTCAGAAGGAAGTCTTAATGTCAATACCAACAAATTCACATACACATTCAAGACATTTATGTGAATTTGTCACAGGCATTGATATTTGTCACACAAACACAGGACAAACACTATTAGGCTTCAGCAAGATCTCATCTAATTTTGTCACACTTGTAGTTGCAAATTGGAAGCATATTCTGGTGCTCTTTCTTAGCAGCAGGTTAGATTTGCATATTTCCATTTTTACTCTTCAATTCTTTCAGGTTTGTAGGTTGTTTAGTAATCCTCTTTTATAGAAAGGGATATTGGATGTGACATATTTGTAATGTTTTGACATCATGAATGAGAAGGTATGTCACAGGGAATGAGATAGACAAATAAGATCCTATACAAAAACTGGTTCCAGTAATGTACTTTATTTAGTAATGTTGTTCAACTTGTGTGATGCTTCTAGATATAAATGACACTTTTTTCGCTAAAAATAGCCGATATATGCCACTAAACAGGATTCTCTGTTCTGCTGATTATAATGTAGAAATTAACACTAAAATTCTCTACTGACCAATACAGATAGTTAAACGTTTTGCACTGTACTTTATCCATAACTGGACAAACAGGAGCATGTGTGCAGTTAATGCATGAACATTGCTAGGTGGTGTGTCCTGCCAACTTGACAGATGCACATTATAAATACTCTTTTAGTAATCTCCTTTTCTTCTCTTTTTACACAGGACAGTAGTAAAATGCAGTATTGCTAAGTCCCAGGCACTGTACAGTGCACAGAGAGGCCTGAGAACAAGCAATGCTGCTGTGTTCAAAGTTGGAGCAATCAGCATTAACATTCCACAGCACCCAGCTACATTGCACAGCATGATGGTGCGCAGTTCTCACCAGCTCTCAAAGCAGATCTCAGACCTCATCAGACAGCCTTCAACAGTGTGAGTTGAAATATACATGCCAAAAATGTGTTCAGTTGGTGTTTTGTTTGCATGTGCTTCAAGTCCAACCAAAGGTTTTCCACATTCTCTAGTGGTGTCCAGACCGCTAGCACCACTCCACCTGTACAGATGCCTCCATCAGCTAGCCAACTGCTGTGAAGACACCCGTACGTGAACGGTCACTGCTGTGCCTGCACCCAGCTGTGTGCGTCCGGCCACACCGCCACCCTTCCAGTCACAGCATGACTGACGGCAAAAGGAGCCTGCGGCTCCTCTGCCCTCAGTACCCTCTCCCGCAACCAGGAAGTTCAGGGAAACCTGAGTATCTTCTTGGTCGGGGCGGAGGAGACGAGCGGCTGCAGGTAAGTGTGGGGGGGACACAGTTGTTTTTTGCCCTCATGCAGAGAATGCTTTAAGGCAAAACACACTGAGCCTCTAATAATACCTTAAGTGACCAGGACAGCACAAAAAGTGCACCACGATAATCACGATGATGCTTTGTGAGAGCAGCCCCCCCCAATATATAATTTTTGAGACAGAGCCAAATATTTTGAAAATAACTTGTTTCCCTTACTTTCTGTTATAAAACCTATTACACAAAAATGCCAGGGCAGTGTGAATACCCCCCAAATGACCCCTTTTTAAAAATTAGACACCCCAGGGTGATCTCATTTTTGCCACAGTTTTTTGGAAATGAAGAAACATACTGGTATTGAAGTGATTGAAGCACGGAGATTGGTAATGGTGCACTAGATTCAGTGCATCATTAATGAACAGGTCATACACAGAGGGAGGAAGAGATGAAGGGCTTAATGTACAGGTCACATGCAATGGGTAGATGGAGATGGGGGTTATTGTGCAGATGTACAGGATAAGAAAGGTGCAGGGTTACTATAAGGGTCACTTACAGAGACAGGATGAAGATCAGATGTACAAGTGAGTGGGTGTGTGTGTTTAAAAAAAAAATCAAAACTCCCCCACCTTAATTCTGCTGCTGCCTGTGATCTGATCCTAATGATTTATTGATTAATGTATTAGTTACGCCTTCCTATGGTGTGAGAGGAAAGGAATGTTTACATTTGTGATCACTGATTGGTCATCAAAGTAACCACATGACCACGAGGTATAGAGCCACTCTGATCAACTCATTGTACATTGTATCATTAGCAGCTTACATCTAAGCCATTAAGGGGCACATTGGCTGCCTGTGTGTGTTTTCTGTACCACAGACTCAAAATGGCAGTACAGGAATAGACATCCACCTCCCCACCAGTGGTACGGAGTTGGTTAAATATTCATATCAGAAACATTTGGGTCTGTTGTAATAAACTGATTCATTACATGTAAATGTTTGCCAAGGTGGAAAGTTTCAATTTTTCAAGATACTTATAAATGTTTCTACCAGATCATTTGAGAGATGACTGTTACACATGCAACTATGTCTCTTTCACAGGGTGCCCCCTCCAAAGGAAGATGTAGCAACACCATTACTATCTGAAAAAACCCCCTCAAGTGTTAACCAGACTCCAATTGAAACTATTGTATTCCCTCAACTCCCAGAAGGACTTGAAAAGAAGCCTATTGTGCTGAAGTTCAGTGCTATGTTGGATGGTATTGCTATTGGAGCTGCATTGTTACCTTCCCTCAAAGCAGAGTATAAAATGGGGAGAATGCGAAGCCATGGGATGACAGGTAAAAGAGCGCTATAATATCTACAATTAGTTCAGCTTATTCTTTCTCTTATAATGCTATTGATTTTACATTCAACAAATAAACTCAACAAATTCAGTATTTGTCAAAAGTATACAATTCCATAACAATAGCATACCTTTTTTTTATTTGCTGGGAAGAATATTTGCCAGTAAATGCACAAGCTTGCTATATTTGCTATATTTATTTTTCTAGTACATGTTAGTTCATCTCCGTCATGGATGTCTTATCTCTAGAAGAAATGACATCTCAAGAGACAACTGTAGATATATGTTTACCATACTTGAAGTGTATGTACAGGCAAAGCTTTGTTTTTAGACTTTTTTTTTTTTTTGGAGGGGGTTAAAACCCATCTCAGTTTATATTTAGTTGTGTATCTTTGTTTTGGGCATTTTATTTGAAAAATATAGATATCCTCGATCTGCTGATATATTACAAAAAGTGACCTATTGTTATTAGATTTTCAAGCGCCATAAAGTATATAATGTAAGCCATAAAACAAAAGGAGCGCCTCCATAGTGTAAAACAGTATTTAATGTAAAAAGGAAGACAGCTGGCACTGTACTTACAAACGATTATAGAACTCAGGCATGTACCAACGATGGGTGAACAAAATCACAAACAAAGACGATCTGGAAAGTTGATAGTCATAGGTTCTGATGAAAGGGGCGTGGCCTCTGAAACGCATAAACCCATGGAGCACTTGGGGGCAGAAGACTCTGGTTTAATATCAACGGTCCAGATCGTCTTTGTTTGTGATTTCGTTCACCCATCGTTGGTACCTGAGTTCTATAATTGTTTGTAAGTACAGTCCCAGCTGTCTTCCTTTTTACATTAAATACTGTTTTACACTATGGAGGCGCTCCTTTTGTTCTATGTCTTCCAGAATGCTGGTTACCCTGACCAGTGGGAGCTGCCTCACAAGTATAACTAATTTGTGTGCTTAAAGAATCGCGGGGGCTGGCGACAGTGTTTTTTCACTTTTTCTACTTCTCTTATATACTGTAAGCATTCTATTGTTTCCTATTTAAAATGTTGCATGCATTTTTATTGCAGGTGCACAGACAAGATTTACATTTGAGCTTCCAAATCACAGGCTGCGGTTCACTTCCAGGGTCTCTTCTACAGATATGTCAACTATTCCCCCCTCAGCCAGTCTCAATCTTCCCCCAGTCACCATGCATGGTAAATACATTATGGAAGAGCATGACAACTACTCAGATCAAGCCTGGAGCATGGATGACCTACCTGCCAATCAGAGTTACTACCTGCAAGGAAACTATTTACGTTGTGTGGCTGAGGTGAGTAGGGCAAAACTTCACACCCGTTTGACGGTGTCACGTCATTTTACACAGGTGTTAAGAGTTGTTGATTTAGATAGCAGATATGCATTTTATAATAATTTAATTAGCAAATACAATTACTGGCCTTAGTCTACATACAATTATAGCCCCAATTTAGCAAACATAACCTTCAGGGCTACAAAGATAGGCAGATGTGTTCCTCCACCACACTGGCTAGTGCCAGTATCTACTTCTTACTTTTGTGTTTTAAACTATTACAACGTACCTTTTTTATGTTTTATTTTTGTTGCCAGTTTGAAAGTAACAGACTTCCCATCTAAATTACAGGTTGGGTCGTTTGAGCATAATCTAACCACTGACCTACTGAACCACCTGGTTTTTGTACAGAAAGTCTTCATGAAAGAGGTTAACGAAGTAATACAGAAAGTCTCAGGTCTGTGGTTTTTATATTGAGGGTGATGATGATTTTAAGCGGGTCTTGGTTATGCCTGCATATGTATATAGACCGATCAGCCATAACATTATGACCACCTGCCTAATATTGAGTAGGTCCCCCTTTTGCCACCAAAACAGCCGTGACCCATTGAGGCATGGACTCCACTAGACCTCTGAAGGTATGCTGTGGTATCTGGCACCAAGTTGTAATTAGCAGATCTTTTAAGTCCTGTAAGTTGCGAGGTGGCCTCCATGAATCGGACTTATTTTCCAGCACATCCCACAGATGCTCAATTGGATTGAGATCTGGAGAGTTTGGAGGCCAAGTCAACACCTTGAACTCATTGTGTTCTTCAAACCAAAGCATTCTTGGACCACTTTTGCAGTGTGGCAGGATGCATTATCCTGCTGAAAAACTGTTTCAATGAAGGGGTGTAATTGGTCAGCACAATGTTTAGGTAGGTCTGTTTCAAAAGTAACATCCACATGAATGGCAGGACCGAAGGGTCTCCAGCAGAACATTGGTTGAAGCAACACACTGCCTCCGCTGGCTTGCCTTCTTACCATAGTGCATCCTGGTGCCTTCTCGTCCCCAGGTAAGCGACACACATGTCTATCCACATGATGTAAAGAAAACGTGACTCATCAGACCAGGCCACCTTCTCCCATTGTTCTGTGGTCCAATTCTGATGCTCATGTGCCCATTGGTGGCGCTTTTGGCGGTGGACATGGATCAACATTGGCACCTTGACCAGTCTGCAGCTTTGCAGCCCCATACACAACAAACTGCAAAGCACTGTGTGTTCAGACACCTTTCTATCAGAACCAACATTAACTTTGACTTGACTGGTTCACTGGCTTTACTTCCTTGGACCACTTTTGGTAGGTCCTGACCACTCTAGACCTGGAATATACCAGAAGAGCTGCAGTTTCGGAGTTGCTCTGTCCCAGTTGTTTAGCCATCAAAATTTGGCCCTTGTCAAAGTCTGCCTAATATATCCCACCCACTTCCAGGTGCCATTGTAATGAGGTAATCAATGTTATTAATTTCACCTCTCAGTGGTCATAATGTTATGGCTGATCAGTGTAAATGTATGTTTGTGTAATTAATAAAATAACTATAATGAGAAACTTTGACTTGATAAAAGTAAACATACAGAATTTATATAAAAGTGTTTCACTGTGTATTATACATGACATTATACCCTTGACTCAAAAATGTAGATTTTAAAAGCGGTCATTATGTGTGGATACCAATATCATCAACATGAATGTATACAGTTAAAATGACTACAGGCACTATGGTATTTTCTAGTACTTTACAGAAGGATTACTTTTCTAAAATAAGGCAAATGGTTTAGGCGTCTCACTTTTTGAGTTTGTTATCAAGCACAATTTTGATATGATTTGAATGCAAAAATAATTTCTGTACCTTGATCTTCAGACTGTTGATTTCATGCATGATATACACTTATTGAAGCACTAAGTTCTATTTACCACACAGCTTGGCTATAAGAGAAACATTTATCCTAGCTGAGCTTGCAGTCCTCTAATATGAATGCTCTGAACCATATGTAGGTGAAAGTTTGAAGCCAACTATTTTAATCAGGTTTATTGAGATTTTTTTCCATATACATATCAAAGAATAAGCATACACAGAAAAACTTTGGCCACAAAAGAAACAATACAAAAGAACAGAACATAATGTAGGGAACCCATCGCAGTATGGTAACGTCACAGTTGGTGGACGCACCGCCAGCGTCCTATAGCTGAGCCCGGGGCGAGACGTGCCCCATACAAACTTAGTAAAGACCTGCTGGAGTTGTCGCAGATAGACCACTGGGACAATGATGGGTAAAGTTTGAAACAGGTATAAAAACCTAGGGACAATGTCCATTTTAAGCGCGTTAATACGGCCCAGCCACTACAGGATCCCGCAGTCATACAAGGCAAGACCTCGAGTCGTCTTCTCCAGCAAAGGCCAGAAGTTCAGAGAGTGAAGGGCATTTAGGTCAGTGGGCAAGTGGACGCCAAGGTACTTCAAAGAGGTGGGGCAAACCCTAAAGGAGTAGTTACCAGCCAGTTGTTGAAGGGCCTCCGTCCCTAGGGGCACATTGAGTATCTCCGATTTGGAAACCTTGACCCGAAAATTGCTTAGAGAGCCGAAAAGAGAGAATTCCTGCAGAATAGTAGGTAGTGCAATAATGGGTTGCGTTACGCAGAGCAGTAGGTCGTCTGCAAACAGGGCAAACTTGGACCTAAGTGTGCCCACTAAAATGCCCTGGAACATGGGGTTCCGATGGAGAGCGACCACCAAGTGTTCCATAGTGAGGATATAAAGGAGGGGGGATAGTGGGCAGCACTGGTGTGTGCCATTGAAAATGTGAAAGCTAGGGGAGAGGGAGCCGTTGACACGGACCCGAGCCGATGGGCAAGAATACAAAGCCATCACGTTTCTCAGCATATTGGGACGGATGCCCAGTTGAAGCAGAGTATGTTTAAGGAAACTCCAGTCTAGACGATCGAACGCCTTATCAGCGTCAACTGACAAGAGGCAGAGGAGGACGTCGGATGTCTGGGCATAGCGCATCAGTAGCAGAGTCCTAATGGTGTTATCCCGCGCCTCCCTACCCCGGACAAACCCTACCTGGTCGGGGTGAACCACCTCCGGGAGGAGAGGTTGAAGACGGTTGGCAATCAGTTTGGCAAATAGCTTCACATCAACGTTGATCAGCGATATTGGTCGAAAGTTCGTACAGAGGGAGTGGTCTTTGTCCGGTTTAGGTATTAAGGAGATATGGGCCTCCAGGGCCTGTCGTGGAAAGGAGGCCCCCTGAGCAATCGAGTTGAAAACGCGGAGCAGGAAGGGGGTAAGTTTGTCACGAAAGGAATTGTAGAACTTCACCGTGTACCCATCAGGCCCAGGACTCTTGCCTACCGGCGATGACTGGAGGGCCAAGAGCAACTCCTCCATCGTGAAGGGCGACTCCAAGGCCTCAACCCCCGAGACCGCCAATCCCGGGAGGGCCATGGACTGAACATAGGATGATACCTGTGAGTCACAAGGAGCATCGGATCCAATTATTGAAGCCAATTATTTTAGTGACTGTTGGCTTTTAGCACCAAGGATGCTATATTTAAACGGTATGCTGTTATAAATTCATGTTATGAATATGGTGAGGCACATGAACCATTTAGAAGTTTTTGACTTTAAATGAGAGTTTAAAGCCACACTCCGGGCAATCATGTCATCCCCTGCACACAAAGCTGAGCTTCTCGGCACTAAAGAGAGGGAGAGACGCGACCCAAGCTGCACAGCACTCCGGTTGCATCACCTGCTATCACTATTCACTATCCTTAATTTAGGAAATGTCTTGGGTTTTTTTTCTAAAGACTACAAGGCATTCTGTGATTGGAGGAGAAAAGAAGCAGGTGATGTGACCATAGTGCTGTACTGCTTGGGTCGCATCTCTCTTAATTTGCTGTTTTTGGATTCTGTACTTTGAACTGCTCACTTCGTATTTCACTCATCACATGCGTGTTCTTGGTTAGTGACCCAAAAAGTATCAAGACTTTTAAATTAGAATGACTGCCAGGTAGCATGCATTTGGAAAAGTAGGTTAGCACTGGCTGCCTATATATTTTTTCTGGCACATGTTATCTTTACAGATGTTTTGTATATTAATGGGCATCAGCGGAGGGAAATAATGCAGTATTTAAATAACACTCGCTTTTATAACCGGTCTTGCAAGCTTAGTTAGATCTGTGATCCTTACCCCTGACATCTAATGCAGCTGCAGGGGTAAGGAGAGTTTTTGCCATAAGGTCCCTTTAAATTAAATTGAATAGGTTATTGGAATGAAGGCAAAAGCATGTAGATGAGCATTATTTATAGATTTATTATTAACATTAAATCACAGCATTGTATGTGTTATTTTTGTGTTTGTTAAATTCCTTAGATTTTTTTCTTATTATCATATATGTTATAAAAAGGTAACTCTCCTTTTATTTGGCCAGGCTGCTGACAGAGGTCCCTTTAGGCTCCAGGCAAAAGGCATAACCTTAAGCTTTATTCCATTATAAAATTTTCAAGCAGCATTGACGATGTGCAAAGTGCAGTACCCCTGTGCAGGCATGAAATCCCAGTTTACCATGCTGAGAGCTTTTTCCTTAGTGCATCAGTTTTAAAAATTGCACAAGGAGACTTTTTTTTGTTGGCGTTCGGGAGAGCTCATTATAGTTTGGCATTATAATTTTTTCAAAGCATCTTTGTGAACGTCAGCAAGATTATATCAAATTTGGCATATTTCAAATATTCTGTATATATTTACAGGAGGTGAGCAACCAATCCCACTGTGGAATGAACATGATGGTACAACAGATGGAGAAAAACCAAAAATTCTCCTTTATTCCTTAAAACACCCCTCCAAATCATTAGATTCAGCTGTTCAGTGGAATTTCCTTGCTACTAAATACTCCACGGTCAACTGTTAGTGGTATTAGAACAAAGTGGAAGCAAAGTGCATGAATTAGAGCGAAGACTGCGAGCCAGGCCTTCCCATCCAACATCAGTACCTAACCTCACAAATGCACTTCTGGAAGAATGGTCAAACAAACATAGGCAAAAAAATTACTATCCTGACAACACATGGGCCACATCTGCTTAACCCATAAGATTTGTGGGTGTTGTGCAATGATTCAAACAACTCACAAGTAGTAGAATAATAAAATACATTAATTTAGGTTGGGTATTACAGATGATAAACTAGATAAATACAGCATTACCGATCAATGGAGCCCCTCAACTTCTGAAAAGATCAGATGGAATCGACAGCCTTCAAACAGGTCTCTAGGCACATTCAGCAAGATGTCCTAGATGAGGCTTTTTTTCTCCTTCCAATAAAACACTTACTACACCTAAACACAATGAGCGAAGTCCTTCCAAAGCTGCCCATATACTGTGTGAATTTAGTGATACTATTGTGTTGCGCTAGGTCCTAAGTCCTAATCTCAAGAAGGAGAATATAAATATAAACACGTGAATGTGTGCAATTATATCCAACATCAGAATTGTGAATGAAGAAATTAATTAATTGCTGCTCATCGTGCAGCGTAATAAATATATCTTACAAAATGCCAGTGCTCATGTATCCAAACATCTACATCATCTATACGTGAATGAGAAAACAGCTTACTCTAAAATACAATTGACAAGAATAATTCATAAATATATTACAAATCCTCCAGAGAGTTAGAGATGTCACTCTCAGAACATACATAAGCTGAGTGTGTATGATCGAGCAGTCCTATGCCTCTATCTCGGCGCTACATGACAAGCCACGAGCAGTATGCTTACTTTCCTTGTCTCCGGTACATCTTTAAAAGGGAAAAAGAGTTCTGTTACGTTGTTTCCCAAAGATTGTCCGCAAGACTTGCCCCGAAGCAATCCCTGTTATTTTCAATAGCCGTCCGCTTAGTCCACCCGTGTCCAGATGGCTCAGCTGGACGCGGCTCTCTCCTTCCCCTCCGGTTAACACCTTCCACACCGTGATCGCCGGCGATGTCCATCCCACGGTGTTTAGAAAAGGAAACGAGAGGGGGAAGACAAGAGCCTCTGGGGAGCAGGGCAACATGAGGAGGGCCGGGAGCCGCAGATCGGGAAACCTCAGGGGTAAGGGTCAGGAGTCAGGGTCCAAGGCAGCAACAGGATACTGGTTACAGGAGACAGGATACTTCTTTACAGGAGACAGGATATGGCAACAATACTGTATTGTGTATCACACAGTATATATACTGTGCGAATTTCAGCCGGTGCCTAATGAACCGGCCAACATTTGCACGGTGGGTGCCCCTGTCTGCAACCTTCTATCCGGTATCCTTTGATCAGAAAATCAAGCCAATGGAAAATCTTTGGGCGAACAGTGACAGCAGCCAATCAGTTGCTGTCACTGTCCGAGTATTCTGACAGTGGCATATCTGACGCTGTTAGAATACAAAGGACACACCGGGTTATTTGTCCATCTACGCTGTTTAGCCTGTGGACTAAAGGAAATAAATATAACAGTGTATAGCCAGCTTGAGCCTTAGATTGTGTCATGTGACACATCAGAGTCGAGGAAGGGCTTAGGAGGGCTTTCGTCCAGTGGTGAGTGTGGTCCTCAAGCACCCACAACATGACTGTACCCAGGGCAGACCCCTCTAGGTACGCTACTGGTGACAACACAGGAGCACAACTGGGGCACAGTTGGTACTTCATAACAGTTCAGTGCCTGCACAAGGGCCTTAATGGCATGATCACCAGGTATCATTTTAATGAAAGCTGTGGATGTGCAAATATTGAAAACAATGTTTAGAGCTGTGGCAAAACATCCACTTGTGATTCAAAGAAGTTCCCTTCTGGTTTTTTTCCAATGTCTGTTTGGGAGCCTTTAAGAAATCAGTGGATGACTGAGCCTGGCACAGTCCCACATAACAGGTATATCAGTTTTGGATAGATTTTAAAATAGTATGTGCTCATTTTTCAAGCATGTCTTTGTATGATATGTTTCCTGGGTTGTAACTGTACCATCAAGTGGTTTTATTTACCAGACTAGTGACAGCATCTTGACAGACATCGCTAATGATTAATGATCAGTTTTATGGTTGTTTTACATGCTTTGCTAAAGGGTATCCAAGTGACAGCAACAACTCCCTCCATGAGGGCAGTCAGATTTGAGACTGGGCTGATAGAGCTGGAATTGTCGAACCGAATTCAGACAAAAGCCTTACCCGGAAGCAGTAGCTATCTAAAGCTTTTTGGCAAATGTCAGGTTGATTTAAACTTGGCTCTTGGACAGATTGTGAAACATCAGGTAAGCAACTTTACATTTAATTAATATAATAGCTTTCATTTGTTGTTTCATTTTATTGCAGTCTTCCTTACATGTCTTCCCTTGAATGTTAACATTCTCCTGTGATCCGTGCAGGTTTATGAAGAGGCTGGATCAGATTTTCATCAAGTTGCCTATTTTAAAACCCGTATAGGCTTACGTAATGCGCTGCAGGAGGAGATCAGCGGCTCAACAGGCAGAGAAGCAGTGCTTATTACTTTGAGTAGACCCATTGTCTATGCACAGCCTGTAGCCTTTGACAGAGGTACTAGCAGCTGCCTTTCTATTCCGGTCGACAGCTCACAATAAGTTTAGAGAGTATCCTAAACAATACTTACCTCACGTACCTCAGGTGTATAAAAGCATGATTATAAATAAGAGGCTGATTTTCTTAGCTCATTTCAAAGTCAGACCCATGTGCGTGTTCATATTTGTTCCAAAACACATGGTAACCTTTTCATTCTGTATACTTCTCTTGCTGGCACGCACAATTCAGAAAGCCTGCGTATGTTTATTTAATGTTTTTTATAGGGCTGGTACTGATTAAAATTTTCATGTTCGATTAATTTAATTTTTTTTTATCGATTAATTTCGATTAATTATAACGCACATACAGATCCAACTACTTTTAGCTGATCTGCTTGCATTGCAACTCTGCATTAGTCAGTGGTAAATGTGGTATACACTATATACAATCACCCGACACTAGTTAGTTTCAACAATCCATGACTTAACTTCACAGTTCACACAAATACGTTTTAAATTCAAACTGTAGCACTGACGTAAGTTATTTTTTTTTAAACTTTAAGAAGAACGTAGACTAGTTAGTTTAATTATAAAACATATCCAGTATACTGACTGTCAGTCACTTTATAGTAGGCAAGTTTTTATTTATTTCTTTACTTTTTTAAATTTTTATTTATCTGATTCTCTTTCACTTTTTAATTTGTTAGAATTTTTTTTCTAATTATTTTTTAATTTCTTTATTTTTTTAATCTTACTATCTTTTACTTTTTATCATTTTCATTATTATGTTTTACTTATTTTTTCATAAATGCTTATTTTATAATTTTTTATCAATTTTTATTTAATTTTGTATTTAATTTTTAATTTTTTTCACTTAACTTTATTGCTATCACACAGGAGCTAGCTAACAAGGCCCTGTGTGATAGCATTTGGAGGTGACAGGTTCTCTTTATTGAACCTGTCACATCCAATACAGGAGTTCTAGCACAGCACTGTGCTAGCACTCCTGTGACAGCTGAGAGGAAGGGCTGCGAGTGCAGCTCTCCTCTCACTGTCTATATGGTAGCGCCGGGCCTGGGCCCAAGTGGCTCCGTCAGCTAAAGAAGGAACGGGGCGAGGAGTCCGGTGACGTCGATGTCCGTGACGTCACGAGATCTCCGACGGGACTCCCGGAAGCCGGCGGAGAGGCGAGTACGATCAAATGAATTTTGATCGATTAAAAGAATTAAACATTAATCGAGTAATTAATCGTTCATTTCCGCAGCCCTAGTTTTTTATACTCCTTTCAGAACATTGCAGCCCTGCTGGTTACTTGCATCCCTGCTGGGTACTTGCAGGTATTTCTATGTTCTGTGTTTCACAATTTTTTTTTTTCCTTATTGAGTGTTCTATTAACCAGCATCATTTTCAATGGCTTTGATTTTATATTTTTTTCAATAGTATTTTATGTAGTCTGTTTAGCACACAATGTTTTTGTTTTTTTCCGGGCTGATATGTTGTCTATGCCCACATTCATCAGCTTCTATATGCACTACATCCTGTAAAGATTTCTCAGTTATTAAGCAAATTAGGTGGTAGTGGGTTTTATCCTTTTATTTCTCATAATGTGATTTTTTACATTTGTATCCCTTTCTGTTAAAAGCTGTGTTGTTCTGGCTGAATTACAAGGCAGCATATGATAACTGGAATGAGCAGCGAATGGCACTCAACAAGGATATTCACATGGCTACAAAGGAAGTAGTAGACATGTTGCCAGGAATTCAGCAGACATCTGCCCAGGCTCTTGGAACTCTCTTCCTCCAACTCACAGTCAATGATTTGGGTATATGTTTACCCATCACCAATGCACCACAGGTACCAGGCTCAGCAACACATTTCAATTTGCAAACATTTATTTTAAACTTATATGCAATCGCTTCAGCAGGATAAACATACAATTTGTGAAGCTTTATACTTAGCTTTTTCTTCGCCTTTGAATATTGCAGATACAAATGGCCATCGTTCCTTGATCAAGTTCTGTTTTGTTTCTACTAGGCAAATCACACTGGTGACTTTGATACAGGCTCTGCAGTGGTACTGACGATTGAAAGTACGCTTATAACAGCATGCTCATCAGAGTCCCTGGTGAGCAAGGGGCACTTTAAAAACTTCTGCATTCGTTTTGCGGATGGCTTTGAGACCTCTTGGGATGACTGGAAACCAGAAATCAGAACAGATCTAGTGATGAATGCATGTAAGTATATTACTCTGTTATTATCACAACCCGAAAATGACAAGTAATATGTTGGCATGCCCGCTGGATAGTATGTGTACACCCTCCTGTACAAACAATTCCATTTGGACCATTGAATTCAAATGACCCTTGTCCTTGAAGCAATTGTTACCTTGCCTTTGAAGCCTAGAACTTTATGGGAAACTATGGTGTATTTTTAGAAAGTACACTCTTTGAAGTATGGTTGTAGCAAGTATTTTTAGTCAGGTCTTTTACTTGCTGAACCATATTTTGTCTGACTGTATTTTTTATGCTGATTTGAAAATTCTCCCTCTAGTAGCTAGAGTTGCACAAGCATTTATGTTTATTTGTTTATGCCAATAAAAGAGAACTATGGGGTAACCTTTTTATCCTGTAGTTCTCTTAAGGGTCACGGAAGGACATATACTAACGTCCTCCCGCGACCCAAACCTAGTGCCCGCTCTATACTGAGAGCGTCGCAGCCAGGATGGATCCTGACAATACCGGCGAGATCCACCCAGCTGCGTGAGTGACAGCGGGCTCTGCCTATCTAGAGGCAGAGCCAGCTGTGCCCGCCCCCTCCCCCGTCCGTTGCTCCAGTCAGCGTTGGAGGATAGTAGAAGGGAGGGGGTAATCCCTGCGGGGAACGGTGACTGTCTCTGCTCTCTGCAGGGAGATGATCGGAAAGAGAGTGAGCGCCGGTATGTTTGCTCACTTCCTGCTCAATAGAGCAGACGTGTGACAGTTTCAATGTCACACATCGTCTCTAACTATGAGGATGAGTGTAAATCACTCACCTCATAGTTCTAAACTATAAGGGTTTTGGGTCAGTTGTTTTGTGAATTCACATTATTAGTTGTTATTTTGAACAATTTATATTTTGGAAAGTTGCTGAAAGTGTTAAGGTGAATGGTTACAAAGCTCACGTTGCTATTTTCTTTTTAGACTGTACATAATATAAGAAGCATGTACTGTGTGCTGGAGGGGGCCATCTCACTGCTGCTGTTGAAAGCAAAGTGAGGTGTATGATAAGGGTCATGGTATACAGGAAAGACCTATAGGTGTGCTGGGGTGGGATCTCCCAGTGTGAAAGTGGCACTTAGCTTTAATACTATATAAAATAGGACAGGATGTAGTATATGAAACTAAAGTTGTGATATCTTCAGACTGAACCAAATTTCATCCTGCAGAAAATACCCCCCTCCCTAACCTCTAAATATCGCAGTTAGGAAAAGAAAACAGGCTTGAGACAGTGAATACACTTGACGCAAAAACAGGCTTGAAACAGTGATACAGAGAATGGTTACAGTCTGTTTGGATCTGATGGCGTGGTATCTGTAGAGTGTCTTATCTTCTTTATTTTGTCAGCGGTATTGGTGACATGAGGCTAGTACTGTAATTTATAGTTGAATGAAAGGTTATCTTTGAAGAGCACAGCATGCTGTATAATTAGTAGTCTATAACTTTCATTCTTTTTAACTTATTCTTTGTTAAATACCGTTGCTTTTGTAGGTGTTGTGCCAGATGGAACATATGAAGTGTGTTCTCGGACAACAGGGCAGGCTTCTGCAGGTACGAATAAAATGGCAATTGCTATAATAACCTTGGGGCTTTAAGAGAATGCAATGTGGTTTGTACATTCTCATGCTTGCTATTATTATAAGCAGCTGCTGAGTTTCTAAAAGAGCAGCCAGTAATATATACATTTATTTAACAATAGAAAGCAACAGCGCTGGCACATGGACACTCAATGTGTTGTGGAAGATGTGTGGTATTGATGTGCATATGGATCCAAACATTGGCAAAAGGCTTAATGCCCTTGGCAATACTTTGACCACACTGACCGGAGAAGAGGACATAGATGATATTGCTGATCTGAACTCTGTAATCATGGCTGACCTCTCAGATGAAGATGAAGTTGACAGCATGTCTCCTACAGTCCACTCAGTACGTTCCCATACTACCATTTGTCATTATTGTGTATATCATGATTTTTATTGTTTCGCTATAGGCTGGCGTATACAATATGCTTTTGATTGTCTAGTTGATGGGGAGGAGGGGTTAACCATGATATGTGCGAGGGGATGAAATGCTGGTGGCTAGATAGAGCTCTTCTTTGACATCTCTACTTTAAGCTCTATGGCGCTTACTTAGGAAATCTAGCTCATGTTAAACCAGTAATGCCTCCAGAAATATTTTTTATACTCTTTGCACTGTCTCTTTTAATAAAACATGTAATCTTTTTAGATGCATGACCTACTTATTTTAAGCTGGATTCTGTGAACAACTTGGAGGAAATATATTTGGCAGTCTCTATCTGACAATGTAAAGTCTCACACAGAAGTGCCACTATTCATGGTAGTTCAGCTGTACTGCTATATGTCATCCTACTAAGTATAGCCAATAGGTGTGCAGCACTGGAGTTGAATTTGCACTAAGACTAATAAAAAAAGATACACAGCAAAGAGGACTTTGCCATAAGACGTTGGTGCTCGCTTACTATAATAACTGTGTACAGGAAAGACTCAAATTCTTTGTTGTTCTCTATCTTGTAGGATGCATATAGACATTCTCCTTCTTAACTTAAGCACAAGCAGTATACTGTAGCTTTTAAGGATTGATACAATTTGTGAATCTCGGAAGGCTGGAGAAATCTCAGCAACCAGCTGGTCAATCTGCCTAAATAGATACATAGTGTATATTCACCATTCCTGTTCCCTGGCTTCCTAATAAAGATTGCTGAAACTTACATTGAACAGACCGGCGACTAATTCCTAAATCACTTTGTCAAAACATATTTATTTACACGTTTTAGAAAACAGAGTTTATTAATTAGTGTGTTTTTTTGTGAATTAGCCTTTTGCATCGCATTTGACATTGCTTACCTGTGATATCTGGTGTCTGAGGTGTATTACTATTGTGTGACACAAATATGGCCCTTGGGAGAGCCACGCAAGGCTTTGGTTTGGAGTACTCCCTCTAAGCTCTCCTTTTATAATGTTTGTCTTTGCTCATATTCCTTTGTTACTTTCTTCTAAACTTTACAAGGTAGTTGCATCATTTAGTATATTACTAGATTGTCCGAGAACTAACCATACTGTTTACTGTCCAGAATTCAGAAGCAGTATTTATAAATGGAGAAAGCCACAAGCTTACCCTTGGTCAGCGACTTGTAAATCACCTACTTGGCTTGAACCACAAACGTCAGCGTTACTCAGTGCCTGCAGATTATCTCTCTGGTTCAGAAATATCTGACTCTGGTCGTGTCAGTAAACACACAAGCGCAAGCAGGTCTCGCTCATGGGCAAATGTATGTAAAAAGAAATATGAAGTAAAATAAAGATGGTCTTTCAAATCAACCTACATCAGTTAATTGGGTGAATTGCTGGAGGAATTAAATCTATACTAAATCTCTGATTATTGCATGCCTAACTCACACGGAGATTGGTTGCAATTTATGTAAATAATTTAGCCTTGTGTTATGAAATATTGGTATGTCACAAAATATATTTTCCTAGGAAACTGTTGACTGTAGACGACCTGGGCAGATTGGAAACCAAAGTGTTGATCCAAGAGGACGGAAATTTGTGAAACGTTTAGTTGATATACGAGAACTGAATGAACAAGCCAAAGTTATTGATGATCTCAAGTAAGCAACTTTTACAGGAATAGAGTTTTGATTGATCTGGTAAACATATGAATTATCTTGCTGTATCTTTATTTGTATATAATAAATATTTCCACCAGCGCAAAAAATTGATTCTTGGAGTTCTGCACTTATTCCTCAGCTATGGTTATGAATGTTGCATATGTGTAATATGTCCTATGGTATGCACAGGAGATGGGAAATGAGCACAGTGAAGCAAAGGTTGCAGCTTTCAGATAATGGACTTGTCAAAGCTTGTTTTTTCCTTGCTGTATGTAGTTTTATGATGTATACATTTTTTTTACATATACTTGGGTCTCCTATGGGTGTTCTAGTGTGTTCCCACAATCCAAAAACTTAACAGCATATGAAATGCCTTTTTTTGTAAACTGGCCCCAGACCTTGTGGTGTTCTTGCTTTTAATATGGGGCTGTTGTGGGAACATTAGATCATAAGCTCAATAGGGGTAGAGACTGATCTGAATGGTGAAATTGTTCTCTGTAAATTATTATGTTGGTGCTATACATTTATGGCAAATATTTGCACATCACTTGTTATGGCAGTGCTCCAAGGTAAACGTCAGTGTACCCCTCCATATAAGCTGCAGTCCTTATGCTTTTTTTTAATACCCATTGTGCAGCCCCACTGAGAGAAGCATTACTATATCTCAAATGTCATTGTTAGAAGTGAGTTTAGATTTTTGCTGAGCATGTATTCCAAAAGGTGCAAAGCAATAGGAGCTATGCAAAATTATTGTTAGATAGATATGAAACCAGCATATTAGTGAGTACTAAAACTAATAATGGATTGAGATAATATTTAAAATAATGCATTATATTTTGACACATGTTAAAAATAATTAAGAATGCTCTTTTTCTGTAAGAAAACTTGGGGCAAGCGAAGGAACCATAAACCAGGAAATTCAGCGCTATCAGCACTTGGAGTCAGTGGCAGTAAATGACATCCGTAGAGATGTTCGAAAGAAGCTACGCAGATCTAGCATGAGGGTAGGTTGCTGAAGAGGATTTATATGATTTATAATACAATATTACGTTTTCAATGTCAAGCCTTTAACATTTTGGTTTTCTCTCCACAGGCAGCCTCCTTGAAAGATAAATGGGGTCTCGGATACAAACCAAGCTACAATCGTTCCAAGAGTATCACTGCTTCAGGAAGACCACCTTTGAAAAGAACAGAAAGAGCCAGGTATATAACACGTTACACTATCACTCAAGGATTTTATGTATTTATTAAATGTCTTTAACTATGTTAAGAATTAGGTGCTCAGTAGCAGAAGAAATAGGAGAATATAAATCCTGGGCCCAACAACTCACTTGGTTGCCATTTTTCTTTTTCTTTTTTGATATGCATCAAAGGAACAAGTGAGTCATTTTGTGCTTAAGTTTAAAAAATAGACCAAATGATCTATTTTATATATATTTATTCCCTGTTCTTTTTGTATTCATTACCTTTTACACACCATAGTGAACATAATAAAGTATCATAGTGCTTATATTATATTATACCATGAGTGCTTATTTTAAAGTTTTTATGCACAACCGTCTATCATCTCACTGACATTAGTGGATGTGTGCATACTAGTGTTGCAGCTTGTTGTACTTGGCTGTGTGGGTTTAGATCCTGCTAAATGGGAACATCAGCAGTGTTTTGTGTACTTGGTAGTGTTTGTGCAGCGGTGTAGACACAACTACAATAATTTGTTTCATGTAGAAGCAAGATTTCTGCTGCACCTCCAGTAAAATGCATGATTAACCTTTTGTCTAACTAAAACGTTGATATCCACTTGTAATAGGATAAAGCCGTCCTTCATAAATACTCTGTTGACGCTGATAACTTTTTTCTTCTACATAGCATATGTCTGGCTTGTTGTGTATAGAACCCATATTAAATATATAGGTTGATTTGTATCCATACAGATGAGTATCATCCAGTCTTGTTACTTTCTTTACACTGCAGTTGTTTTAATTGTCCCTACACCAGGACAAAGAAATCACATATTTTTGCTTTCCTGTTTAGCTCTAGAGTAGATAGTGAAGAGCTTCCTGAAATCCGTGTTGAAGCTGCTTCTCCTGCAGGTCCAAGAGTGACATTCAACATTCAGGATAGTGTAAGTATTATGCTCAAGCATGATTGGTTCGTTTCATTGGAATCTGGGTTTGTGCTTTTGATGTTGGGTGGTTATGTAACAAAGTTAGCAGTATTTTACTTTACTTTACATATTGTCCATAAAAATGATCCCTGCTTCCCTCAGCCCTCTTTGAAGAATAGTGGGGTCCTATTATCCTCCTCACAAAACTTTTTCAATACCAAAGTCTGATATGCAAAAACAGTAGAGGTTATAGAGTGCTATTGTATTCAAATGGACAAAATGCAATCTTAAGATTACCCTGCGGTGGCAGTGCTGGTGAAATGTGAACACTTGCTTGGTAAAAAACAAGTAATTGCAGGAGGTGGGGTCCCCTCAATGTTAGTACATGGAAGACTTAGAGCCACTTGAACTTGATTATAATGAAATCCTTTTTACAGTACCAGTAATTGCATAAAAGACTGTCCAATTCAAAACCAAGTTTGTTGTCAAAAAGTTTTTATGTTCTGGCAAGTTATTTTGCGTCTGATTATTTTTATTTATTTAATCGATGTTGTAGGAATGTCATTTTAGACTGTTATCATGGATTTTGTTTTCTTGTGCATTTTGAATTACATATTTTATTCACATTTCTGGATAAGATCACCTTAATACTAGTCTTCAAACATTTGACATTTTATACATGATTTCAACGTTATCTTTGTATCACAGCTATTGGTTTATGACTGTTATCTAAAACCAAGTGTTTCTATTTTTTTTTCCTTTTTCAATAAATGAAGTTAAATAAAACAGTTTTAGGGATAAATCGTCAATCTCGCAGTTCTTGGGAGGAAGGGTACTTCAAGGTATTTGTAAATTAAAAAAACTCTCAATTCCACACTAACTTCATTGAAATGTTAATTACTCTTCCTCTTTACGACATGAAGCTTTAGCAGAATGTGCATCAACTAGTTTTATGTAATGCCGGTGCTAAAACAAAAAAGCAATATTTTATACGTTTTTTTTAGTATCAATGGACAAATTCATCTGTCTCTAAGAACCTCTGAAATATCCATGGTCCTTATTGCAGATACTTTATAGAATTATTCCCAGTCGGTGCAACCAACAGAAATTCTTTATAGAAATGTGTGAAACATGGTGATATAAGAAACACAGCTTTGTGCTTACAAATTAACCCCTTCATAACTGAGGTTTTTTCAGTTTCTGTTCGTTAATGACTAACACACTTTTTACATTTTTGCTGTGTGATTCTTCCATGGCAGTAATATACTTTCTTACTAAGTGCACCCACACATATTATATATTGTTTTTTTAGAGGTCAGATAGGGATATATATTTATATCACATATGTGTGCCTAACACCTCACTTAGATTTAAAAAAAATTAGGAAGAAAAACTTAAAACACTTTTTCCCCAGTTTTTAATATTATTTTTTGGAAAAATAGTACAGCTAAAATAAAAGCATTCAGTTAAATAATGTATTTGTCCTTTATTTGGAAACACCTCACATCCCTAGGATTTCAGAAATGTTTCTGTACTTCTCAGCCTAAAACTTAAAGCTAACATTTTATTTTGTTTCTCTAAAAGCTAATGGTGGTTAGGTGGCATACAATATCACTGTCACTAAGTGACAGTGACATACTTTGAACATCGTCGTCATGAGGCAGTTTAAAAAAAATTAACCCCTTAGGGTGAAAAACAAATCTGCAGCTCAGTTGCAGATTTTCATTGTAAGGGGTTAATTTTTATAATAATCATAGTATAAAAATATATTTATATATATGTATATATTTTTACACCTTTTTTTTTGTCCGTTACATCAAGCAGTCATTGTTAATGGATCTCACTATGACTGCTTGAAAATTTTATTTTTTAAAAATTTTTGGTTATTATTAGGCTGCTCCAAACTTAGGAACAGCCAATAATAATCTTAGTGACACTGACCCTGACATGCTGATCCTGTAACATGTTAGGATCAAATCTCACTAAAGACCTCTGATCATTCTCACAACAATTAGAAGCCTGAAACAATGTTTCAGCATTGAAACATTTTGCTAAATGTTTCTATGTTAAAACATGTAGCAAAAATCTGGCACACATCAGGATTTCCTAATGCCGATTTGTACAGCTGTCAAACAGTTATAGTAAGTGCGGTACACACCGCACTACTATCACTGTCAGACACTAGATCGCTAAAAGCGATCTTGTGTCTATTATAGCTGTATTATTTCCAGCTTTACAGAGCCCCAAATAGCTGCTCACATACAGTGTATACATGAGCAGTCATTTGGGCATTTAGTGGTGGGGACATACAGTGTACGTCTCCCGTCAGTAAGGGAGGTACTGATCGGTGGTAGCTGTGACCAAAGAAACAAAGGGCTCCCTCTGCATTATCTTTTCCCCATCACTGACTTGCCATTTCTTGTTCTACATTGTGTCTTTGTGTGGAGGCAGTCATCTTGTTAGAGGCTGGGTTTTGCCTGATCAAGTCAGAGCTTCCCCCAATGACATGTGATTTGATGACTGGTAGCGGAATAGAAGCAGCAGTCGAGCACATGTCCACAGAATAAATCATGCCAAAGCAGAGAGATCTTTGCATTGCAGGTCTTTCAGGTACTCTGCAGGCATTGCAAGTCTTCCTCTCAAGGAGCACAGTAAGCAGCACAGCAGTGAAATCACCAAATCCTGTGCGCAGTCAGAGGAAGGAGTGCCTTAGATGATATTGAACTTTAGTTATACAGCTATAAAATTGTGGGCACATAAGATATATTTTTACTACTTAGGCAAAATAAATGATCATTTCTAGATGTTTCCTTTAACCCCTTCATGACTGAGCTTGTTTTTGGTTTCTGTTCGTAAATGACTGACACACTTTTGACATTTTTGCTGTGTGATTCTTCCACGTCAGTAATATACTTTCTTACAAAGTGCACCCACACATATTATATATTGTTTTTTAGAGGACAGATAGGGCTATATATTTATATCACATATGTGTGTCTAACGCCTCACTTAGGACAAATACAAATTAAAAAAAGAGGAAAAAACGTAAAAAAAAACTTTTTTTCCCAGTTTTGATTTGTAGTATTTTTTTTTAACAAAACCAGCACAGCTAAAAAAAAAATGCAATACATACATTCATTTATTTGTCCCTTATTTTTAATTTTTTTACACTTTTCACTATTTTTTTTAATTTATTTACACTTTTCACTTTTTTTATACTGACAAATTTTATTTATTTAATTATATCAGGCAGTCATTGTGAATTAATCTCACTATTACTGCTTGATAAATTAATACATTTTTTTTTATTATCAGGCTGCTTCAAACTTCAGAACAGCCGATAATAAGTTAGTGACACTGATCCTGCAGCAGTTCAGGATTCAGCTGTCACTATAGGTTTTCTGATTGTTGCAACAACGATCAGCAAACTGAAACATTCTTCTTCCAGGAATAGATACATTATAGGAATAGACACATTATGTATCTATTCATGAAAGAAAAAAAGAAAAAAAAGCCAGTATAGCTTGAGAGAGATATCTCTCTCGATCTATACGAGCTGTCAGAATGCCGGCAAAAGCCGACATGTGTGTCTGCTTTGCTGTGACTCTCAGACACCCGATATTAAGGTATCGGGTGTCTGAAAAAGGTTAACCCTTTCAGTAATGGATCTCTAGATAGTTAGACATCTATTACTGAAAGGTAACCGCTGATTCTCAGCGGTTAGCAGCCTTCTAGTGCAGCAAATAACTCGTCACGTACAGTGTACGTGACGAGTCATTTGGTCCCTTTGTGGCTGGACGTACAGTGTACGTCTCCCGTCACGAAGGGGTTAAGACAGGTCCACTTTCAAAAGTTATGACCTGCAACCCTGATTAAGGTCATTAAATGGTCACCATATTTCTGTTTGGCTGAAAGATCTGCACTGGAATCCCAAGGAAATGCAAGAAGCCAGTGGTAACCTACCCTACCATTGTCAAACTATAACTGAAGCATTCAATTTTGGAGCACTGGCTCCTTAGAAATTGTCCAGTGATTAGTACAATTGTAGAGCATTAGGTCTGGAACCTGTGTATACAAGGGCACCAGATTTTGTCCATTGATGAGCCAACATATGCATCTAGTTGCCGGTAGTAAAAAGACGTTGCTGTACAATTTGCTACATATATTTGCATGAACAGTTTCCTTCACTAATAAACCTTATTTGATTTTCAGGAAATCTTGGTGTATCAGACTACCATCTGCAGTGCACTTACAGCTGCAGTGCTTGCATTTTTACTATCTCTCGATGGCTGGGTGTCTTCCATATCTTTGTGCGATTATTGATCACAACATTAATCCAACCCATCTCTTTCATTGCTCACAAGCTTATTTATGTCTTCTTTATGGAAATTCTTGGGGTTTTATCACTGCTTTTTTACCAATCTGGCAGAGTTTTTAATTTTCTGTTGATATATGTCATATAACTCTGTTTTGTTGTTTTTCTTTTCCCCTTGAAACAGTTTCCAGAGGAGGTAGATGGTGATCTGTTGTCAGTTACAATTGATGGTCCATCTCATTACTCATCCATTAGTGAAGGTTCACATCCAGTGTTCAGTTCCCCAAACACCCCATCAGTGTTTTCACCTGGCATTCCTTTCCAGACTGAAGAAAAGAGAGAAGACACATCTTCCTCATCCTCTGAGGAGTCTGATAAAGAAGAAGATCATGACAGAGAGAAAATGTATATTTACCGGAAACCTCAGTGAGTATTCCTCTATTGTATTTTAATTTGTGCTCTAAATAAACAGTAATAAAACTTGTTTGTTGTCAAATCTAAAAAGAAAAAAAATGTTTTTTTTCTAATTCTCCAGTTAGCTGCACAAATCACTACACATACAGAGTTGCACATGCAAATATATGTCCATACAAACTGTATATATTCCATAAGTACACTTGTGGTTGGGATACCTTGCAAACCAAAAACATTTCAGAGCCCATTCACACCTATGTGTGCCACACATCTGCATAGGTTAGTCATTGTATTAAGTAGTGTGCATAAAAGGGTGTGAATGAAGCCTCAAAGCCCAAGCGGAGAATGTGGTACTGAACCTGCATGTGTTACCACTCCTGTCCCACTTTCTCCTCCCTGCTTAGGGACACCTTTCTCCTTTACTAGAAATCTGCTGTCAACCCCTTTTATTGACTGGTGAGTACTCCAGTGCTCAAGACTCCTGGCTGACTTGTGATGTCACTACCAGAGTAGAGCTGGAAATCACCAAGTGTAAAAAACTTCCTGGCGCAACTCTGCATGTTAGATGATAATGACATCGCACAGGAATGTCACCCACCTCTGGCGGTCTCCTTTCAAAAGAGCAGTCTTTCTTTGATCGGGAACCCTCCCTTTATTATGACTGTTCTCACAAAAAGCACTTTCCCTCTATAATAGCAATTTATCTCACTGTTTCTCTTTCATCATTCAATTGTAAATATTGGGTTGTATGCTGACGAACACATACAAAACCCTTCACATTACCTGCAGGTCCCCACACACCTTGCCATAATCGTAGGATAATCGTGGGAAATCCTGCGATCGTACGATTATCGTAAGGTGTGTGGAAGCCGTGCAACCTCTACTACTGTAAGGTTGCACGACTTTTAACTTACAAACATGTTCGAAAACCCGCCGAGCATGGTATGATGTTCGGCGGGTGTGTAGCATGTTCGTACGATAAAAGCCGGACGGGCCGGTGTGCGCAAGCGCACACTGCCCGTTCGGCATTGCGGTCATCGGAAGCCCGCCCCTCGAGGGCGTGGCTTGCGATCATCGCAAGTACGATCTGTCTGTCCAAGATAGGCAGATCGTATGTTTTTTATGGTTGTAAGGTGTGTGCCCAGCCCCAGACTAATGACCAGCCAACATTGATATCTTTTCCTCCCAGATTGATGACCATACTCATCCCTTCCCCCACAGATTGATGTCCATCCATCCACCTGTGCACAACCCCTACCCATCTGATAGACATTCGAGACTAAAGCTGGCCATACACCTATAGATGTTCTATAGATTTATTTCTATCAGCCTATGGTCAGATGGAAAAAGTGCAACAGATTTCTCCATCTACGCTTAACTGTGTGGATAGAGGAATCTCCCACTGGGCCAAGCTTAAGCGACTTGCTAGTCAGCCCCGCTGGCTGTCAAAATACCTGAACAATCTGATTGGATGCAGGCATTGTTCAGGTATTTCGAGAGCCAGGGGGGGCGACTAGCAAGATACTGAAGCTTGGCCCAGTGGGAGATCCCTCCATGCACGCAGTTTAGTGTAGCTGGAGGAATCTGTTGCACTTTTTCCATCTAACCATAGAAAATCTGCAGATAATCTATAGGTGTATGACCAGCTTTACTTTTGCTTTCAAAACTCTCATGAAATAAGTACCTGCAGCTTACCTACCCACTCCCTAGTGATTTAAAAGGTGTAATAAATTCACATATTCATTTTTAATACATAGGCTCAAAGATAGATTTTTTTTCATTACATTCTCAATACATAAATTCCTTTTTCCTACAATTTCCTAATTAAAATCACCCAACATTTATTTCATAAAGTTTATTGTTTTTAATATATGTTGCACCAATGCACCAACACTTGCATGTTTTAAACACTCATTATTTTTCACACATTCATGCATCATACGGAGGGCATTTATGCTTAAATGTTTATATATTCTGTTCATTATTTGATAGCTGTTATATTTGTAAAAATTTGATAAAGGCAACTGATAGGTACTATAAAATGTAATGTCCTTTTGTCATCCTTATAGGCAAAGCAACAGAAAGAAAACTTCTGGATTTGCTGCAGTCCATCAACTTTTCACAGAGCGTTGGCCTAGCACACCATCCAACCGCAATGTATCCAGCACTACCACTGAGAGAAACATAGACTTTGAACTAGATATCAGGGTAGAAATTGACTCCGGTAAATGTGTGCTGCATCCAACAACTCTGCAGCAGGAACATGATGAAATCAGTTTGAGAAGGTAATCTCTGCAGTGCCTGCTTTGCTTGTAGCTTAGGCCCAGTTCACACCTTTCCGTTTTGTCGGGCGTTCAACGCTCTATGAACGCTCTACAAAACGTACAACCATGAAAATCCCATTGTTTTCTATGGGTATGGTTCACACCTTTCCGTATTTCCGCCCGTCTGAACGCCCTACAAAACGGCTGACGCCAAAACAAGTACATGTACTTCTTTAGGCCGTTTTGGAGGGCGTTTTCCATTGGGATACAGCCAAGTAGCTTTCGGAATCGCGCGACAGTCGTGCGATTTTTTTTTACCGCGAACCGCGGTAAAAAAACGTGTGACGGTCGCGCAACAGACGTGCATGCGTAATACGCCTAGGTGTGAACCCAGCCTTAGTGTAGACCAGAAGTAATGTTACAAAGGACCAAATGTATCAGTGCTTCTTCTTCTAATTTTTTTTTTTTTTACAAAGAAACTGACCCATATATATGTTACAATAAAGCTCTAGAGCTTTGCTGCAAGCCTGAATCTTAGTGGGCAAAATCTAAAGTGACATCTTAAAAATGCATTTGAGTGCTGACCCTGTCCTTCTTTCTGGAGGGTGGCAACTTTTGTTTCCCATGGTCCCTGTGTGTGTTGTAAAGTAGACACCGCTCCATGCTCAGGAGCCCTGGAGTGATGCAGATTACATCACTTCTGATCCCATAGCTGTCATTGCCTGTTTCCGGAAGCCCAGCAATAAACTATTGAAGTGCGATCTGCACTTCAATAGCTTATTTAAAGTGGAAAGGTGATAGTAGGGGTCTTTTGGACCCCCAGTATCACCTTAAAGAGTACCTGTCACCACCAAAATGTTATCACATGGGGTGCTTGTAAGCCCCCTATGTGATAGCAATAAAAGTAATGTTAAAAAATAAAAATAACCGTTTAAAAAAATTAAATGAAATAAATGTAAAAATAATAATACAAAATTTACTAAAGTCCCCCACCCCTGCGAGCACATGCGTCTTCATGTATACACACTTCCGGTGCGCCTACGAAAACTATGATCGCGCTGCACATGTTTGGTATCGCCGCGCACGCCCGAGTGAGAGCAATAATGCTGGGGCCAATATTTATGCGTATCTCTAAACTGATGACCTGGGCTTTTATGGCATCGTCTATGGACTTTTGGGGGTATTGAATTTTGTCGCCGTTTCATGGACGCACACAATTTTTTACCTGGACATGTTGCATATCTGTTTAGTCGTTGTAACTTCATCTTTTATATATTGTTTCACAAATTGGTATTTTGTTGTGTTTTGGGGCATTTAAGTGCATTTTTCACAAATTTTGGGGGTTTGATAATAAGTTACAACATAAAAAATTGCAACTGCCGTCATTTTATTCTACAGGGTCTTGGCTTTCAGAAAATATATAATGGGTGGGGGTTTGAAGTAATTTTCAGGCCTAAAATGTGGATTATAACATGGGTGCAAAAAAAAAGGCCTCGGTCATTAAGGGGTTAAAGTCCACATCCTGGTGGGGGTAGCCTTGTGCCATAATGTCCAAGTAAGCATAGCATATTAGCACATTATAGCACACTTATCTTTCAAAGTGACCCTTCCTTTCCCACCCTGCAATGCGCTGTCTGTGAACTCTCTCGTCTCGCCGTTGTTACTGCTGATGTCCTCGCCCTGGCCGCCTTCTGAGACTGGCATCTTCAGCCATCTCGATTGGCTATCCCGAGGTACTGTAACTCCCCTGCATGTTCATGGAAGTTACTTCATCCAGGCACGCAAGGAATGCCGACATTGTACAAAAATTACAACAATGCTGGCAAGCAGAAAATGAGTTCAGACTAATGACCAGCCAACATTGATATAGCTACTTTTGTTCCCTATGGTCCCTGTGTGTGTTGTAAAGTAGCCAGCGCTCCAAGCTCATTCCTGTGATGGACTCATTTGTATTAAGATTGTAGTCCATCACAGGAGTGAGCTTGAAACAGTGGCTACTTTACAACACACACAGGGACCATGGTGAATAAACATAGCCACCCTCCAGAAGGAAGGACAGTGTCAGCATTAATTCAGAAGTGATTTGAGCATCTACAGCTGAGTGATACAAAAATAAGGTCTAGTATTGTTAATAGATAAGGTACTTCGATGCATTTTTAGGATTTAACTCCTGAGTTTAGTGTCACTTTAAGTTCCATTTTAAGGAAAACACATTGGTGCTAGGCCTTGTTTTTGTCATAAAGGTGAGCAAATCATAATGGAATCTCATAGTTTCTCCATACAAAACTCCTTGTTTAAAAACAAATGTCAATTCATAAAGCAAACAAAGTAGATTTAACATTTCATAAATATGGGTTAACTACTTATAATCTATTTTACAGAAAGTACTGTATAATGGGTTTCAGTACGTTTTATTTCAATCATTTTTTAATGTTTACAAACTGATAAACTCTCTGCTTAGGAGTTATGACAGAAGCTCACGTAGTCTTGACCAAGATTCTCCATCTAAGAAGAAAAAATTACAGAACAACTATGCATCTACCACTCATCTATTGGCTGGAAAGAAAGTGCCATCGTCTCTCCAGTCTAAGTCAAGTGACTCCGAAACCACAGTTTTTTATATTCCTGGGGTTGATGTTAAGGTAAGAATAGTCTCAGGTTTATTACTTAACTATGGTATGTAAACACAGACATAAGAATAAATGAATTATTCATGATATTTTTTTGACTGAGGCTTACCTTAATTCTCTCTTGCAATATTGGCCTGTAACAGGTTTTTATTAGTGCCCCTCTGTCACCATTAGTCATTCCTTTGCTTCCCTGCTACCCTGTTAAGCTGTAAGGAACTAATCAAATAAGAACTGTATATTACAACAACAAAAGTGGAAGAAGAGAAGTAAAAACAGTGGTGTTATCAGCAGCAACAAGTAGCATTAATTTGAAAAATGAGGAGTTTTACAAATGTTTAGCATTGCAGCCAGCCCTAATTCTGTGCTTAGACTTTGTACTTTGGCAATGTCAGCTCCTCAAGTCACTGTTCAAACTTGTTTTTCTTTAGTTGCATTACAACTCAAAAACATTGAAAACAGAATCGCCAAATGCTTCAAGAGGATCATCTTTGCCAAGAACTCTTTCAAAAGAATCAAAGTTGTATGGTATGAAAGATACTGCACCATCTCCTTTACCTAGTACTGTCCACAGCAAGACTAATACCTTGTTACCACCCCCACCCCCACCAATCCCCTCAGGTACTTTTCCTTTGACTAATCTATAACTAAAGACCTTTATATTACCTACCTGTACCATGGCTTTGCAATGAATAACATGTATTTTATTTTGTGCTTTTGCAGTGGGCAGAGGTCAAAAGTTGCCAAAAAATTTACATATAATGTCTTTTTTTTCTTTCTCTAAATCTATTGATTGTTTTCAAATGTGTTTTTCACAAGATGCCCATATTGTATTTGCCAGGCCACATGCCCTCAGCGTTGGGAGGGTGCTTTTCCATACCAAAGGGAACAAGGATTTCCTCCCCACAAGTGGGCAGGGGGGCTCATCTGCATCTGGGTACCTCCTTTCATAAAGAGGGCACCCAGATGCCGCTCCCCCCCCCCACTTGTGAATGAGAAAGAGGTAGTTGTACCCCTACTCATTCACTAAAGAGTTAAATAAAAAGTAAATAAACACACCAGACTTTTGAAAAAATCCTTTAACTGAACAAAAAACACAAAAACAGTTTTTGACAATTACTTTATTTAAAACATTTAAAAAAAAAAAAAAATTATCCAACGATCTAATCCAACGTCAATCATCTCGACTCGACCACTCCTGGCAAACTGCACCCGCAGAATGACCAATTTGATAGCTCCCGGCTGAATGTAAACAAATGGGCAGAGCCAGTGGTGATGTCACCACTGGCTCCCCCCATCTGTTTATATTCGTTTCGGGAGCTTTCAGGATGTGTGCGGCAGGATTTTTTTTTTATTTCGGTGAGTCGCCGTTCATCATGATTGTCGCTGGGTTACATCACTGGACAACATGAATGACCCTGGATTGCAGCGTCGGATCATTTTTTTAATTCATTTTTTTAAAGGAATTGCCAAAAACTGTGTTTTTTGTTAAATTAAACGATTTTCCAAAATGTGTTTATTGAGTTTTTATTTAACTCTTTAGTTAATGAGTAGGGGTACAACTATCCCTTAATCATTTACAAGGGTAGGGGGGTGGCACATGGGTGCCCTCTTTATGAAAGGGGGTACCCAGATGCAGATGACCCCCCTTGCCTGTAGACCCCCACAACCACTGGGCCTGGGTTGTGGGGAAGAGGCCCTTGTCTCCATTGGCATGTCCCCCCTGGAAAAGCACCCTCCCAATGCCGTGCATGCAGCCTGGAATGGCGCAGGGGCGGGAGCTCACTCATTCCCCCCCTTTCCTGGCATGCCAGGCCAGTGCCCGGATTAAGGGTCTAGTTGGGAATTTTTAAGGGGATCCCACTTTTTTCTCTCTCCATTTTTGGGCATTGGGGTTTCCCCTTAAAATTCCCACCAGACCTAAAGGGCTGGCATGACCTTTGGGGGGAACCCCCCAAATTTTTTATTTTTTTTAACTAGGTCTCTCCTATTATTCCAACCAGACCTAAAGGGTCTGGTATGGTTTGGGAGGAGGACCCCATGGCTTTTTTTATGTTTACATTACTGTTTTCATTCTGTTCGCTACCTCAAAGGCACGGCAGCATTCGGCTATTCACTCTCTGCTGTTTCGGTCCCTATAAGAATAGGGGTGAACAGCAGCCAGTGAACTGCAGAATGTTCGCCTCAGTAGATTCAGATGTTGGATCGGCTGAGGCGAACGGGTCCTTTCCTTGGGTTTACCGAAGTGTGCTGAGGATGTTCAGCTGAAGTGAAGGGAGCCGAAGACAGCCGATGTACAGCTGAAAATATCTGTACATGGCTGAAGTGAATAGCCAAACAAGCTGTGGCTCCCTTCACTTCGGCTCAGTCATTCACTCGGCTGCCTTCCGCAGCTTAGTGAATAACCCCCTAAGTGTCAGTGATTGGGTCATAACCTGCTGACACTTAAACATTGACCTACTGGGGTTGCCCATAAGGAAAAGCAATTGGAGACACAGACCAAGTGCAGTAAACACAGAGCTGAAATAAAGGTTGAAAGGAAACTTTGCAGTCACAAACGCCCCATGCTAATCCTGTAGATCAGTGGTGGTCAACTTACTTGATATTGGGGGCCTCAAGTGTCATCAAAAAAAGGATCACGCATAATGTTCAGTATATTTAATACAGTATGCAATACAGAAAATAGTCAGAGGCTGAACATACTGCAGAGACTACAGACATCCCACAGGACACAGTCAAAGACATGCTACAGGTGGAAATGTTTTAGATAATGCCTCTTAATAATTTTAATTTTTTGTATAAAGATAGTTTATTTAATTTTACAGCCAAAGGAAAGGGATGTGGTGGAGTGAAAACTGCTAAATTGTATGCTTGGGTAGCACTGCAGTCGTTGCCTGAAGAAATGGTTATAAGTCCAAACCTGCTTGACTTTCTGGAGAAGGCCTTGGAGACCATACCCATAACACCAATAGAACGAAATTACAATGGTAAATTTTGCACTTCAGTAATATATTCTTGTTGTTCAAACAGACAAAACACCTTGGTATATTCAGTGTTAAGACAGCAGACTGAGGTATTAATACTGCCTATATTTTTGGAGTTAAATGTATTTCTTGGTGGTGTTGAGAATCAAATCACTGACAAATACCTCTTAGAGGGGTTTCACACTTTTACACATTTCATATACAGTCAGTATGCATCTCATTCATACAGCTTGGCAGGTTTAAAGTGCAGCCAAATTGGGATAACACCTATTTTATATTTGTTATATGTTCCCATTCACAGCATAATGCTTAAGTGTCCTACCTACCTTCCCCCTCCATGCAATGTTATTGATGAGGCTGTGGGAAGTTGTTTACTCTAATAAACCCTGTCTGTACCGTGCTGGCAGATCTCATTATTAGTTGTAAACTAGATGTTAAGACTGCCTGTCCTAACAAAGGGTTAAAGATTTAGAACCATTGTATGTTATTGAGAAGAAGCTCAGTTAGTCCCTCCTACTTTCAATTTCAAACTTCTCAGGGTAGCCTGAATCTGCACAACGGTCATCACCAAAACAAACTTAAGAAAAGTAAGAAATATAATGTTTGTTTTCGGTATGCTGTGTGGATGGGAACACATAACAAACATATAGTGGGGGTTTTCTCAAATTTGACTGCAAAAGTGGAAATACCATTCAAACATTGCACTGGTGCTCAAAGCTTCATCAGATACTTTAAAATAATATTTGGTTAACTGCATTTGTGACAGTTAGCCGTTTACAATTGTCTTATTTAAAGCAATACATGGTCTTTTTTTTACTGGTACATTACAGGATATAGCTTTGAGCTCAAGAAAAAAAAATTAAGACAAGTTGTTGCATCATTGTAACTAATAAAAGATGTGAAGTAAAAAGGGAAAACCGCACCGTAAAAATAGGATCGCTGTGAGATTTTTTGCTGAGCCTTGCTTAAAATGTCTACATTGGGTGATTGTCAACAGATAGCAGCCCCAAGTCCTCAATTTGTAAATCGACTATACAGACTTGTGTTATAAAATATTTGTGTTGTGTAAATGCTAGAAAGTCTATAAAGCTTTTTCCTGCAGAATTTTGGGTTCTAAGTCACCTTCCTGAGTTTACATTTACATATTTTAATTAGAATACTAAACGAGTAGTAGGTTGCAAACATTATCTTTCATTTTAGTAAGTTAAACGTTCTCTTTTCATGCTCGGCATAGCAGTGGCATGAAATGAATATATATGCTAGAGATGGAGAGAAATGAATGCAAGTTATTGCATATGGTAGAATTCTTTCACTATAAAACATGTAAACAGTATGTACTTTTCATCTCTAAGGTGCCTTTATTGGTGTGCTTTGTGCAAGCATGTACATGTGTGTGTTTCTGATTTATTGCAGCAGTGAGTGCTCAGGATGAAGATATTGGACAATTTGATCTGCAGGATCCATTGGAAGAGTCAACTACCTCATTAGTGTCCTCTTCAACCTCTGCCTATTCCTCCTTCCCAGTAGATGTAGTTGTTTATGTAAGAGTTCAGGTAGGTCTAATATATAAAACATGTATGTTCTAAATGTTCTCATTGTTTGATATTCAGTTCTTTAAATTTACAGAACTTTATGCTTATATTTCTATTTCTATTTTATAGCCATCCCAAATCAAGTTTAGCTGCCTACCAGTTTCACGTGTTGAATGTATGCTGAAGCTGCCTTCTTTAGACTTGGTGTTCTCCTCAAACCGAAGTGATCTTGAGACACTGGGGTTAACCCATCCTTCTGATGCTGGCGTTGGGAATCTCTCCATGCCAAGTGGATCAAAAGCCAACCTAAACAAATCAGGGATGACAGGTGAAACATTTGTCTTGCCTTTTAAGCTGGGTATGCAGTACTTTTGAGATGGTGTAAGGTGTTATAGAAGTGGGTAACTTTTTTAACTTGTAATAGATAAAGAAGCTAAGCCATATTACAAAAACAACCATATAGTTCATATATGCTTTGCTAATTAGTTACATTAACATGTTCTTTGTTTAACCCCATAGTGACCAGTGACATACATAGTCTTTAGCCGCCGACTTCTATTGTAAACCGACTGTCTGCTTTACAATAGAAGTGATTTCTACAGACCAGTAAAGTACCTGCCCGAAACCCCTGCCGTGTTTCCCGGGCTCCGCTGCCCCTCCTGCAGGCCCGAGAACGGCATCTCGGGTCTCGGCGGGAAGCTGGGGAGGAGAGCCGTGAACATCCATTTACTGATCTCCTTCCCATTCTTTGGGACCTGGAGCAATGTGGATTGCATCACTTCCGGTCCCTGAGTTGTCATTGCTGGGCTCCTGAAGCCGAGCAATAAGCTATTGAAGTGTGACCTGCACAGTAATATTAAATAAAATAAATGTAAAAATAATTTTCAAATGTTTAAAGGCCCCCGCGAGAACGCGCATATTCAAGTAAACACACGCCTGGTGCGCCTACGTATGTAAACAACGAACATGCTACACATGTTTGGTAGCGCCTTGCACGCCACCATGAGAGTAAATATTCCAGGACCAATATTTACATGTATCTCTAAATTGATGACCTGTAGGGGCTCTTAAAGTGTTGTCTATGGACTTTTTGGTGTAGTGTATTTTGTCACCGTTTCACATAATCACACAATTTTTAACCTAGGTATGTTGGGTATCTATTTACCCATTGTAACATCTTTTATATTTTACAAAAAAAATGGGTATTATATTGTTTTGGGGCACTAAATTTAACTTAAGTGCATATTTCACTAAATGTTTGCTTTTGATAAAGAGTTGCGCTAATATCGTGCAACATAAAAACTGCTGCCATTTAATTCTACGGGGTCTTGGCTTTCAGGAAATGTATACAATTTTTGAGGGTTTGAAGTAATTTTCAAGCCTTAAATTGTGAATTAAAACACGTGCAAAAAACTAAAAAAAGGCCTTGGCAGCGAAAGGGTCCTTAAGGAAATCTCATCATATCTTGAACTTTTCTTGAATGAAATTAAATTAAAAAAATGAAATGAAAGCCTGCACTGGGTTCACAAAGAATATAGAAGGTAGAGATTAGTACTGAGCACCTTCGTTCTCACCCAGTTAGAGGTTAAAAATCTTTGCGATATTTCCGACAGGAAAGGGAGAATGTGGTAGCAACGTTTCCGCAGACTCGCATAATTCAGTCATGTATTATTAGGCTTGGTCTACCCGAGATAAAAATTATAATTCACTTTCAAAAATTCCAGCTTCAGAAAATGTAATCTTTCATATAGAATACAGCTCTTTCAAAGCAAAGTGGATGCCCACAAACACCAGAGCTAACTGCACAGAGAAACAGGTAGCCAGTACCCATTTTATTTCAGATGTTCATGGGCAGTCTAAAAACATCGGAGCCGTATCCTGTATTTCCTGTGCTTCTCATAGCCCAAATGGGACCTGGAGAGCTCCTCCCTCCACTGTGCTATTTTTAGGGTTTTATAAACCAAAAGCAGCACTTGGTTGTTTTGCCGAGTGCTTTGCAAAACATCTAGTAGGGACATTTAGACTATTTAGTTCCTTTGCAGTCATCTAAGTGAAGGTGCACATCATAGAAGCACTTCTTGTAGGATTCATTGAAGCCGAAATGCATGCAGCTAGAGGAGGTGCTCAAAGTTTCTGAATTATGTTGCTGACAGCTAGATACAGCTGGGGCTCAGCTGGTTTCTGGAATGTTCAAGTTCTCATAGTTAGAAAGACATTTTCTTTTTTTGTCTGGTGGTTCCTGTCCATACAATGGCACACTTGACTGTCTTTATTAAGACCAATATGTTTATGGTAGTAGAAATACGGTCTGAAAGTAATCAAAGGAATCATGATAGTGGTCTTCACCACTTGAACACCCCCTTTGGCTATAAAAGATACGTTTTCATCCTTACACCCTCACATGACTTTGATTTAACACAGTTCATCACTTTACCCAAAATGTTAGCTTCTCAGTGCCTTCATTTAATAGGAGAATTTGTCTTTATTTCTTGCAGGACCATCCCCAGGGCTTGGTAGCCCTCTTGGAAGGACTCGCCACAGCAGTAGCCAATCAGATCTGACCAACTCAAGCAGCAACTCATCAGGCCTGAGTTTCACAGCTTGCATGTCTGATTTCTCTCTTTATGTGTTTCACCCATATGGAGCTGGCAAACAGAAATCTGGAGTCTCTGGTCTTACTCCAGGTTCCAGTGGCTTAGGTATAATAAGTGTATTTACCTATTTTGTCTCAACCGGCTATACCTCTGTGACGATCCGTGCAAGTGCGGCTGGGTATCTGGGATCGCAGCTGCGGAGCTTAGATGGAGACGGTTCAGGAAGAGGGTTCACAGTCACACTTTAGTGTAGTGAGTGCAGTCGGAACCCCTGTCACATCATACACCATCAACTCACTAAGTAGGCAGTTATCTATTATGCAGTTTCTCAACTCCAATTACTTAGCATTGGGGTGTGATACGTTTTGTAGTTTCTCAGTCACTAGTTCCGTTCACTAATGATGGAGGTGTAGTTAGCTCTAGAGTAGGAGTGTATGGTGATCACAGTGTCAGTATGAAGAGAATACGCAGTTGGAACAAGATCACTTATAATCCCCACTCCTGAACTCTCCCATAAGCACCAATTGGGAACAACAGTCCTATGCAGCAGTGGAATCAGTAATACAATGTATTTAGAGAGTACTATGTTTGTTAGCTTCGTCCCTGGTATTATCTTCCACAGAGCACTAATGGGTTACTTGCGGTTTGGTTGGAGGATCAGATGCCACGCTGCCAGGTATGCTAGGCAAAATGTCCAGGTCTCAGAAGCAGAAGGTACCGGGTTCAGGAGTCTCACACTGGTTCTTGGTAGCTTGTCCCCCTAGAGAACTTGCTCGACGTACTACTTTGATAGAACACCGAGCAAGTGGTGAGCCTACCGTTTTGTAGGCAGTGAGCGGTGGCAGGGGGAGGAGCCGGAGACGAGACCCGACCCGAGCGTCTCCTGGTAACGGGATGCCGCGGGGCCGGCCCCGCCACGTCATCACGCCGACTCAGCTGACGAACGGAAGGAGGAGAGGAACGCTGAGTGGACGCCGCCCGTCGCTTGGCAACGGGACGCTGGTGACGGGGCCGGCCCCGCCGTGGTATACTGCTCCGATGCAGCGTAAGTCCCTTACAACCTCATGTACTCTAGTTTGTGATAGTGAGGTATTCGTATTCCTGCACATGCTATAGTATGTTAATACAATTCTGGTTGTAAGCTAGACATATTTATTAAACTTGCACATCCAACTAATAAAGCAACAATTTTTAAATATGCTATGTATTTCAGAGTTAGCAGATTAGGTAAGATAATTGACAGGTTGCACAGTTTATACCGCTGTTATATAGAAATACATTTTGGCTTAAACTAGTATAAAGGGCTGTGTGCACTTTTCTAACATCCCCGTCCCCTCACTTTTACCTGCAGCCGCTCATCTCCTCCACCGCGACCAGGTAGTTACTCAGGTTTCCCTGAACTTCCTGGTTGCAGGGGAGGGTACTGAGGGCAGAGGAGCCGCAGGCTCCTTCTGCCATAGTCAAGCTGTGACTGCAAGGGTGGGGGCGTGGCCGGCCACACGCTGTGTGTCTATGGACGCGCATAGCTAGTTGCAGGCACAGCAGTGACCGTGAACATACGGGTGCCTTCACAGCAGTCGGGTAGCTGATGGAGGCAGCCGTACAGGGGGAGTGGCGCTAGCGATCTGGATACCACTGAGGAATGAGGAAATTTAAAAAAATAATAATAATAGAAAATTTTTTGTATTTTGTAGCAACTCTGGCTCCCATTAAAAAACCTGTAGGTTTAATGTCGCTTTAATAATCACTTGTAGGACATGTGGATGAAGAGCCCACATCAGTGACAGGCCGCAAAGACTCTCTCAGTATCAACTTGGAATTTGTCAAGGTCAGTTTGTCCAGAATGAGACGTTCTGGTGGTAATTCTTTCTTTGAAACCGTGTCTGCTAACAAAGCTGCTAGCAAAATGGATACTACTTTAATAAACATCTCAGGTAATACATTTTATGCCAATATTTTATATTTTACAGCTAACTGCTGTAAGGCTTTGTAATTAAGTTCATTTATGTTTTTCCTTCATTTAGCTGTCTGTGATATCGGCTCGGCCTCTTTCAAGTATGACATGCGTCGGCTTAGTGAAATTTTAGCATTTCCAAGGGCGTGGTATAGAAGAAGCATCGCTAGACGTCTCTTTCTTGGTGATCAGACTATAAATGTGCCTGGTAAGTTGCCCTGTTAATACGTAGCTCTGGATACTATGTAAACTTTTATAATCCTTATGTGATGATGGGAAATAATGGTCTCTATCATTCACTGAGGGACACAGCTTTAAGGATAATAGACAACAATGGCTATACTGCCGCCAGCAGAAATGGACACTAGGCACAGACTGAAAGGCAGTCCTCTAGAAGTTAAAACCCCTGATGCCTCACACCTGCTCAGTTACACTTAGTGTTCATAGAAGAATGGATGTTCCCTTCCTCTTTGCTATTGTTTTCTACTATCAACACCTACTGGTTGCTTTAATTAATATCCTGTTTTATTCCTGTATTGTACTGTTGCCCAATGTGTGCCTTGCTTATAGGTGGAACCTGGGAAGATGTGGTTTCTGCACTTTTACAGCTTTGGTCTCATCTGCCACACATGCATTCATAGTATGTAACGTGATAATACTGTAACATCAGCAGAGCAATGGTTAATCTTTACTGTGTTCAACTTTTACTAATGTGCCAGCTACTTCCTGTTTGTATTGCTCATCACTATGTTCTGTTATCTGCACTTAAGTCCAGCTTCTAGCAAAGACACTGTTCTGGTGTTCCCTGGAGCTGATTGATGAAACACATGGTCACAGTATCATTGCTGCTAAAGATAATCCCTGGTGCACTAAATCTAGGCTCAGGTCTGTGGTATTCCTAGGGGGGTTTTTTTGTTGTTTTTTAATGGTATTCACCCCTTTTGGTCATAGGCTGTGTATAACCCTTTATCTGGACCTAATGTGAATTTTGTCCAAGGCTGAGTTTGGCACGGGAATACATTGTGCCTTTTTGCACTTGTTACAAATCCCAGTCAAACCGCCTGCATCAGCAGCACGTTCTGAAACTTCTTTTTCTTTCTTGGGTGTTTATTCCTCAGGTGAAGTTTTTTCATCTGTCAGGCAAGGTTTTCTTACTCCGTTGGTGGATCCCCCTGATTGTAGGAGGAGAGCCCACTAGCTTAATTTCAGTCAGCAGTTGTCTCACTAAAACAGAAACCATATGTTTCTTTTCTAATTGATGTTGTGAATCCCACTTTCATATTCAAGGATTCCACTGTTACTTTTTCTACCGTGGACTGGGATCAGTTCTCATAGAGCTAAACATTCCACCAAGGTGTTTCCTCATCACCCCTTATTCAGATTATTTTATCAACTACTTGTATTAACACTGAACTTTTTGATTGTGTTGACCATATGATCGTCATATTAAACTTTATGTGCGACGCGGCGCTGACTTTTAGCCAAGGTATGTCTTAGGTAACCATTTCTTCTTTTCAGATCAGCAGGGCGCTCTGGTGATAGTTGGTGGAGGAACAGTGAAAGAAGGCCTTGTTGTGTCTACCTTAATGGAAGACCATCTTTTGGCTCTTTGCTTGGTAAAATCTAGAAGGTCACAACAGGAGATAGGAGTTACACAAAAATAATGATCAAGAGCAGGTCATCATTTTCCTATCCTGTATCCTTTTTATCTTTTAAGGGATTGTTGGATCATTTGGTTATCAATCCCATTACACATACCTATTCACAGATCTAAAACCCAAGGCGGCATTTGTCCGATTCTACATTTAAAGCATCTCAATGCCGTTGGACATTCTCAAAAGTTTTCAATGGAATGTATTTGGTCTGTTATTGCTTCCCTTTATTGTGGAGACTTCTTAGCATCCAACAACAGAAAGCAAGTGTATTTATACATTCTTTCCAGGTCACTAGTGATATCTTCCCTTTACAGTTGACGACAACCACTCAGTTTGTGGCCCTTCCCTTCAGCCTGTGGTCTTTACACCGGTTCTGAGTCTTCTTTGCTTCAGAGGTATTCCAGATATCTGGATGATCTGCTGCTGTGCAAACAGACCTTTTTGGCATTGGATTCCAATGTGTCAATTGTGATGCAGATCCTAGAGGATTTCCTGAACTTTGAAACGTCATCTCTGATTCTGTCACATTGCTAAGAGTACTTTGGCCTTCTCCTGGATACCATTCAAGCCAAGTCTTTCTACCACAGGAAAAGATGATAGAGTCAGGTTTGGCAACTTTAAACTAGAAGCTTGTTTCTACAGAGTTGCATGTGATCACTTGGAATGATGGTATCCACCTTTGAAGTGATTCTGTTTGCTTAATCCCACTCCATAACCTTACAGTGGAACATCCTCATGGTGTGTAACCAGTCCAGTCTTTATCTGGACAAGATTAGCTGGTTACTGCCTCAATTCAAGTTGTCTATCATGCTGGCCTCTGCTTTTTTAATGGAGGGTTTTTTCTTCCCTTACGTTGGAAGACTGTCATAACGGATGCCAGCCTTCTGGGTTGGAGTGGAGTTCTGGGCAATCTGTCTATTCAGATCTGGTCTATGGAGAGATCCATACTTTCTGGAATGTCCTTGGCGAGTGTGGTACGCTGAACTTGTTTATTTATTAGCCTCTACCAGTGGCGTTACTAGTGACCTCAGGGCCCCGCTGCAAGAATCCATGAACCATTGAACTGCTTGCTAACTCTGAGCTGGTGTGAGGTGGGAGAGGTTATAGCCTCTAGGGGACTTGGCTACAGTTTCTATGTTCCTTATGTGCACTTCTCCTATAGGCGGTAGTATACCCTTGCTTGCTTTTCCATTAAGCTGTGTCTCTCAATGGACTCCAAGAAAAAAGATTTGACTATGTATACAAAAATACAATTTTTCTTTGTTAAGAGCTTTCATCACTCTACATTAAGGTAATAAGGAAATTGTTCTTTGAGAAAGAGATCACAAATACTAGTCTTAATTCTCAAAGCTAAAACACATGGATAAGCATTCAAAAGTGACAGTTATTTTAAGATGTGTCAAATATTTGCAGTCACCTGGCTAAAATAGAGACATGCGGTAGGGATAAAAGTTGGCCAAATATTAAAATGTATGTTATGAAGCCACTCACTTACTGCTGTGCTAAGTTTTTAAAAACTTTTTGATGCTAGCTAATAACTGGATTTTAATTAATTCTGCTTTCATTAGCCTCTGGACCTGGGACTCCTGATTCAGTTGAAGGAGTGAATCAGCATATCTCCCCTGAATCTTCTCGTAAAGCATATTGCAGGACCTGGGAGCAGCCCAGTCAGTCGGCCTCCTTCACTCACATGGCACAGTCGCCCAATGTTTTCAGTGACCACGCTACAAACAACAGCATGTCTCCTGGAATAGCATCACACTCCTTAAAATCACCTGCTGTAACCAGATCTAGAAGTGTCTCAGACTCCTCTGTGCCACGCAGAGGTTTGTACTTTTATTGTAGTTAATTGTTTTTTTTAAACACATTTGTACATAACTGTAGGCAATTCTTTTGCTTCATTGATGATTAATTGCTGTGGGCTTTTTTTGTATATTTTAATTGCTTTTGGAACTTCCTTACCTTAAAAGTCTAATAGTGCGCACCAAGTATTAAAGTGTATGTACACTCTAACAATGAACGTTTCTTATTTGCTCTTTTGATCTGTTAGATATACCATTAAAAGTATAAAGTAAGTGTTGTCACCCTAGGAAGGCATCACCAAGTGAAATAAAGGAAAAAGAACACTAATACAGTCACAAGAACTATGGTCTATAAAACTGCAATATGTGTGTATGTGTATATATATATATATATATGTCAATTGATACAATGAGCAGTGGTCCATAAAGAAACCAGCAGCTCATTGAGTTGCTGCTGTGTTGATGGGTCCCTCAGGGTCCGAGGCAGACCCTTAACAGCAGATTATGGGGAAACAGTCCTGTGATCACAGTGAGAGCTGATCACTGATCGTAGAGCTGTGACAGTCACACAGCCGGCAGCTGATCACTGTTTTGTAAACCGCTAACATGCTGTGTTACAAAAGTGATACAAAGTATCTCTGTGGAGAATACTGTATTCTTCTCAGAAATACTAAGTATCAAAGCCCTTGTAAATAAAAAAAAAAAATGGTTAATGTCCCCTAGTTGGAATTTTTTTTTACTTTTAACAATAAAAAAAATACGTTTTTAACATTTTTATACATTGAAAAAAGTATTTAAAAAATGTGTTTAATAAAATAATTATAAGAAAATATAGTGCCAAGGAGGCTATTAAAGATAAACATACCACATTCTTAAATTGTTCCACGCTAAAATTGTATTTAATTCCTTATAGGTCACAAAGTACAACTCCCAAAATAGACTAAAATCCCAGACATATGATATACCCTATAAATCCTATAAATCAGGACAAATAAAATAATTTATTCTGAATTACTTTCTGTTAGTGACACTAATTATCTACACATTATTTTTTTTATTGCCACAGCTGTGAAAAATTTGTTGGTTTTTTTTCCATTTTGTTTTTGGATTTTTTATTTAAAAAAATAAGACTTTATATGTGCATATGTCCCATCAAATTAAAGCCCATTTTGTTCTTTAAACAATGGTATATATGTGTAGGTGTAATGCATGATGAAGATGGATATTACGGTTAAACACATAGCAAAAATGGCAAAATTGCTCCGGACCCCAGAAGCAAAAACATTTTCTGAGGCTGTGTCACTAAGGGGTTAAATATAATATACACCAATGACAGGTTTTCTCTTGTTCTCAAATGTCTGTTGCTTTAAACAGTAATTTCATTGTGTGTTCTCATACTGGTGAACTTACATCCAACATTAGTTTGTGCATCAAATCTAAGAAAGAGACGGAGACTCACTGAATTGAAAGAGACGGAGAAACACACGGGGAAGGGGTGGGTTGCATTGCAACCCGTCAGCTTATATCTCTAATTTTCAAATCTTAACTGAGCAAACGGAAGAGAGATGCTGATTGGTTGCCATGGGCAGCTGCTCCAAATTGTGTCTGCTCCAGTTTGATAAATTCCCCCCGAGCTATCTAATGCACCTAGAGGCATAAACACAGCATCTAGCCTGACAGATTTTCCTCTGCATACAGAGGACAAAAATGCAAGTATTAAGTGTGAATGAATCCTAAATGTGTGTTTTCTCTTTTTCAGATTCTGTGACCAAGACTTCAACACCATCTTTCAGTAAAGCTGCTAAACCATCCAGCCAGCAGGGGTCACCTTGGGAAACTCTGGTTGTGTTTGCAATTAATCTGAAGCAGCTGAATGTTCAAATGAATATGAGCAATGTAATGGGAAATACAACGTAGGTTCAAACGCTTCCTTGTATGCATCTCAATTTGCTTCTAATTTTGTTCCTAAAGGTATCAGACTAAACAGGAAGTGGGGGGAACCCCCTCCCTTTGCTTTCTTTTCTAATGGTGGAAGACAGAACAGAAAGAGGAAATCCCTCTACTGGGACACCGGCAGTAATTAAAATACATTTTTTAGTAGGGTGAAGTTTAGAGCTCCTTTAAGGACTTAAAAAAGAACACCAGGATTTATTAAAATTAACCCTGGCAAATGGGCTACCACTGCCCTGCAAGGGTTAAATGCTTGGAGCGGAAATAAAAAAGATATATTCACCTGATCCTCGGTCCTGTGGCACCAGACACACAACAGTCTCTTCAGATTTGTGCATTCTTTTAGAGCAATCCAAAACCAACTTATTATTTTATATTTAATAACCCTGGACGGGCAGCGCATAGAAAAAGATAGTTACACAAAGTTACAAAAATAAGATGCTACAAGGTGAGACACATACAAGCAAACAGTATGAAAATAAAACTTACAGAGATTATGCTTAATCCTGCTTCCGGGGGTTGGATAGAAAAACGTAGACACACTCCCATGTGTGAATGGACCCCTTGAATGTGACAATTTTTCCATTATTATACTATGGAGATCAAGACCAGTTCCCACCCCCTGAGATCAGCCAATCAGATGGAAGGGGGCTGGAGAGGGAATTTAACACCTGGGTTATTTTTCTATTCAACACCTTGGAACCCTCATAACTGTTTGCAGTTATGGACTATGGATCCGAAAGTGATGACTCTGGTTCCAGCTATTGTTCTGCTATCCGCAGAGTCCAAACTCCGGCACTCTGCAGCTAACAGAACCAGAAATACCTTAAAGAGACCCAATTATCAGAATTCTGCCATACTGTATGGTAAACCTCTAATGTCTGGTATCAAGCCCTTGTGCCACCATTCTTTCCCTGTAGGTTCTACGATCATATCATGTATGGGAAAGGAGTTATGAGATATGACCTTTTTTTAAGCATTTTGAACATTGAAATACACACAAGGTGAGGTGACACCTTTTCCCTCTGTTGACAAAACTCACCCAGAGACATTTTGTCTAGAGACTTCAGGACGAATATACATTGGTAAATGGTTCCCTGCTGGGGAAGCACAACAAACCCACATCTGATTTAATTAACACATTCTAGCTAACAAGTTTGTGTAGATTTTGTTACCTTTCAGACCGTATTCACTAAAAGAAATGAATTGGCTTAGGATATCCTATGACAGGCCAAAAAATAAAGGATATTTTTATGGCTGCACTGTGACAGTGGCCATGATCAAAAAGAGCGTGATTCTTGTGAAATGTATAATTCTTGTGCAAACACAAGCCAAACACAAATGTAAACATTTGCTCATTATACTTTTACATTTTTTCTTTCTTTTTACTTTATATAAGCATAAGTCCTGCTGCTACTCTTGAAACCCGGTCATTTTTTCTTATGACAGGACCACTTTCAAAAAGTTGATAAGGTAAACTTGTTCTACTTTAAAGTAGTCAGCTGAGTTAAAGGAGAACTATGAGGTAAGTGAAAATCACTTAACCTCATAGTTCGAGCCGACGTGTGACAATGAAACTGTCAAACATTGTCTCAATAGATCGGGAAGTGAGCGAACACATACCGTCGCTCACTCACTTCTCGATCATGTCCCTGCAGAGAGCGGTGACTGTCAGTCACAGAACTCTGCAGGGATTCCCCGCTCCGATCCTCCAGCGCTGACTGGAGGAATGGACAGGGGAGGAGCAGGCACAGCTGGCTCTGCCTCTGGATAGGCAGATCCCGCTGTCACTCACGCAGCTGGGTGGAACTCGACAGTAATGCCGAGATATACCATAAGGCAGGGCTTGACGAATTTGCTTTGAATCTAGGTGCCAGCTAAAAGCCAGGTTTTTTTTTAACGCAGGAACGTTTCGCATTCACGAGGTAGGGTCAGCCGCTGATGACGGCTATTAACATAAAATCCAGGTACCCCCCTGCCGCCACCTGAAGCCACTCCTCCCTACCTGGAGCCGGGTTGTTAGAACACATCACAGTGCTTGATTTTTTTTCTTTTTAAAATAACATTAATTTAACTGTGGCAGTGCATGGCAAAACTTTGTGACGCATTGATTTGCTGAGTGGCAATTAAATGTACGCCTACATCATTTTATCACAACACAAACACCAACAGTGCACAAACTATTTTTAACATAAGTCGCTTATTTACAGTTTTGCGTTCCTTTATTTTACCGTTTCACAAAAAGATGCAATTTAACATTTCAGCGGTGCACATTCCAGGAGTAGAAAACCGGCAGGCAAACTTTATTAGCAGACAATGTCTGAGTCCTGACAAATGGTCTCTCCATCCAGAGTTGTTTCGACAACTTTCTCCCCACTTTGAAATGCTGAATGTGGATCTTCCGGCTTCTCGTCATAAGAAGGTGGACATATTTGTGTCCACAGTGAGGGATCCAATGGTGCAGGTGGGTAGATCTGTGGGATCAGTACACACTAATGTACCGTATTTTGTGGTCCATAAGACGCACCGGACCATAGGACGCAGGGAGGTCCGGCGCGCCTTATGGAGCACTCGACAGACCGTAGCTTCTGTCACAGCTTCTATGACAGAAGCTGCAGTTAGTGACCGCTGAGACAGGTGGCGCTGTGATTACAGCTCCACGGTCTCAGTGATCACACAGAGCAGACGAAGAAAGTCCGTTCTTCGTCTGCTCTATGGTGATCTCGATCGTCGCCGCTGCTCGGTTTTAATGAGATCACTCGTATTAAACGAGTAGTGGCTCCTGCTACTGATCGCCGCTGCTCGTTTTCAATACTTGTGATCTCATTAGATCACTTGTATTAAACGAGCAGTGGCTCCTACTACTCGCCCAGCGCCCGAAACTGCATGTCTCGAGGGTCGGGATTCGCTCCATAAGACGCAGGCACATTTTCCCCCTCCTTTTGGGGGGAAAAAAGTGCGTCTTACGGAGCGAAAATTACGGTATGTCTTTCCTCCAAAGACACAATTGCCTTGTATGCTTTGCAGAATAGAACACTAAGGAATTAATTCCACCGTTCCAGATTGGCCTAGCGCGGTGTGGTATGCCGATTTGTTTCGCCTGTTGGCAGATGATTCTTGACTTCTTCCAGAACGGCCAGGACTCAATCTTCCACCCCCCTTCTTGGTCAATGGCTTCAACAGCTTGGCTGTTAAAACCCCAGAGCTGAAAGACAAAGCAATTTATGATTCTGTTATTCTGACTTATGCTTGTAGATCTACTTGTAAAATTTTATCTCCGCACGTGGAAGGTTTATTTTGTTTGGTGTGAATCCATGGGGTTTTCCCCCTACGTGCTTTTTCTATATTGTGAATTTTGTCTTTCCTTCAACTTGGGGTAGATCAATGTTTAGCTCTAAGTACCATAAAGGGTCAGATATCTGCCTTGTCGGTCCTTTTTCAATCTCCTCTTGTATTCAGGGAGTTGCAAGTGTAGCTTTTCCTGTTAGGTCTTCTCTTCCTCAGTGGGATTTGAACATAGTATTATCTTTTCTACAAAACCTCAGCTTAAACCTACCCTCGTCATTTCTTCGTCTTTGTTATTCAAACAGGTTTTTGTCCGCAGGTTTAAATGAAGACATTGTTTTACCTTCACTTTGTCCAGCTCCTGTTCATCCTAAGGAAATTTCTCTTCATTATTTCGATGTTGTGCAGGCTGTTAGAGATTATCTGTCAGCCACAGCTAGCTTTAGGCGTTCAGATTCGTTTTTTTGTTCTACCTGAAGCTTCTAGAAAAGGTTGTTCATCTTCTAGTTCCACTATTTGGATTTGTCAGGTTGTCAGTCAAACTAATGAGTTGCAAGTTAAGGCTCCTTCTTTTCCTGCTTCTGTTCATTCCACTAGGGAAATTAGTACTTTTTTTAGGCATTTCAGAATCAAGCTTCTTTTACTCAAATCGCAAGGCCTCAACTTGTTCTTCTGTTCACACTTTTGCTAAGTTTTATAGTTTTAAGTTGTTTCTGCCTTTCTGATTCTAGCTTTGACAAAAAATTATTCGGGGGGTTGCTTGAGTATTTGAACTGGTTCTTCTAGTTTTTATGGTGCCTGCCCCTCTGTTTTAGACTTTTGAACTTTCCTACATCTCAGAATTTTTCAGAACTGTGTTCCTCAATGGACGATAGAGAACATAGAATTTTGTTCTTACCGTAAAATCCTTTTCTCGGAATCCATTGAGGAACACTGCTCTCTCCCCTCCTTTTAAACTGCTTACTACAACTGGCAGGTGTGAGGTGGAAAGGGTAATTTCCTTAAAGTGGCAGGCTTCAAAATGTTTTGCCTAGTGTCTGTTTCTCCTGGAGGCAGCAGCATAACCTTTTGTCTCAGAATTCTTCATAGCTTTGTCCCTCCGTGGACTTCCAAGAAAAGGATTTTACGGTAAGAACAAAATCCATGCAACCCAAATTTCTCTAATCGCACTTAGCTAGTTGATTAGATATATTATTAGATATCATTGAAATAATGACTAATGTAGTGAGTGGTGTCTATTTTGTCTGTTTTCAGATGGACTACAAGTGGTTTAAAAAGCCAAGGACGCTTGTCTGTGGGAAGTAACAGGGATCGAGAAATCAGCATGTCTGTTGGGCTGGGGAGGTCTCAGCTGGATTCCAGAGGTGGAGTTGTGGGTGGAACGATAGATGTAAACACTCTGGAAATGGTTGGTAAGTATTCATGTGTTGTGTTATAGCCTTGGTGCAGTTCCCCAATTGTTTTATTATTTATTAGTTCTAATTATGTTCCTGTGTTGTTGTATTGTGTTTCTGTTCTGTTTGTTTTCAGCAAGGCTCACCATGCCTGCTCATATGACACACCCTTCCCAGATTTCTACAGCATGGAAAACTTAGGCTAATCATTAATATTAGTAATATTAAAATAGTTAAATAATTACAGCTCTTAGAAATTGGATACCCTGAATGAGCAATTCAATTATCAGTAAATAATCATTTACATTTCTATGGGGGGAAAACAAACTATTTCTATGTTCTTTTAAATTATGTTTTTCAAGCTAAAGGCAGTTTTAAGTTTTAACCCTTTCCCTGCCAGCTGCATACGGCGGAACAAACCTGTTCCCAGCTGGCCAGGTCAGTATGCCATACGGAGCTGGCATTTACAGTTCTGCTATAAGCTCCATGAACATGAACTTATATCAGAACTGTTCCCCAGACTGTGCCCTTTAAATTAATGGCTGTCATCAGTGGCTCACAAGCCTTGAGTTTCCGGGGATGACAGCAGCTGTGTGCGTGGCCGAGCAGGAGATCGGTAAATATCATTGATATTTACAGATCCTCTGTGAAGGACAAACACCGGAGTGATCACTCTGCTCACATAGCACTATGTGTCCCCAGTTAAGAATGAACAGGATGTGATTTACATCACATCCTATTCATTCATGATTTTATCAGGGGTCTGTTTAGACCTCTAATATTTCCCGAAACCCCCCCAACAGTAATTAAAATTAAAAAAATGTGAAAAAATAATTATAAAAAAATGTGTAAAAAAAGCACAACCCCCCCCCCCCATGGGAAAAAAACTAATAAAACAAAAAAAAACACAAACAAACCCCCCTCCACCGCAACACACATAACATACACATGTACCATATTGTGGTGTACGCCATGCACATGCGCTGCAGTGCGTTGTTAGAACGCATCACAGTGCATCTGTTTTTTCGTTTTGAAAAAACATCATTTTAACTGCGGCAACACATGGCAAAGCTTTGTGACGCATTGCTGTGCGTTGTGATACCTTGTGTTGCAATGAAATATACGCCTATATCATTTTATCACAACACAAACACCAACACAGCGCAAAAACGATTTTTAACATAAATCACTTATTTACAGTTTTGCGTTTCTTCATTTTTTTTAATTTTCGCAAAATGGCGCAATTTCAAATTTTCAAATATTTGTTATTTATTAACTCAATACAGTTTTATCTTTTAGATTTAGTCAGAAAATAACTTTTTTTGTGCGCTGATACTGATTTTAGGGCTTTATCAATTGAATTGTGTATTTTTATTGGTTTAATATTAATTTGAGAAACATTAACGCAATTATCGCAGGGCCTACAAATTTAGTAGCACCATCTTTTTATTGTACCGACCTGTGCTTTCAGAAAATATATGGTTTGGGGGGTCTTTTACAAACGCTAGCAACGCAGCAGTTGACAATCATATCAATGGGAAAAATAGCAAAAATGGCGTGGCCAGCTAAGTTGCAAAATGTTCAGGAGGGCTTGGCAGCGAAAGGGTTAAAGTATGATCATTTGATATCTTATCATATGCATGGCCAGCATAAGACTAGTGCTAGTGTTTTCGGTTTCTCTGCTGCCTTTTTTAGAGCCCTAGAGCACAAGACACAGGCCCGTCAGAGCTCAGTGTGGAGCTTGCTGTGCTCCAGACCTTAATTAAAGCCTAGAGGCTGCCTATATTGTCTTAAAAGCCTATCATTGCTTCGGATGCATGCAGATATAAAACTGTTCAGTGTGTCTGAATGGAATGTCCACAGTATTTACATTCCAACATTAAAACTCCCTTACCTAAAAACAATAAAGGGTGTAGGATGCATGGGGTGCCATGTAGCTAGAACTACTTTATCTAACAAGGGTCTACATGGGGGTTAAATGAAAATGATTTTAGCATATTACAGGATAGAAAACATAAGTCTGTGTTCCATTTGTATGCATAAAAGAAAAGCAACATTTACTTTCTCTGTGTTAATTGTCCTTGAATATAATTTCAACACAAGTTGATGGTTACATATTAAATGTGTGTTTTTCAATTTAGCTCACATTTCAGAACACCCTAACCAGCAGCCCAGCCATAAGATTCAAATCACAATGGGCTCAACTGAGGCTCGTGTGGACTACATGGGATCCAGCATCCTTATGGGGATCTTTAGCAATGCAGACCTTAAGCTACAGGATGAGTGGAATGTCAACCTGTACACGCCACTGGACACAAGCATCTCTGACAAAAGGTAGCTTATAATGTGCACACTTCATACATAGTGCATTTGTCATATATATCAGTGGTTTTTATGTATAATCACTATGGGCTTTGCTTTTGAAAGTACTTTCATTAACTTTTAAAGTTCTGTTATTGGAATTTATATTAATTATCATGGTTGAAAGTGAACTGTATGTAATACTATTTTTTTATTCTAGTGTCATATTTATCCATGGAGACCTGCAATGGGATATTTTCCAGGTAATGATCTCCCGGTCTACTACTCCAGACCTCATCAAGATAGGAATGAAGCTGCAAGAATTTTTCACTCAGCAGTTTGACACAAGCAAGCGAGCTTTATCTACATGGGGTCCAGTACAATACCTTCCACCGAAAACTGTGGTCACCAATCTTGAAAAGAATTCACGTGAGCAATGTATGAATCACAGCTTAACTGTGTTTAAATTGTTTTTTTAACCTTTAAAACATTTACACCTGACCATACAATTATGCTAATTGTTGTAGTTACTTAAATACTGTAGAGCCTTTACATTGTAAATAGGTGGCAAGAAATTATCTAAAAAGAGTAAGGATGCACTGATATATCGGCCGCCGAAACATATCTCCCGAAAATGGCACTTTTCGCATGATGTCGAAAGTGCCATTTTCTGGCCGATACATCGGTGCATCTCTGCTTTCTCTCCTCCCCACAGGGCGCTGATCTGTGTCCCAGCGGGGAGGAGAGAAACTGTGACAGGCTGCCGAGTGCTGCGGGAGGAGAGCGCTGTGGGCGGCTGGCGTCTCTCCTCCCACACCGCTCGGCCTCCTATCACAGATAGGCAGAGTGATGTGTGGGAGGAGACAGCTAGCGATGTCACAGGAGGCTGAGCTCTGCTCGCTCAGCCTGCTGTGACAGCTGTCAGGAAGGAGACGAGTGCAAACACTCAGTGATCAGTGATCGCTGAGTGTTTGTACATAATTGAGGACATAGTATGTTAACTATATCCTCAATTATGAATGAATGAATGGGAAGTGATCTACATCACCTCGTGTTCATTCATGATTGTGGTTATAGTAAACATACTCTGTCCTCATGTTATGAATGAACAGGAACACTCAGTATAGAGGATCTGTGTCTGTATCTGTGTCCTCAATCTCTTTTTCTATTTTAAAAGGGAAATATGAGGGGTCTGTTTAGACCCCTAATATTTCCCTGAAGCCCCTAAAAGTAAAGTAAAAAATACAAATATTTATTTAAAAAAACGAATAAATAGATACAAATAAATATTACAAAATTAAAAAGTTTATAAAGAATAAATAAAAATAAAATATTTGAAAAAGTTAAAATAAAAAAACATTTTCAGTTTCGGCCTGACATTTTTTAAAATTTCGTTTTCGTTTCGGTTTTGAACTTTTCATTTCGCTGCACTAAAAAAGAGTATTCCTGTTCTGGTGGATTCTGTAAGTGTTGTTTAAATGTAAAAATCTGGGCACGGGGCCCAACAGTTACCTCAGAATGAGGGTGGACGATCAGAAACCTGGAGCAAAATACACAGTTCCAGGAGAGGGAGACTACTGCTGCTTTGAGTGAGACCCCTTCCCAAAAGAGGTGTGTAAGTTCACTGGCCAAAGATTCAGCTGCAGAAAAGGTGGGGCAACAAAACTGTCCATTGCCTTTGCATAAGCCAAGAGTTATGCAAAGGCAAATTACAGGTTGAAATGAGGCTAACTAAAAAGAACCTAAATAAAGAAGATGAAGGCAAACAGTGACTTAAAATGGGAGCTACACGTAAGGGGGCATAAAATAATAATGGATATATCCTTATTTGATGTTACTTTTTTTTTTTCTTTCTTGTCCATTGAGGGACACAGGAATTCTTAGACTGTGAGGTTATACGCCCACCTACAAGAGAAATGCACAATGGCAAAAAAAAGCCTTTGGCCAGCTCAGGATAACCACACCTTTCATTTCTAAATTATAATTTTTTTGCTAGTGTCTACCATGATACTGGGCATGCTGTTCTCTGTGTATTTGAAATAATTTTTATACTTTTAACAGTTGCTGGTAGATTCCTGCCACATAAGTTAACTCAGTCAACCAGTACTGTTAGATTCATGCCAGATACGTGAAATCCTGGAAGTTTCTCAAGTCAGCCACCTATCACAGGATTCGGGCCAGATATGCTGCTGTCTTTCCAGTCAGCCGAGGAGCTCATCACACAGAACTCTGCCATTGAAGTCAAGCCAGATGTTTTTGTCCTGTACGATAACCTAATTTCCCTAGGACTAATTCACTGTAGGGAGAAATCATCATGCTGCAAATAACACAGACAATTGGGGAAACACTGGAGGAGCTCTATAAACACAAACATTTATTCACACAAATTAAGCAAACTAGTGTAACCTTGTTGATTTTTCCCTTGCTTCTGTCATCTTTTGAAAGCTGCACCGGAATCATCGATTGTTTTACCAGGTCAGAGTTCCTGGTTGTTGCCTTTGAAAGCAGTCTGCCCTCAAATTGGTCTCTGCATAATGTTATATGAAAGAACACATCCCTGAATTCCTTAGAATTAGATAGGAAAGCTTCTATAACCCAATCTGTCCTTTTCATATTATACTGAAATATCTATCTTTACATTTAACCTATTGTAGTCCGGCTGTCGTAACTGGAATGCCTGGACGGCTGACAGCTCCCAGCGGGTTCACGTAAATACATGTAATTTTTTTCACTTGCTCGCATGCACCCCCTGGTGCGTGCACAAGTAAGCAAGTTTAAACACACTGTCCATTGGACAGTGTAGTTTAAGCAGCTTGGTGCAGAGCCAGTGAAATCGGCTCTGTTCTGTGTGATCGCTATGACCAATCACAGCAGATTACTAAATGTAAACAATGTTGCAGTATCCAGCGTTCTCTCCTCATCTCTCACACTTTTCAGCTGTTAGAGGAGACTTTCTTGACAGTGAAAGAATACTGTGTTAGGCCCCATTCACACTGAGCGGATTGTAAACCGCGCGTTTGTCATTTTGTGCGATATCGCCCAAATGTTTGCATTGGGCTTAGTACAATCGCACAAGCGACAGCGACGAGCACAGCTCCATTGACTTGCATTGGAGAGCGATATCACGCGGCAAATACGCACGATAAAACGCTCAGTGTGAATGGGGCCTAAATCAGCACTTGTTTCAGCACAAATTTTGCCACAGTGCCAGCCTGCTAGTAATATCAGAGTCCTGATTGCCACAGTGCCAGCCTGCCAGTCCCATCAGAGTCCTGATTGCCATCAGTGCCAGCCTGTCAGTTCGTCACATTCCTGATTGCCATCAGTGCCAGCCTGTCAGTCCGTCACATTCCTGATTGCCATTAGTGCTAGCCTAAAAGTAGCAGAATACATTTTGGCCTAAATTGATGAAGAAAGATTATTTATGTGCAGTTTTACATAGCTTAACACAGTCCCCCTATGTTAAGCTATGAAAAATTGCACACAGGTTATTTTTCTACATTTTGGGCGATTTTTCCTTTTAATATAGTAAAAAATAAAAACCCAGTGGTAATTAAATACCACCAAAACAAAGTTCTATGTGTCCAAAAAAATGATATAAAATTTATTTTGGTCTGGTGTTGCAAGGCCTAATAATTGTTAGTCAAAGTACTGCAGCGCTGAATACTGAAAATTGGCCTGGACAGGAAGGGGGGTTAAACACCTCAGTCATCAAATGGTTAAACATATAAATATTTTTAGGGCTTGGGTCGATGGCAAATAAAGCTTGCATTCAGGTGCATTTAGCTTGCATTTGAGATCAGTTCAAGATGCTCCTGAATCCTATCTGAATACACTTCTTGACTTGCATTTGACCTCCTAAGGTGTATTAAGCTATTATTGATTTTCCATTGGGGAGTAAAGCAGTTCTGATGTGAACAAAAGCCCCTGTACACGGGCCCTTAATTTAAAAACTGAACATAATGTGGATACATTTAAGAAATGAAAATCACAATAAAAATGTGATTTTATCGCCATGCAACAGTTTATTTTCAGTGGCATATCTACAAAGCATTTGCCTACCAGTTAAAATCTGGTAGTGCTATGATCTGTGTGGGGACCAGCAAGGACCAGGTACATGTAAAGGGATGCAAAGAATGTCTTTCATATAACAGTGAAATGCCTGTTGCTTGCCTATTAATTATTGTGACCTGGCTTTCCTGCCTCCTCTTCCTTTGTTTGCGCTGCCAATTGCTTTTGTCTCCCTTAAGGTCCTGAACTATAGCAATGATAATTTTAGGGCCGCAAGCTGGACTGTAGACATGGTTCAACCATATACAGTATAAGGAGCAGTGTGGTGCACTTATTCTTTACAACAGCATATGCTTCTAAGCAGCAAAGTTTGTAAACCAGTAATGGACTGGAACCAGCATTATGATGTAATAGTATAATGTAAAACTGAACAAACAAATATTGCTGCACGTGATCATTTTTTTATTTCACTTTTATGTGTGTTCTGTGAATTTTAGTGCTGGATGCAGCTCACCACCGTCATTGGCCTGGAGTACTGAAGATAATCTCTGGCTGCCACATATCCTTGTTTCAGATCCCCTTGCCCGAAGACACTGTTCAGTTAGGGGGCTCAATGAGCCTACACGGCAACCACATGACATTGGCCTGCTTTCATGGACCCAATTTCCGTTCTAAATCGTGGGCATTGTTTCACTTGGAAGAGCCAAATATTGCATTTTGGACTGAAGCGCAAAAGATTTGGGAAGAAGGTGAGTACTCTATCGCTTTTTTAAATAACATGTCCTCCTGGTCTGGTTGCCTTTGCACATCTATTTGTTTTAAATTAAATGGGAAAAGTAATTCATAAAACAATTCCTTTGTCAATGATCATTTTGAAATTGCTGCAGAATATGAACTAGTCAGGAAAGAAAAGCTTTGCTCAAGTTCTGTCCCCAGAGACCCAGTTATTAACCCAGTAGGTGCTGTCACTTTACCTGTTTAACAGCATAAAGAAGGTGTCAGACATCACTGCCCAGTGGCCCAGTGTCAGTTATGTGTCACTTAGCTAGCAGAAGGAATGGTTAGTGATGGCGTGAGATGAGGGTTTAGCTGCTGACGTTTGACTAAAACTCAGTTTGCCATTTCGGGAAATGGATGTGGGATATATCATTTACTTAAACAATTTTTTGTTTATATTTCATTAGGTTCAAGCGAACACTCTACCTATATTGTGCAAACTTTGGATTTTCACCTCGGTCATAACACTATGGTTACCAAACCTTGTGGAGCACTGGAGAGTCCTATGGCAACAATTACTAAAATAACAAGGAGGAGGCATGAAAATCCACCACATGGCGTCGCTAGTGTAAAGGAATGGTTTAATTATGTCACAGCTATGAGAAATGAAGGTCAGTCTTGTATAACTGTCTCCAGTTTGTCAGATGTACAATGTGATTGCATTACCTCATTACTGCAATAAACCATACTGTGCAGCTTAATGCAGTATGGCAGATGGGAATTCAGAGAAGTGACTTTGTAGCTACTATGTATAATTCAGTTCTGAAAGAGATTGTCAGTGCAGTCAGCAAAATATCAGTGCTTTGTTGGCGAGGGTTGCATGTATGAAACTATTACTTGAAGAATGTTTAAAAACAACTGAACAATTGTCAGTGGATGGCTAAAAATAAATAAAGTTTTCAGTTTTTGATGTCTTGCCTTCTTGGCATGGTGTTAACATATACCTGAATGCTTCAGAGCAGCAAACTGCCAGAACTTCAGCACATTTGATTAGCAGAACCTTCTAATTTCTATGGAAGCAGTAAGGGTGTACTTAGTTTTTCATCATAACTTTTTCATTTTGGCTTTATGCTTGTAAAATAAATAAGGTGTCAAACTTGGTGTCAAATGTAACGTGTTCTTGTTCATCTGAGGTTGTATTTACCTAATTCCAAGACTTGCTAATGACCAGATGATTTTTATTATGTCCTGATACATAAAACCATAGAACTCAAAGAGGGTGTACTTTCTTTTTCACACAACTGTATATTGAGTGAACATTCTCAACTCCAGTAAATCAGCCTGCAGCGGTCCAACACCCAACACCCTCTAGGTTAGACCATTAGCTTTCCCTCAGCTTTGCTCTGCATTAGCTGGGAGCGTGTTGGACCACTTCAGCAACATTAGGTCAGGAAAGCTTTTACAATGAGTTCCTTAGTTGCAGGCTAATGGTGGGAGGCAAGGCTATCTTAGTAGCATAGGGCATTCTTAAGGTGCCCATACACTGCACGATTCTCGTATGAGAATCGCGGGAAATCCCACGATCGTAGGAGAATCGTGCAGTGTGAATGAAGACGTGCGACCGTTTCTACGGTACGGACGCACGTCTTTTGTCTTAGGAGCATGCTAGAAAACCAGCCGAAAATCGTACGATTTTCGGCTGGTTTGAATGATGCTCAGGAGACAAATGCCGAACGGGCCGGTGTGCGCACGGTCATCGCAAGTACGATCTGCCTGTCCAAGATGGGCAGATTGTAAGTTCTAAGGTCTTGCGATGGTTGTAAAGTGTATGGGCACCTTTACACTGATATAAGGGGCAGGACATGAATAGCCTTATTTTGGTACACTCCGGAATTGTGTGCTGCAAATTTATAAAAGACTTCAGTCGGGCTTTAAAAGAAAAATTGTAAATGCATTGTGATATTGGAGTAGTTACAAACTAACACATGTCTTCTTTTCCTGTAGAACTGAGTTTGCTTCGGAATGTTGATGCAAATAATGCAGAGAGCAGCACAGCAGTAAAAAATGCAAGTCTGTTGAGTGGATTTCAGGGAGCATCCAGTTACAACCATGAAACAGAAACAATCTTTGCTTTACCCAGAATGCAACTGGATTTTAAATCTATACATGTGCAAGAGCCAAAAGAACCAACCCTGCAAGGTACATGTACAGCAGAGATCATGGGGCTAATGTTTGTACATTATGCTACAGGAAAAAAGCATAGCAAACAAAAATCCTTGTTTGATTATTTTCAGACCTGAAATGCAGAGATGACGGGGTGGAGCTGATTAAAAGGGCAAGAAGGCGTGTTTAATGTAGCATATATTTTTACAATAGCCCCAATATTTTTTCTCCAAGTTCCAAATAAGTACTAAAAATGTTCTACTTGTCAAAGATGAGCTACTGACAGTTTGCTATACTATGTAGTCCTATTGAATACGTTCGTAATCGTATTACTATCTTGTCCATTGAGGTACACAGGAAGTCTTGAACTGTCAGGTTATACTGCCACCTACAGGAGGATTGGACACTGGCAAAAAAAATAAAAATTGTAGGCAAGCCCAAGATAACCCCGTCTACTACTAGTATGCTCAATTTTTGCTAGTCTACTAGGAAGATGGACGTCTTTTGTTCCGCTCTGCTGATAAAATGTCTAACCTTTTTTGCTAGCTTTATCCTTCAATTTTTTTTTCTTCTTTAATATTCTTGGTACATCGCTGTTTGAGCTGCTATTTACAAGGCAGCTATGTTGATTGGTCTTTCCTCATCTTGACTTTGGAGTGCCATACCCAGACCCCACAGGACTAAATGTTGTGATCTTTTGGGCACTGTGTTCTGCTTGTTGCACTTTCCAGACCACACATACTGATAAAAGTTAGAGATGTAGCGGTTTACAGGTCCAGAGCCACGGCATTGCTTCAGCGCTTCCCCTGTTTTTGAAGACTCGCTTTGTGAGTAGGCCGTTCAGGCCAAACACCAGGAGCTACCTTGTCGTTGAGATGGCTGATCATCTTTTAAAATTCCCACTTTGTACCGTGGAAGGGATTAATGGTGAGGACTGAACACTGATGCCAACTGAGCACTCTTTCTTGCCATTCATTGTTGAGGAGGCATTTTCCTGCTGCTGCTCCATCTTGGAAGAGCCACGTGGAACTCCAATCCTTGGCCCTTTTCTACTGCCTGATGTCTGATCCTACAGGGTCTCGCAAGCAGTCAGGGTCGTGATTACCTGAGGCTTTGCCTTTTACCTGAAGCTACTTTGCCTCCTACCCTGCGGTGCAACATGTCTAATTTTAAATACAAGGGAGTCAATCCTGCTGTACCAGGTTCCTGCAGCACACCCACTGATGTGAAAGTGTGGCCTGGAATTTTGGCCTCTGCTTAGTCCCTAGCTCTGTTGGGCCCCACCTCCTCTGCCCTCTCCAAGGAGGATTTCGCTGCAGTTATGTTGAATTTCATGGGTCACATAGTGCTGATGCATGCTGACTCTGACCGTAGAGGCTTTAACCCCTTCATGACTGAGGCCCTTTTTTCATTTTTTGCACTCATGTTATATTCCAACTTCTGGCCCTTACCATGCAGAAATCTTATTTTATTTGTCTGTGGCCTCTGAGCCTTCAACCGCTGAGACTCTGTCTGACAAGTCTCTTCAGTCTATGACAGACAAACCTGTATCCGAGGAGTTGCAGTCTTTTGCTATTGCACCCAAACTGAAAGAGACTTTTTCAGCTCTTTTTGATGTGGTTCACACTACTCTAACACTTGATGATCAGCTCTGTCCTCTACCAGTGCTTTCCCTAGTGAAAAATCCTTTAGAGTTTCTAAGGCCATCAAGACCTTGTGGTCTACATGCTATTATCAGTCTTCCTTTATGAAGACTGGAAAAATCCTTGCAAGATGTTTGAACTTCCCAAGCACCTATCGGTCTTGTACCCATTTGAGAAGAAGAGTGGGCTGCCCCCTCAGTGGATCTGGCAGCATCCGGTCTTTACAAAGCGTCTACCATCCCAGTGGATAAAGCACCTGTCTTTAAGGAGCCCATCGAAAAGTGAATGTGGGCCCTTTCTAGAGCTCTGTTGTCCTTGGCAAGTCCTGCACTGCAACCTGTCTTAGCTGTTACCTTGATCTATCAGACCCTGACTGACTTGTCTAAGGCTATAAGAAGGTATTTGCTCACTATGACAGTTGATTTCTTGGTTATAGAGGATTTGAAACTCATGCCTGCAACCTTGAGCTATAGTGTGGATGGGTTGTTGTAGTTCTTCTGCCCCATTTCCCATATGAGTCTCTTGTTAACTAACCTCTTTTGCCAAAAAATTTGTTGGGCGGCTTGCTTGGCATGACCTTTGAAGGGTACGCTTCTTAGTAGCCTTCCTGGATACCGTCATTAAGAGTACTTCTCTTCCTCAACAACAGAAGGCTAGGGCCCGTCTAGGAAGACTCACCCCTTGGGAGAGGCCAATTACTTCACAACCCCAAACTCCAACTTTTGGACTCCCAAGTCCCCCAAATGGTTAGATAAGTCTTCTTTAGCATAAGAGTGCATCCCCACTCTACAAAGTGGTTGACGCCTGTAGGCCTTTGTGAACACTTGGACAGCCTGCATCTCAGATGCTTGGCTGTGGGAGGTGGTTTCCATTGGCTACAAGCTTTGTTTCACTTACAGTGCCCTCCCTGGTTCATCAAATCCAACCTGCCTGTGCCACCACATAGATTAGCAGATTTCCATGCAGTCCTAGTCGGTCTTCTGGAGCAGGGTGTTATTGCCCTGGTCCTATGGCAGAACAATTTCAGGGATTCTACCCAAACCCTGTTCACTGTCACCAAAAGAGTGCATCCACCCCATCTTGGATCTGAAGGACCTAAATTTCATCATTCAGGCTCAGAAATCTGCATAGGGTTCACCTGGTCTGTCATAGCCTCCGTTCATCAGGGAGACTTTCTAGCCTCTGTGAATATCAAGGACGTATATCTGCATGTCCCCATTGTTTGAACACATCAGTGATAACTTGCTTTGCTGTGGGTTCACTTTACTTTCAGTTTCTGGCCCTGTCATTCACTTTATCTTCTGCACCTCAAGTGTTCGCCAAGGTGCTGGTTCCTGTGCTAGTAGTCTTACTGCGTTCTCAGAACATGCCACTGTGGAATACCTAGACCTCCTGCGGGAAGTTGGTACAGGTTCTGGTGGACAATGTAGCCCTAACCATCTAGACCTAGCAGAGGTTTGATTGGATCCTGAGCCTTCAGAAATCAGCTCTGTAACATGCTTGGAATATCTGGGTCTAGTCCTAGACACAATTTAAGTCAAAGTTTCTCTTCCCCATGAAAACTTCAAACTTTCTGCTCCCAGACTTTTTAGTGCAAGAGTCTCCTGATTCTTCTCATCTGCATGAGAGTCCTTCAAGGAAGTCCCATTTGCCCAGTTCCACGAAAGGCCCCTACAACACAAAATTCTGTTGTAGTAAGACAAGGTAGTCCAGTCCTTGGACAGACGGATTCCTCTGACCCCATAGACCGGGTTTTCCCTGACTTGGTGGCTCAAGAATTCTACCCTGGAGCCGGGAAAATCCTTTCTTTCAGTCTACTGCAAGATGAGCACAATGGGCTCTGTTAGGGTGAGGAGGAATTCTGGGCAGCTTGTCGGAACAGGGGACTTTGGAGGAATCTCCTCTCCATTTCCACATTCCGGAACATCAGGTGATTTTGTTGTCCCTGCAACACTGGTCCTTCCTGTTACAGGGTCATTAATTTGGGATTCATTCGGACAGTATTACTCCAGTGGCATATATTTACCATAAGGGAGAAACCAGAAGTCTTCCCATGGCAATAGAGCTAGATTGGATCCTGTCCTAGGTGGGACTTCACATTCCATCCTTGTCTGCCATCTACATCCTAGGTGTGAGGTGTGGACAACTAGCAGGCAGACTTCATCAGCTGGCAGCACCTAGACTCTAGTCAGTAGTCCCTACACCTAGTGTTGCAGGACCTGTGCCACATATGGGGATGTGGACCCCCTGGCCTCCAGGTTCACCAACAAACAGGTTTGTCTCCGGTTACAGGGATCCTGCAGTGGATGCTCTGGTGGCTCTGTTGGATCAGTAAACCCTGATATATGCCTTTCTTTCCCTGAAACCTTTTCCTAATCTGCTTTGCAGAATCGAGATGAAGGGATCTGGACCGGCCCAGTTGCACATGGTACTCCTACCTGGTAAGACTACTGGCAGATGCAGACTGACAGGTGGATTTTGTCAGTTTGTCCAGATCTTCTGTCTCAAGGACCAATTTACCATCCTGCTTCATGGTTGCTGGCTTTAACAGCTTGAATATTAAAGCCGTGGCTCTGAGAGACAGGCATCTCTGAATCAATTATTCTCATGATGCAAAAAGCTAGGAAGTCTGCTTCTCACAATGTTTGTACCTTACGTGGATGGCATACTTTGTTTGGTGCAAGATGGGAGGCTTTCTCCCCAGGAAAATATCTGTGGGACGAATACTGGCCTTTCTACAGCTGGGTCAGGACCAGCACTACCCCTCAGTACCAACAAGGTTCAGGTCTGTGCTCTTGGATCTTGTTCCAGAGGCCACTGGTCTCCTATTCATTGATCAAGGCCTTTGTGCAGGATATCTTCCATGTGGCTCCCCCTTTTCACTCTCACACGGTTGCTGTCCTTGTTGATCACCTTTCCAAGGTGAGTTTCGGAGCTGGTGGCCTTCTCCATTATACTTCCGTCCATCTGTCCAGCTCCAGTTCATCAAAAGGAGATCCATCTCCATTGCCTAGATGTAATTCAGGCTGTGACCGTTTATCTTTTGTCATTCCTGATGGTCCCCTAAGGGTTACCAGCCGCTTGCTTTACCATTTCCAGGTGCTCAGACAGTCCATCATTTAAGCCTTCGGTCCTGAGGATTAGGTGCTGCCTTTTCCTGTCCTGTTTTACTTCACTTCAGATCTGTAATCTGTAAGTGGCTCTTAGGTTTTTTTGGTGCCAGGCTGCTTTTACCAGGTAGATGTGCAGGGCTCATCCGATGCCATCTTCGGGTATTATGTCCTTCAGGCAGCTCATGGGGCTGCAGGCAGTCTCCCTTACTTTTTTATAATAGAAAGTAAGAGATATTTTTTTTCCAGAATTTTGGTCTATTTTTTTCCATTTGTATATGAAGAAAGATCTGTCTCCAAAAAAAAAAATACAATTTAATCAGGAAGTGTTGCAAGACCGAGTAATTGTTAGCACTAAAAAAGGAAAAAATGGCCTACTAATCAAGGGGGGATATACAGTATATGCTGGCATTCACGTGGTAAAAAAATCTTGCTGGAACTGCTTAAAAAGTGTTGGTGAGTTTGGCTTTAATTTGTTAGGCAAGGCCATCTAAATCATGCTAGTGCATCTAATACTACTCTGCAAAGGTTGACAATGCTGCTGATCGTGGCTGCCTCCATTGTTTCCTCCATAGAGCGGAGCCACACTAAGACAGGAAGTGTGTTACTGTCTGGATCAATAGGTGGAAGAAAATTAAAAAAGCTAAAAAAAGAAAACTAATGCAACCACCACATTTAACCCCTTCATGACTGAGCTTTTTTTTCCCCCCGTTTCTGTTGATTATTGACCGACACACGTCGGTCAATAATCAACACTATCTGCACAAAGTTTGCATGTTCTCCCTGTGCTTGCGTGCGTTTCCTCCCACACTCCAACGACATGCTGGAAGGTTAATTGGCTCTTCTCCGAATTGTCTTTATTTGTATGCATGTGAGATAGGGACCTAAGATTGTAAGCTCCTTGAGGGCAGGGACTGATTTGAATGTGCTCTATGTAAAGCACTGCGTTACTTGTTGGCGCCATATAAAATACCTGTAATAATAATCATAATTTAGGGAGAAATATGGGCTCTGTTAGCTCTTCCCTGCATTCTTTTCCAAGAACATTGAGTACAAAAAGTGTCCGATATGCTGTTAACCTTGACACCATGGCCTGAGTTTAAACTTTTTTACCCAAAAGTGCTAAAAACTGAGTAATTCTGTGTCCGTACTTCACAGCGGAGATTAGCAAACAGAGGTTTGCTGATTTCACACTACCCGCAATTATGTTAATATTTTTGACAGGCCAGGTCCCTGGAGAGATGGGTAAGCCTTGGACATATGGGGGGGGGGGGGGGGGGGGGGGCGGGAGCAGCGTCACATCCATGTAGAAGGTGATCAGCAGCTATACAACCATTCCAGTCAGTTGTACAAGAAAACCCAGAGATTGCAGAAAGAAAATGTAAACTAACTCACGACTGATGCTGGGACTGTAATTTTTTTACATTCCATTCCATTACTGTGGCCACTGTAGTGGTTGTTCATGAATACTTTTATAATAAGAAACCTAATTCTTACAGGATACAATTACCTATGTACTTCTGTCATTTTGTGCTCCACAGATGTTGACAGCAAGCCGAAAGTGGAGTGCAGCGTTGTTACCGAGTTTACAGATCATATCTGCGTCACAATGGATGCTGAATTGATTATATTTTTGCATGATTTGGTGTCTGCCTATTTAAAGGAGAAAGAAAAAGGTACGTGTACTTTTGTGTAATGTCAAATGGCTAGCGATGATTACTTTTCTTTCTTGTCCAGTGAGGGTAATAAGAATTCAAAGACCGTCAGTTATACTACAGGTGAAATGGCAACTAGCAGATTGTGTAGTGATGAAAAAAACATTAGCCATTTTTCTTCAGCTCTGCTGTTTGTCTGGAAGAATGATTTCCTACCATCAAAAGCACCTGGTAGATTCATGACCCATATGTTATATCCTTGAAGCCTCTCTAGTCAGCCAATAAGCACAGGTTTTCCAAGTTCAGAGTGGTGTTCTCTCTGCTACAGCTCTGAATTTTTGGACGTTTCCCCAGTCATTTACAGTTACTGATTCATGGCGGATATGGAAATTCTTAACGGCTCTCCAGTTAGCCGGACAGCGCTGTCTGTACTGGTGTTCTTTCTGCGGCAGTCCTACAATTGGCAATGTCTACCCGTCCCTGTTCAGGCTGACTAAAGACTTCACTATTTGGGTCAGACCAGTATGTCTGGGGGTTTCCTTACAGAGTTATAGTCCAGAGCTGAGGCAGTGTTCCTGTCTCTGCAGCTCACCTAGCAGGCTTATGCTGGGTGGAGGTTTCCTCTGTTAAATACTGAGGCAACTATAGCTAATTGGTCATTTTGTGCACATTTATAATACTCGTTTTTTGTTTCTTCTTTCTGCTTGCTTATACTTATGTAGTTTGAATGTTGGCCACTTGGGGGAGCCCTCCTCTTTATTTCTGCTCAGACCTTACTATGGGAGCTGTTACAATTAAATTTTTTTATGCCCCTTCTCCTCAGCTGCAATAAAGCGCACAGGAACATGATGTGGTTAGACAATGTTCTGACTGATAAACTGTACAATGGTCACAATATAACCTAAGCTGATATTTGGATGATGTGATGAATGTGAATGCTCGTTCACACTAGGGAACACATGCAGGGTCTATGATTGCTTGTTTAGTAAAACATCTTACATATGAATGGGACAAGGAGTACTTTTTCCTCTCACTTGATGCCTTTTATGTGTATACCTAGCTCAGAATTTCTGGATGCTGACAGAATACAGATTTCATGTAAACGTACAATACCTTCTCTATAGACACGCATGCGCTATGCTAATGCAGCCTGCACGTGGACAGATTGTGCTCTATGATGATGCAGGCTGAGTAATAGACTTTGGTCAGATTGTACTTGGAGAGTTTGTTTTTTTAACCCCTGAGGCCCAGTTCACACTAGAAACTGCATCACAACTGCGTGCGTCTGTGCAGTGGCACTGTGATCCGTTTTGACGCATTTCCGATGCGGTTTTTTTCTGCACTAAAAAATGCTAATTAGACAATTAGGTCACTTCCTCTTCCTGTCAGAACATTTCCTACGTTTGTTTTGGAGATCAGACATGCTTTCTTTGTTGGCTGGCATGGTGTTAGTGTTGACTATATCCATTCTCGGACAAGGCCTTCGCAGGCGACGTCGATATTAGGTGCACCCGGATGTTTGCTGTCGTACAGCAGGGGACAGTCCCGCACATATTGGATGAAATCATCTGCATCCACAAATTCCATCTCTTCATTTTCTCTCCACACTACAAAGAGGAAGTCCCTGGGTTATGACATAATCAATTCTGAGTCTTTTTATTTGTATGCGTTCCGTTGCATTCCGGTGCGTTTGATGCGCTTGCACTGCGTTTTGATGCAGGTAAAATAGGACAAGCAGTACTTTATCTGACTGCATCTGAACGGACTGTAATGGTGTGAATTAGGCACAAGATAGCCCAAAGGAAAGCATTGTGATGTATTTTGACTGCAGCAGTCAAAATAAACAGACTGTCTTTCCCCTCACTGTCTTTTCCTTTGCTTTTTCTTATATTACAATCCAGCAGATCATGCTCCAAAGTGTTATCCACTCGCGGTGTCCTCACACCCAGTGGAAAATTGCTTACCTTCTGTAGAGATCTTTATAAATAAAGGTCAAAAAGAGCAGAGGGTTAAGTTCTGATCACCCCACCCCCCAACCACCCAGGCTTCCCACTGGTGGTCCACTTCTTAATATATGAGTCTCCTCTCCAGGAAATATTAAAGGGCAAGTCATAGTGTTTGCCATTTAAATGATTAAAAACTCATTTTTACAAAATAAATAATTCACTCGCATTAAAACTGCCCCAGCCGTGCACCTAATGATTTCCAGAAGGTGAGCAATAAGTATAAGTTTATAATTCACTTTGATATATTTGGCTTAAGTAAATGCTGACCTGATAAAACTTCTCGTGGACTATCTCCTCTCCGCTCCTCTGCTCAGTGGGCGGGTGCAATAGCCAGCCTGCTATTGGCTATTTCAAATTGCTAAAACAAATAGCAGGCTGGTTATTTAAACCCCACCCACTGAGCAAGAGGAGTGGACCTGAGAAAAAAAGTTCTCTCAGGTTGATTCCTCTTCTCAGTGGACAGGTACAATAGCCAACCTGCTATTGGCTGTTGCTATTTGAAATAGCCAATAGCAGGCTGGCTATTGCTCCCCATTGTTTACATTCTGCTGCCGACCTCAAAATCTAGCTGCTAGCCAGAAAAAAAGAATTTCCTTAGCAGAAACAAAGAATTTCCTTAGCAACTAAATAATTTGTTTTTTTTGCCGGTTGCTTGAGAGTTTCAGTTGCTTGAATGCCGGATAATGGGGAGTTTTTTTTAAATATATTGATAGCAGTATTCACATCATGCCGATATCTTTTACATGTATGTTTAAAAATAATTATACAATGTCTCAGTGAATCCCATGTTTTCATGTTTTTATTGTTTACCCAAAAGTCAGTATATAGCAGGTTATTGCCCACTATATGCTGAGAGCGCTGCAGCCGGGACGGATCCCGACAATACTGTCCAGATCCTCCCTGCTGGCTGATTGACAGCTGTAAAGGCAGAGCCAGCTGTGCCCGTCCGTTCCTTCAGTCAGAGGGGAATCCCTGCGGGGAAAGGTGACTGACAGTCTCTGCTCTCTGCAGGGAGAGGATCGGGAAGTCAGCGATCGGCGGTATGTGTTCACTGACTTCCCGATCAATAGAGCCGACCTGTGACAGCTTCATTGTCACGGGTCGGCTTGAAGTGTGTGGATGAGTGTATTTCTCTCACCCCATTATTCTCCCTTAATCTGTTATATGTAACGTGTACATGTAATTGTATTCCTTTCATCTGCAGTTATTCTTCCACCACGCATTTTCACAACTCGTGCAGGCCAGAAGAGTCCTGTGATCCAGATTGATAATGGTTCTTCTGAGAAAGAAAAGGCAGAAAATACTAATTCCACTTATGTGGACTGGAGAGAATTCATGTGCAATACTTGGCATCTGGAGCCCACACTGAGGTTATATTTCTTTCTAAGCGTATATTGTATTGTTGTTTATTTTGTTGTATTTGTATACAATAAACTGTAAGTCACAAACCGTGTGAACTAAGCTAAAACAAATACCTAATTCGGTTGAGGTGAGCGTGTCCATCTTCTGACAATCTTCAACCTCCATGCACTACCGGGGTCATACTTTTCTGTGGATTTCTCTGCCTGGGTATTTGAACTCCGAAGACGTTTTATGGATCCGCCATTCGTAGTAGGCAGAGAAATGTGCAAGACTGGGAAATGTTTAGTGTGAACCTAAAACAGCAACACACTGACTTAGCCACTGATTTATAGAATACATTTATTACTGTATTCATTAGCTGACAGGGAATTTTTATGTAGCAGCCACTTTTTTTTTTGTACTGTTTCACATATATGTTTATAATTTCTTCTTCTAATGGTCATCAGTATATTAGAGAATGTTACCAATAAATTTCCCAGCTCGCCAGCAACAAAATACACTGTCTAACAATTTGAGTTAAAAACAGAGCTTTTTCTTGCACAACATTTGGAGGCCACACAGCCTCAGCAAGGCCTCCTCCTACCTCCCTATGTAGTGTGGTCCTAACTCTAAACTTTAAAAACCTCCATCTTGGAGCATATATAGCAATGGATAAATTCAGGGCAGGTATGCCTGGAGGTAGCCCATTTCTGCTTAAAGGGACACACTGGGATTTGGTGTAGGGACACACTACCTCTGTGCTGGGCTTCTTGTGTGTACCTGTGCCTTTAAGGAGTGGGATGATAATTGTGACATGGTGGGGCAGAGCTGGAGCTGATTGTGGAATAGGCATACTGGGATCTGATTGTGAAGTCAGAGAAGGAGTGGGGGAGAGAGAAGAATGTTTTTGCTCTGGGTGTGGATATTAGGAGGGAGTGACATGAGGACCTGTTAGTGTTGCAGTGCAAAAAAAAAAAAAAGATTGGTTGTTAACGGTGATGCATGTGATTTCCTGCCCTTTACTCTAAGCCACAGAATCCAGCAGCAGTAAAGCCACAAATAAATGTTCAAAATTCAAATGTGCTGTGTAAACAGCTGATCTCACTCATTGTTATATAGACTAAAGCTGCCCATACAACCTTGCAATCATCGGACGAAAATTTTTGTCCAATGATCGAACTGCCGTACGATTTTCTTGCGCCTCATCCTGCCCCGACCATCGCACACTTCAGTTAGCGGTATTTAGCAGAAATCACCTGGACGAATTTCGTTTATTGACCGCACGGATTTTTGTTTGCGCATGAGCAGTGTTAATCATACGAATTTTGACGTGCGAAAATCCTACGATCAACCGAAGTTTTCTAGCATGCTGGAAAGACGAACGACGTACGATTATACAGTATTTGCGGTTGTAGACTCCCCATCAACCTTACGAATATCGGACGAAAACACGATCGCAAATGAAAATCGCCCGATATTCGTAAGATGTGTGGGCACCTTTAAGGTGGCCATACACTGTGCAACCCTCCTGTACAACTTTTGTCTTGCGATGGTTGTAAAGTAATTTAAAAAACGTACGATCTTCCCATCTTGGACAGGCAGATCATACTTCCGATGACTGCAATGCGGAACGGGCAGTGTGCGTGTGCGCACACCGGCCCGTTCGGCAGTTGTTGAACAAGCACACCACTAACCCGCCGGCGGGTTTTCCAGCCTGCTTGTTCGACGGAAGACGTGCGATCGTACAGTAGAAACGGTCGCACGCCTTCCATACACTTTGCGATTATCGTACGATCGCGGGATTTCACGCGATTATCGTACCATAATGGTACAGTGTATGGGCACCTTTAGAGTGAAGTGAGGCAATTAGAGATAGTTGTCAGCTGTGTTTTCACCTATACTAATCTGGTAGTGGGGTTATAATGCCCCTGGAGCTTGCATGCAGTTTTATTGCTATACCATCCTGTTATCCTAAAAACCTGAGGTACTTAGTTACAAGAACTATGGTCACTGGTTTTGTAATAAAGACTGCCCTTTTCATCTTGCCTCATCTCCCTGTAGGCCAGTTAGATTGCCCCTCTTACTTTAAAGCCAGTGGAGAAACAAAGGGAGCAGGACCGCCCATTGTGGTTGTTTCTGTAATACAGCACCCTGGTTTGTGTGGTAAGGGGATGCAGTAGGAAATAAGAGTGTGTGCAAATATTGGGAAGTACTTCTATTATAATTATGCCTCCAGATTACTATAGGTAAAATCCCTTGGTACACGTTAACCCACTATTCTACATTAAACGTGAAGTAGAAAAGGGGGTGCCAACTGGACTACTTTATAGCAGTTTTCCCCCTGTATCATCAATCGGGTAATAATCAATAGATACAGATCTGCCATTGAATTGAAATCTGGTTGTAGGTGACTGCACTTTTTCCGTGATGCAAGAAAAGGCAAACATCTGCCAGTGTCCTGAAATGTTCCAGTACAGTGGTGAATACCAGGGGTGCTGAGAATAAGAGAGTTGAGAGGCCTCACACGGATCACTAGTACTTAGAAAGATATGTGGGCGTGAACATGCAGGTTTTTATGCATATTTTGCAGGCATGTAATAATATGTACTTTTATATTCCCCTCTTCTTCTTAGGCTAATATCTTGGACAGGAAGGAAAATTGACCCAGTTGGAGTGGATTACATACTGCAGAAATTAGGTTTCCATCATGCCAGAACCACCATTCCAAAATGGCTTCAGCGTGGAGTAATGGATCCACTGGACAAGGTTCTTTCGGTCCTGATTAAAAAGCTAGGGTCTGCTTTGCAAGATGAGAAGGAAAAGAAAGGAAAAGAGAAGGAGGAGCATTGAACATGCCGAGAATTGCGAACAAATTGTCAGAGATCAAAACAAGTTACACTTTTTTATACTGTACAGGACATTTTAACAGATGCATTTGGAAGTGACCAGCTTTTCTTTTTTATTTAACTGATGTTAACTCTCATCCCTGGGAGCAGTCTTAGCTACATTTCTTCCGGTGATCACTCCCATGGCCTTTTGCTGTGATATGACATGCCACTGCAATTTTTGTACTTCTGTGCATTAATCTATTTTCCACAAGACATCATTTGAGCCTGAAGCAGACCCCCTATTGTAGTTTGCCAGCAATGTCTTCATCTCAATACAAATAAGACTCAGGGATGAGAGGGGTTATTAAATTCCGTTGTGAATGTAACTGTTTACCGTGGTGCATGCTGCCATTCTGCATAGGATTACGCACTGCATGCGACTGTATATTTTGGACTGAAAATAGGGGTTCAACACTGTAAATGTCTGGGGTTTGTGTCATTACTTTTATTAAGTGCAATATCATTATTTTCTGTAATAACTGCAGAATGTTAACTGTGAATTTTCTTGATTTCTTTTTTCCCTGTTGGCCGTAATAATAAATTGTTGACAATGTGAAAATAGTTAACACGTTTCTTGTTTACGTGGCTTATTTATTTGCTTGCAATTATTTAATACAGTCTACTAGTGGTAGTTGTTTGGATTACACTATATTGCCAAAAGTATTGGGACACCTGCCTTTGCAAGCACATGAACTTTAATGACATCCCAGTCTTAGTCCATAGGGTTCAATATTGAGTTGGCCCTCCCCTTGCCGCTATAACAGCTTCAACTCTTCTGGGAAGGCGTCCACAAGGTTTAGGAGTGTGTCTATGGGAATGTTTGACCATTCTTCCAGAAGCGCATTTGTGAGGTCAGGTACTGATGTTGGAGGAGAAGGCCTGGCTCGCTGTCTCCGCTCTAATTCATCCCAAAGGTGTTCTATCGGGTTGAGGTCAGGACTCTTCGCAGACCAGTCAAGTTCCTCCACCCCAAACTCACTCATCCATGTCTTTATGGACCTTGCTTTGTGCACTGGTGCGCAGTCATGTTGGAACAGGAAGGGGCCATCCCCAAACTGTTCCCACTAAGTTGGGAGCATGAAATTGTCCAAAATGTCTTGGTATGCTGATGCCTTAAGAGTTCCCTTTTACTGGAACTGGGGGGCCAAGCCCAAGCCCTGAAAAACAACCCCACACCGTAAGCCCCCCTCCACCAAACTTTACACTTGGCACAATGCAGTCAGGGAAGTACCGTTCTCCTGGAAACCGCCAAACCCAGACACGTCCATCGGATTGCCAGACAGAGAAGCGTGAATCATCACTCCAGAGAACACGTCTCCACTTCTCTAGTTGCGGCGTGCTTTACCCTCCTGCCGTTCACCCGTTGTGAATAAACAGACGGACGGCAGACTCACACGGGCGGGTTACCGTCATCAAACCCGCCCGTTTTTTACACCGGTTACCGGTTTTTCACATACAACTGATCGGCGGGTCTATAGCTTCATCAGCTTCTTTTGGGGTCCCCAGGTGACATTAGGGGTCCTATAGACCCCTAATGTCTCCATTAAGAGGACCTGTCAGTGTGCCTTTGCTATTATATAGGGGGATTATTATCCCCCTATGTAATAGCAATAACAATAAATGTAAAAACAATTAAATATAAATTTTAAAAAAAAGTCACATATTAAAAAAAAAGAAAATTAAGTCCCCCACGTTTACTCACATATAAACGTAAATATGCGTAAGATGCGCCAGCGAGCGAAAACGACAATTGTGCTACACACATTACATATTGCCGTGAACGTCGCAGTGAGAGCAATAATTTTAGGGCCACCATTTATTGATAACACCAAAGAGATAAGCAGTAAAAGCTTTTAAAGTGGGTATTGTAGTTTTTTGAGGTTTCACGTGCGCAATTTTAAGGTGTGACATGTTTGGGGGTTATTATTTAATATAGGGGAAACAGTTTTGTTTTTTTTTCATTTTCAGTAATTTTTCCTTAATATAGTAAAAAATAAAACCCCCAGTGGGGATTAACCACGCACCCGAACGCACTGCAAGCACAATGTGCCTTGCGAACCCGTGCGGGCATTCGCATTGCGTCCAGAGGGTGTGGCTACAGTGCTATTCACTTCAATGGCCCGTCACGCCCCCTCCAGCACGGCAAAAAAGTGAGCCGGCCGCAGTGATTATGATTCTGGCTGGAACGCACTGCTTATGGTGTGAACTAACCCTAACAGGTGACCGTGGAATATTTAGTAGCAAGGACATTTCACAGATGGAATTATTGCACAGATGGCAACCTATCACGGTACCACGCTTGAATTCACTGAGCTCCTGAGAGCGACCCATTCTTTAGGTGCCCATACACCTTACAACCATCGCAAGACTTTTGTCTTGCGATGGTTGTAAGCTGATTAAAAGCTTGTACGATCTGCCCATCTTGGACAGGCAGATCGTACTTGCGATCATCGAAAGCCCGCCCCGCTGAGGGTGTCGCAATACTTTTGGCAATATAGTGTATCTATAGTTTACATGGAGTGTTCTTTGAAACACTTTCAGATGCACGGTGTACAGTATGACTCTAGTACTAACACTACATTTTTGGAGCAACCTGTGCTTTTTGTATGTTTGCATATTCACGGATCAATGTTTTACTGAACGTATAACAGATATGCTTCTTAGATGTAGATTTACTATTTCCACCAGCTTGCCCTGTTATTTACTGGAGTTGTGCCATGATTTCTTCTATGAATCTTCGTCAGGATAGCTTGTCCTACACTGCAATCATTTCTCATGCACAGCCGACACATATACATTTCACAGCAGCCAAAATGAAGATAAGTATACTACAATATTATTATGTTCTTAGCAAGGTGATGACATATACTATCTTGATGAGAAGACATCAGAGCATGTACAGCAACACTATTCATTCTTAACCACAAACCAAGCAGGAAGCTGAACCTGAATTTACTCGAATAATCCCATAATGTGGTGTGTGAGTTTCTGTGTGTCCTGCTTGTAGAGAACGCCTGCTCTTTGATCGCATATAGTGCTTTTTGGAGCATTTGAATCGGTAATTATGGGGGGAAATGTTAGGATTTTACAGGCTACATATGATTGTGCTGACCTTTGGTCATTCTGCTGCATGATTAACCTTCACCACACTGACATCAGAACAAATCACTCATTTAGAGCAGTAGTAATTCCCAGTATATGTAAACACACAGCATATGCTGCTTTCTTTAAAGGGAAACTCCAGCCAAAACATAAATATACAGCTGAGATATACATAAAGTAAGTCTCTTACCCCCCAAAAAAGATGTGCAAGATAATGCACATACAATGCCGCCTTCTGTTTCATACCAATGTACTCCCCCGTAAGCACTTGGTTGGAGGCTGTAGATGTACAATCACTGTTTTCGCAGAAACTTTGCCGGGGAATATGTATGCTGACATCTGGCAAATGCAGTGAGCCTGTTGCATGACCAAAGCGATGAGAACTCTGGGAAGCACTGTACCGAAATGAGTATTTTTGCAATTGTTGAAAAGAATTGAAATTCAAAACTCAATTTCAGCTATAGAAATGTATATATACTTACATGGGTCCAGACTGGCGATGTAGCTATAGACAGAATCCTGGGCAGTGCCACAGGGATTGTATAATACACTGCAGTAGCAGCTACTTCAGTGTATTGCAGCATCTTCCGGGTATAGGAACAGCCGCTGTGCAGAACGGCTTCTCCAGTACTGTGAAAACAGAAGGTCACCTGCTCACCACAGGGGCCATTCAGAGGACTTTCTTCTGGCTGCAGAATAACCTGCTCACCACAGGGGCCATTCAGAGGACTTTCTTCTGGCTGCAGAATAACCTGCTCACCACAGGGGCCATTCAGAGGACTTTCTTCTGGCTGCAGAATAACCTGCTCACCACAGGGGCCATTCAGAGGACTTTTTTCTGGCTGCAGATTAACCTGCTCACCACAGGGGCCATTCTTGGTGGTCAGTGGGAGCAGTGTTACTTGTATTGAATGAACGGCAGCCGCAGTGGAAGGGATTGTGGAAATATTTGTATTTACATCTGCGAAAGCTGTGATTGGCTATGACGGAGATCACAAAGCCATTCTGATTGACTCTATGCACTGATCACAGCGCAGTCACAAATAGGAAATAGAGTGATGGCTCGTATCGGGGACAGGTGCTGCGTGTAGCAGACCGTTCTTCCCTATGGGAGGACGCGGTCGTACGCCGTCATACGCAGCACCTGTCCTTCCTGGGAATGGCCCGATAGGGGTGTGCACACTGTACGGACCTGTATGCCCCGAGTTAACGCAGTGTGAATGAGGCCTTAATGGTGCTCCAGAAATACATGTCCACCTGCGCGTTGTTGTTCTCCAATAGTAGTAAGGTGGAAAAACTTAAGCCCAACAAATCCTTAAAGCTGGACTCCGGGATTTTTAAAAAAACTCTTGCAGTGCCTATAGTAAAAAATAAAAACCCCAGTGGTGATTAAATACCACCGAAATAAAGCTCTATCTGTCCCCAAAAAATGGTATAAAATTCATTTCAGTACAGCGCTGCATGACGGAATAAACGTCAGTCAAAGTACCGCAGTGCTGAATACTGAAAAATGGCCTGGCCAGGAAGGGGGTCTAAACACCTGGTCTTGAAGTGGTTAAGTCTAGGGGTACAGGTATAAGCAGTAATACTCATTCTGGCAGGCTTCCACCATACCGTGTCACTGGTCCCCCAAAACACCATCACTGCAGCTGGTGGTCACACTCTGATGTCACCTCGTACAATGCAGGACCAGCATTCCTGCATTGTACATGAGAATAGCAAGGCCTGCCCACAACCCAGAGTGTTGAGAAAAGAGGTGATCACTAGAAGTCTGCCAGAACGAGGAAAGTGAGGTAGGTATTACACTGTATTTCTCTACCCCTAGACTTAATGAGCAGTTACCACTTGCAGTAAGGTGAGGCCTCACTGATGTGATTTGTAAAAAGAAAAAACAAAAACATCTACTCAGTAAGCGACATTCCCCCAATAAAGTCTGAACTGTGACTAGGAAATGGGGAGACGGTGGCCGAGGAAATTCCAAATGATCTGAGAGAATGAGCCTTCATCAAATATTTAAAGATGCAGCCCACAGATCATTGGTGTTTCATGACCAATCCCAGGTAAGTACAGAATCTTCATTACCTCTGTGACAACACCAACCACAGCATAAATGACCTTTTACCAGAATGAGGACAGCAGCAGCAGGGCCGCTGATAGGGGGGTACAGCCATCCCAGGCCCCTTCGGATCAGCAGGGGGAACCTGGGCTTGGTTTTAAAGCAGGCATGCTACCTGAGGTGTGCAGGTCCACCTAACTCACTGCCTGAGCCTCTAGTAACAGCTTACCTCACTGTCGGCTGTTACTGGAGGCTCAGACAGCAAGTTAGGTGGACCTGCACACAGTACCATTCACCTTAGGGCAAATTCACACCAGCAGCTGTGGTACACTGCACGGCTGCTGGTATGCATGTGCCTGATGAGCTTTGAACTCTTTGTACTGTTTACTTTTTTTTTGTTCG